TTTATATACATTCATATTACATTATTGTATCCGTTGCGACCCATTTGTGTCAATTTCTAGGTCCCAAATATTAGCGACCTAGCTCCTTTAAATACCTAACTATAGCAGACGATTTCATTAGCTCAATACTATTATAACATACGAAAATATAGCTTAATTGTTTTTAAAGGGCGTACGGCCCCATTCTTTGGAATCTTAAAATAGACGAGGGGGGTGTTAGAGCACATATTAATGTAATAATACTAATATGCATGTATATAAAGTGATTTATATTCGATTTTCTAATTGTTTATTGTAATTTATAATCAATTATGTTCGGTGAAATCCAAACTGAACGGCAGCCGTTTACGCCTCCATTCTGCACGTTATATAGAATTATTATTTGTCGTTTGTATATTAGCCATTACTAATTACTTTTGCACTGATTGTAGAATATGCTTTTTTTTTGTTCATTACAAATGGCATCCGAAGGCATAGAAATACGCGAATCGTGTACTGATTTTAAAACGGCCACGATGTCTTCAATATTGATTGAAATGGACCAATATTGAATTTAATTTGTGTTCCTGAGTTCGAAATTAATGTAAAATTATTTAATTAGAGATTTAGTTCCTTTAAACAACAGTGTGTGCTCCTCACAAATGAAATATCACTGACACAGTCACGATTCTTTTCCCCAGGTGTGTGTTCGGGGGGCTGTAGATTAGCCAATGACTAACTGAAATGAAATGGGGGTTTAACGTTCTACTGTTTTGCATCGACTGGGCTAATGAAGAAGGGCGTACGCAATACAATGTGCTATGAAGAAAATTTGCCAGGACAGCGGCGCTACAGCCTATTTTTATATCGAATTCCAACTGCCAAGGATTCTGTTATGTGTACACCACGAGTACATGGAACCTCGGTTTATTCGTCCGACCAAAACAACAAGACACCGTCCTTGCGCGGTCCCCCATCCTGCACCACGACAAGCGGAAACCAACACCGAGATCGAACCCCAGACCTACTGGTTATTGGGCCTGCGCGTTACATGTAGGCCTACTTACTGAGCCACCCTGGCTCCACCCAATGACTATAGTTAGTATTGGTAAAAATAATCATACGGAAATTCTAATGATTTTAAAACCCAATCAACGCTCAGAGGTTATTAAATTATATAAATAAACCAAATAAAATGCCGACGTATATCATATTTATATTTCTCAGTATGGTTACCATTGGTAACCAGTTGATACATCCGCTATATTGAGTATCGGAAAGGAAAGAACGTAATTGATTTATTGGGATTAAATATAAATTCTTTACATTAGCCATTTATGTTATAGATGCACCTATAGACCCGAAAGACCCACTGAAATGCAAGAGTCAGCCGTAAAGGATTCCTCTAATTTGTGTAATTATCAAATATTTATAATTGGAACCTAGTTCTTTGTGACTTTATTTCATCACAATACATTAGACGTTTACAAGATTTTGCCATTTAAACTGAATGACAAGGATTTAATGATACACGATGAAGTCATTAATACAACAAACAAATTCCGTCCATGGTGTTTTCATTGCTATGTTCATTTCGTGGAGTGTTTTCACAGAACACACGCCATCTTTTGTCATTGTAAATGAAGTCCATTTGTAAGTCTTGTCCAATCATTCTATAAATAAGTTTTTTTTAGAACACTTAGCAGAAGTCTTCATGTACAGTTACGTCAGTAGAAATATATATCTGGTTATATCATTTTTTTAACGGCTTCCTGATTATGGATTCGATATTTTCATATGTCCAGATTTAGGCTAAACATGGTTGCTATAAGTTGTTGTCGCACTGGCCTGTCAGTCTGCACGCCATCCACAATTCATTGAGGAAACCCCGAGTATGTTATGGGTGTTTTTAATTTTGAAAGATAGTCACGCAACAGCTATGCCTCAACGGCAACTTATCCGAAAGGAAAACTTTTATGTTGATCATTGATATTTAGGCAAATGGGGGGGGGGGGGTATCGCAGAATATCGATAGGGTTCGTCTTCTCATGAATCCAATGCGTTCCACCAAATTTGAAAATAATCTGTTAAAAACTTTAGCCTTTAACGCGTTCACAAGGTTTTCGGAAAGGTGTGTACGGGGTAGAAGTAACTCTGGAATGTAATATCGAAGAAAGCTGGATATCGGTAAGGCTCGTCCTCCCATGGCCGCAAAGCTTCCTGCCCAATTTCAAAGCCCCTATAACGTTCAAACGACGAAGAGGGGAGAGTTCTGGTACGAAAGGTCGCTGTACACTAAATATCAAATATCAAGGTTCGTCCTCTCCTGACCGCAATGCCTCAGCGCTATTAACCAAATAACTCTAAATAGCGACAGGGTTAGGCCTCTTATGATCCCAAAGCTTCGCACCGAATTCAAAAGCCTCTATCACGTTCATCCCCCCATGACCACAATGCCACAGAAGGTGTTGCGGCAAAAGGGTGTGTGTGTGTGTGGGGGGGGGGGGGGTAACTCCGGAGCGCAATTTGGAAGTACGGTTGAATATTCCTGTTTACTCCTCTCCTGACCCGAAAGATTCCCACGAAATTTTAAAAAAATCCATTAAATAATATAGCATCTATAACGTTTATAAGGTTATTGGTAAAGCGGGCATAATTCTGATTAAGCCTACTCATTGTTTTTCGCGATTTTATTATTTCGTGCGCATCGGGTTTCAATAACAAAATATGTTTAATGGATCACAATAGGAAAGATAAAATTTTGTTCTGCAGACGTACCGTAAAATATGCTAAATATTTTAAACATATATTTATAAGAAGTGTACTGGGGCATCTGATTGTGTGGGTGAATAAATTAACGCGTGGCATGTGAACCTTTAGATACTTTACTCTAGAGAATCGACTGGCTGAGATATTTGTGTGCTATAATGCAGAATAGAGCTTTCAGAATTTGTTTTAAAGGATGCAAATCTAACTCAATATTATCTTCAGTCTTCGACATTGCAAACGCGACTTATTGGTCAATTTAAATCAACATTGCTGCTGTTATTTTACCGGAAATATTTAAGATACAATGAAAATTTTAACATTGGCACACGAATCGATTAAAAATTACAGTTTATGAAGATTCATATTACATTATTATTTGCGTTGCGACCCATTTGTGTCCATTTGTAGGTGCCAAAGAATAGCGATTTAGCTCCTTTAAACCTGCTTAGACTGTCTGGCTATTCATAAGGTAGAAACCTAATACCATTTGTCACGCAACGATTTATTTAATACTTATACTAATACTTTTTGAAAATATTCAAGGGGAAACGTTCCGCATATCCCCTTTAAAGAGGAAATCCTTAACTATCCGTTCCGTTTGTATGAATGCTGAAATAAAACACTGCACTTAACAAAACAAATACACACCTACCACTCTTGCTCGCTCATCCGATTGATTGAATCAAAAACAGTTTGTATTTATTTTTATATTCAATATTCTGACAAAATGACACAATTCCTAAAAACAAAACCAGATGCATCCGTTATTCAGAGTCGGCAAAATAAATACACGTTATTGAACTCTTTCCAACATCAAAAGCTTAAATGCGGAACCAGTTTTAATGCTTAATTGTAATCCTTGCTGCACTATAGTTATATCCATTGTTGAATATAATAATAGACAATTCTTGTTGTTTTATAACTCGTGGATAATCATCAATATATACTGTTTACATTTATCTATAAGCTTATATAAATATTTACTTCATAATCAAAGTAGTTATTTGGATTCATGTTTTGAATTGAGACTCAAAACATCTTAATCACGAAAAATGTTAAAAGGTACTTCTGGGGTTTGTAAAAATACAAGAAACACGATGAAATGTCTGATTTCTATGAGTGTTGCCCAAAGAAGCACTAGAAAACGAAGATGAATAGTGTCTTCCGTAAATTATTAAAGTGTTATTCGATTGGAAATATCTTGTCATTCTACTTTATTACATTCATTTGGTACAGCATCGGGAAGTGGATTTATGATTTGACAAGTCAGAAAATAAACAGGTGATTTCGTATTCGCTTATAAAACACGACCTAACTCAATAAGGCTAAACCTTACAAATTCGTTTGGTCAATGAATACGGAGTTCCATTAATTAATGGCAGGATACACTTGTTAATCACAATTTGGTGATATCCTTGGGTATCTCCGAAATAGTCATTTCCCCCTGTGAGCCAATTTCTAGGAAAACTAGGTATGCAGGTCTATAAGAGTTACTGGGCGTAAATAGTGCTTACGAATACCCGGGGATCAGTACATGCTTTTATTCTCGTTATAAGAAAGAACGCGGTTTCGTTTAATACTTTAGACAATCATGTAGTTCCTTAGAAGGTGACTTTGGTTCTTGCCAGCATGTGATACTGTCTGAACAGTCAATAGAAGGCATTCATAGAACAACAACAGCTAATATTATCACTTGGCGTTATAGAGAGACACATGGCATTAGCCGCTCCTGCTGAAGAGGCTGAGACATACAATCATGTAGTTCCTTAGAAGGTGACTTTGGCTCTTGCCAGCCTGTAATAGTGTTTTAAATTCAAAACCAAAAGAATACATCGTTGGGCGTTCGCAGAACTACATCAGACGGGATTCACTGAGACCATCCATGTAGATTTTGTAAGCGTTTGATATATATATATATTTGCAACACTACAGTGTTCCGAACTTTCAGTTATTAAGTAAAAAAGTACACTACGTAAGTGAAGTTCATAATTTTCAGAATATAATTCCTGTATCCAGATACCAATTTCAAACATTACAACTGTTTTGCCGTTGCTAACGTCAGCACCCGTCTTCATTAGCTTGATCGGGGCAGACAAGTAGGCCGTTAAACCCCATTTCATTTCATTTTTCTAACGCCAGCAAAGGCATCCCAAGCGTAATATCGACTGCACATTAATTGAAAAGAACTTTGGTTAACGACGATGAAACGACAGAGGTTAAAAACTAAAATAAGTCCAATAAAAGTATCTTACCCGATAACATCACCATTCTCACTCCCCAGGCTAAACTCCAGAACCAGCCAACCAGTAGGAAAGTTATAGTGAACAGCTGGGCGAAACCAACCCAGATATTGACACAAATACTAACAATAACATGATCGTCTTTAGAATGCACCCGGGGTTTACCGCAGCATAATATAGCAAACCCACTTACCATCGTACCTGAAAATGAGAGAATTGGCGTGACGTTAGAAGCAGCGGGTATTTTACCCCAAAATTTATCCACCACATCCCATTGGCTGGTGCCACACGCCAATGTGTTAAAAGCTGACAATATCTGAGAATTATAAGTAAATGTCAAATTTACTTGCTGGAAGTCTTAATTATTCATCGAAAATCTGTTCTAAAGCAAAGGCCAAAACGTTTGAAGGGATAGTATTACTAATCGATTAGAATGTCCAAAAGAATAATGTCCGTGCAATCCATTACAGCATTCATTTCCTTATATCAACCTATCAATCTGTATTGATGCCACATGGCGAAGAATACTGTTTGGATACCAGGGAATGCCACATTGAAGAATTATGTCCGTTAAACATACCAGTGTATGTGGTATTGAAGAATAATTTCTGATAAGACATACCAAAGATTTTTAAAATTGAAGAATAATTTATGTCAAGCATGCTAGGTAATGAAGTATTAAATTATACCGCCTGATAAAACATGCCAGGGAACGTCCTGGCAAAGGATACTTTCGAACTGCGTACTTTGGTTTATATCTGAACAGTAAACATTGACTAAATAAGCGAGCACATTTCAGTTCGCCGTTATAGACGATCAAGAAGGAAATGGAAGTTACTGACCTGTTCCGGGTATTAATATATTTAACATCAGACAAATAATAGCTACACTAATTGGCAGGTAAGGAATGGCGGATCGTATCCATGAATCGGTTTTAGCTAACGGAGATTTTGGTTTTTCTTCATTGTGTTTATTAACCAAAGCGACATGATTCTGCATCCGTATATCCACAGACTTTCTGGACATGGAATCAATGGAATATTTCGTAGAATCCCTTCTAGAACCAACTGATAATTTATCTTCGTCGCCCTGAGTACCATCTCGTTTACCAGTAGCAGACGCAGGAACCGAAAGGGCGGTTTTCCCAATAGCTTTACTATCTTTCCGCTCATTAACGCTCACGTGCTTTGAGTCCACAGCCGACCCAGAAACGTGTCCTGGTTTAGAATTCCTTGTGGCGATCTTTTTAAGGGCTGCCCTGGCTAAGATTGATCTAGGTTTCTCTCCCAACTCGTTCAGGATATTATCCGCAGTTTCCTTTGCCTCTTCTGTTTCTGTTTTACTATCTTTATTTAGTACTGACCCTTCCACTTTAACATCTCTAGCAGTAACGGGATCCACTACCGGCTCTTGGCTTTTGTCTTTTTCTTTGTTTTTGTCCTTTTCCTTCGCCTTTTCCTTCTTGGATTTAGAATTAGGTGAACTTTTTGAGGTCTTGACCTCTGATTTTGATTTGGTTGGAGTTCGGGCGGGACTAGCTTCTCTAGAACGAACAGATCCGTTGGCCTTGGCTTTGTCAGTTGCCAGTTTGTTTTCTTTCCTTGGTGTTCCTGGAGGGTTAGGTGTGGTGCTTCTGTTCAATAATGGAAATCGATTGTCTTTCTTCTCTTTAGTTTGGCTGTGACTTGGCGTTGCCGGTACACTTAATTTGTCTTTTCCCCCCTCGTTTTCACTTTTTTTTGTATCTTTTGTGTCTTTTGTGTCTTTTGTCTCTTTTATGTCTTTCGTGTCCTTTGTATCATTTGTTGATTTGTTTTGCACGGAAGTCATTTTTTTCTCAACAACAGATGGTTTACTGCCTTCACTTTTATCGCTTTCGGTGACCGCAATTTTTGAGTCGGCATTTGACTGACTGTGAAGAAGTAACTTTGCTTTAACTGCATCTTTGTTAGACTGTGGATTATCTTTAACCACACTGCTGGTTGCATTTCCTGCTTTGACCGGTTCTTTTACATTGGACGGACTGCCTTTTTGTGTTGGCACCTTTCCTCTATTAAACGGACTTTCCGTGTGTGGATTATTTTCACGCTTGATATCCTGGAGCGGTATGTGTTCCGAAGTTTGTTCTGTCGAATCTTTGGTAGTATCACTTTCTTTTTGTAATTTACTGATATCGTTCTGACTATGTGTAGTTTTAGGCGAGCTGTCATTGTTCTTCAAATCTGCACTTTTTGTTTCCGTCGTAAGGGAATCAACATTAGGGGGATTCACATTGGAAATGTCTTGAATTGGAGGACTTATTGTTTGTGTATCATTGAGGATGGGGTTCACAGTTTTAGTATCAACAAAAGTATTTGTATTCGCCGGTTGGTAATTTCCCTTGCTTGGATTGTAACGTGGCACTTTAGAGCCACTCACGGGTGGCGAACTTCCCTGATTTGTATTATCTTGGACGACATTTTGCTCTGGGTGAGATATTGGAATTTTACTCTTTGTGTCGCTATTTGTTGCGTTCAATCCATCTGTTGCTGATTTAAGGTTGAGGGACGGCGAATCACCTGAAGTGGGTACCGGAAGTTTACTTTTAGACTCCTGTTTATTCGTATTATTTGGTTTTACGGAGGGTGGTGCATCATCAAGGTGCCCCACATCCATATCATCATCATCCTCCCCGAATCGAGTATCCATTACTTCCTGAGAATTACTTGTCATTCTGTTGTTAGCCGAAGCTAAGATGGATTTCTTTTTCTCTTGTATGTTATGACCATTGTCTGGAAATTCCTGTAACGGTTGTGAAGCAGGGAAGTTTTTATGTGTTGGTGATGTCGGAAATTCGTCTTCAAATGATACGTGGAGTTTATTCTTTTCCATGGTTGTCAGAATAAAATACACATCACAGTTTATAATTTACATCTGAAAATAGATAGAAACAAGTTAAACAAGTTAAATCTTTCGGTGGTTCTTTATAAATATTAATCTGGATATGTTAACGTATAGTACAGCGTCCATTTTTAAACAGAAATAACATGGAAAAACAGCAATGTATCCCAAGAGAGAGAGAGAGAGAGAGGGGGGGGATTTCAGGTTCACTCGACACAAACTTTGGTCATTTCGGGACTTTATTTCAATAATTGGCTTGCGCGTAGGGGTCTTTAGCAGTGGGAGGAAACCGGAGGACCCAGAGAAAACCCCACGAGGTTGGAGTATCCCGAAAGAGTTAATCTACTGACTGGTAGTTTTTTAATCCACGATCAACTGATTTTGTTTTAATGGCATACGTATACTAATAACAGACGACATGTCAAACATGAGAAGCTAGCTATACTAACGGTATCCAGAATCCAGAACTTTGTCTGGTTGACGAAGAAACGTTTGTTTACTGCTTTTAAGCAATCATATAACATGTTCGGCTCTGTGAGGGAAGCGATATAGCTTCGATCCAATCTGTTTCGTAGAGAATTACGAGTCTTCTAATACCTCTGTAAAAGATGACTGCCTTTAACACGTGCCGTCACAGCACGCGGCGTCAATCATTGGCTGAATGGCGCGTGCATTGTTTACATAAGACGGTACTGCTTCTGGCAGAATGCTGCCTTTTAGTCATTTAAATACCCATTTACACTAAATAGGAAATAATTTTTACCTACAAATACGTCAAACGTCTTTACTTATTTTTCTAATACATCAAAAAAATGTTTTAGAATCTAATTTGCCGGTGGAAAAAAGTTAATATTTTAGACTCATTAAGTCGCATTGATGTCATCCTTATCAGTGATTGTAGCGGCCTAGCGAATATTCACTGCTGATCAGTGTGGCTTCGATCGTGTAACACTTTTAGTAATAATCAACTAACTTATTAACTGTATAAATAATAGTTTCGCTCAGACCAAGACTGTTCTTGAATACGGATTTTCTTAAATAAAGCAAACCAATCTGAATAGTATCCTTATCAGCATCCTCTCAAGAAGACCTCAAACCAAATAGACGCAAATCGTGAGAATATTGCGTCATGGGAATTCAATTCAGTCGAGAATGTTATTATGCAAATACAATATTACTTAAAACAAAGGTTGGGTTATTGGTTTCCTAGGGCCTAACTGATTATTGGTTTGATTATTTGATTAATGGTTTATAATTGTTTTTATAATTACTTTCATCTTTTGTACTTTAATCAATAATCGATTTTGTTTAGGTTTTGAAGGACATGGTAAATATGGGATGTTCAGAACCGGATAATGATCTATGTTTTAGACATAAAAATTGATATAAATACAATGAAAATAGATTAGGCAATAATCAGACCTAACCGAATTTTTAAAAAAAAATCGAATGGGCGTTTTAAAAAATCCATTGGTCTACTGAACTCCACACTAAGACACATGATTATTATGGTTCGGTGTAGCCATCATACCTCTCCGTTTAGGATGAAGGGTTGTGGTGTTGTGGTTGTGGCACGTGGGTCGAGAGGCGCCTTCAAGGGTTTCCTTGCTTGTCAGAATTGTGCCCCTGGACCTGACAAGGGAAGTGTGTCTAGTCTAATCTAATCCTTGAGTGACATTTAGCGATCGGGAAACACATTAACAGTTTTTATGGGAAACAATCACTAGTTTTATTCTAAAAGCACGACGTTTCGACAAGCCTCCTCTTATCGTTATCAAACACAATGACATTTAGTAAACTTGGGGGCAAGATTCCTAGTCTTTTGGACGGGACGAAATCCTATGTCTACCCATGCACGTAAAAAAAAATAGTGAGATGTTAATTGTAGGCCGGTTGGGGAGGTTCGGGAGGAGGATCACTGTGGCTTAGTGGGCGAGACGCTGGTTCTCCCTTGTCAGTGATGCAGGACGGAGGGCCTGACAAGGACAGCTGTCTTGTCATTCAGATGAGACGAAAAACCGGGGTCCTGAGTACACGTTGGCGTGCACGTAAAAGATCACTTGACAGTTGGAATTCGATATAAGAATCGGCCGTAGTGCCGCTGTCCGGGCAAAATTTCCCTCGTAGCACACTGTATGGCGTATGTCCCTCTTCATTAGTCCAGTTCGGAACAGAACAGTAGGATTTTAAACCCCATTTCATTTCTCGGAGGTTCAGGATCTTCTGGAGTTCACACTGTCCACTTTCTATAAATAAGTATATTGGGGGATACTAACCCTATCCCTTTTTAGAAGACTGAACTTAGATCGAATTTACCTTTTATCCCTCTTAAAAGGGTTAGGGTTAGGGTTAATATTCCCCAAAATACTCAATTATATAAAGCGGCCATTGGGGACGCCGGAAATTCCCGAACCTCCCCAACCGGCCTGCCAATTAGCATCTAAAAAAATGATATTTGGAAGAACAGATTGAAACGCCGTTGTTCGAAGTAAATTAAAATGGCAGTGTGTTAGTCTCAAAGTAGTCTAGCTAAGATATCGAGCAGATGTTAATCTCCATCATAATTAATTTAAAAAAAAAAAAAAAGAGAAATCGGGTTTAACGTCCACGTGACACAAACTAGGTCATTTCGGAACTAACCTATGGTTGAATTTTATTTCAATACTTCGCTCGCACGTAGGGGTCTTTAACAGTGGCAGAAAACCGGAGTACCCGGAGAAAACCAACGAGGTAGGACAGACGACCTTACTCCTTGTATTTATGTAAAAGCAATACAGTGGACGATACAGGACATGTCTGTTTCTTCTACAAGACCTTTCCACAATAGTAGCTGTGAATGTCTACATGGTTGTCTCGGGATTTATTTTGTTCACATTAATACGTCATACTCTTGATCATTTGCAGTCCTATCAAAATTAGAGTCATGCAAAACATATTAGAATATTAGTAATAAATCAATAAATTATAAATAAAATGCACGAACATGTACAACAAAAAACATCAAATGACTACGCACTTGAATTCATTTTTGCAACATTTCCGGTCGTTGCACAATACTTATTGATCATGCATTTTTATTTGTAGTTTCTATAGAACTTGCCTATTATTGTTCAAGGTTTAAAACTATGCCCTGACACCGATTGTTTGTATTTCCTTTGAAGTACAATGTACCATTATCTAATTTATCAGAAGGAACAGCCCAGATCTTAACCGTGATACAGGGATATTTTTGCCCAATGCGTATGATCAACTAATTTAAATAATAGCATGGTTCCACCACTCCTTATAAACTGTACAAGTGTACTGTGTGTTGTCTTTTGACTAGTTATTGTGTTTACTATCGTGCTATATTCATTTTTATAAATTGTTTTTTGTTTTTACATTAAATCTATAACTCTATTGCATATCTAATTATCCTATCATAAAATTACAAGTGTTAATAGATATGTGCAATGAAATAACAGTTATATTTAATCTACCCTTCATCATGTAACATTTATCTGTTGTATATACTCCATTGCCTTAATTTATTGTCTTAACTATAATAATAATCACCTCCCATATTCGGTTAATATCGCAACTACTTAGTCAGCTTATTGATCGTTTAACATCGGGGTTTCTTTTCTTACTTTTGTATATTGTTACCAAATTGTGTCACAACCCTTTGATCTAATTGTTTTAAGGTATGGTTTCCATTTTTGTTGTTAAGACATCCTCACTGGCCATGGACTATAAGTTAATTAACTCTCTATCTGCTATTGTATATCTTAATAAGTGTTGGTGTAGGCCTTTGATCATGTTGTTGCTATGTATGGTTTCGGTTGTGTTGTTGTATTTTGTCTATATATATTTGCCTCATACCTGTTTTACTGTATTAGCTTGATAACGTTGAGAGAATACTCTACGAAACGTCGCCTTAAATACACTAGTAGCTGTTTTCCATAAGTATGTGTTTTTTTGTTAATTTATTTCAGTTATCAAGAACGATCGTTAAGGGAAGACTGATATCATTAGCGGATCTAGAAGCTGAGAGTAGAGAGTGGGCGGGGGTGGGGCAAATCTAGGGCGCCATCCATAATCTCAACCCACAATGAAGGTCAACAAAATACGTTTACTGGCTATTTTAGTCAATGTCATGGCAAATGGGAGTACTACCCCGCCTTCCCTCCCCCCACACACACCCCTTTAAATCCGCGTCTGATTGGGATTGAAGACAACTAATCTGTGACACTACTACAGCTCTGTTACAAGATCAGAATATTTGTCACGAACATCAGCTCTTTAATGTGAGGTGACGCTACAGTCACTATTGTCCTGTAGATTGCTCGGTCTTCTATTTTAGGTTTGATAATTTGAACTTAATACAGTAAAACGTCAATCGCATAAGTAAATAATGCAACTTTATCTTCATGATGGTCACTTGGTGTCTGAAATGAGGAAACCTTCGCGCTTCTAAATTTAAATAGAGAACCGCCCATGGAATTGGATGCGTGGGAGACTTTCTGAACCCTGGATTTCCATATTTTTAAAATGCAATCGCAGGGTCTAATTTTATTAGATAGGTGAATATTAAACACCATTCCTACCTTCTGAAGACCCATCTACATAAATATATCAATATGTTGAAAACTCCTAGAATTTTTATTTTGGTTAGTATCGGTATTGCACTGATCTGACATATTATGACAACTACCCAAAGCTACCGAAATCGTATAGGCGTACTATTAATTTAACATTTAACAGGAATGTTCAAACACATTTGATGGTAAACTTATAATATTGGTGAATTTAGGTGATTATGTAAATCGCGTTACCCGGCGAAAATAATAAAGTTACCTCATTCATCTCAATGGTATATATTTTGGAACATTTTTATTTCTATTTCTATGAGAAAACTGTCACATTGTCATAATGAACTACAAGGAGGAAAATAAAATCGAGCAAAGAGATCTTATCGTTGGCCCAACGAAACTTGAACCATCCCGGCTTTCCATTAAAACATAAAACATATTGACCATGCAACGTGTGTGGTTAAATTACATATTCATATATAAATGAATATCGCAGCTTTATTTAAATGAATTCATTATTCATATCTATATTTATAAATGGATATATACATGTATCGCGGCTTTATTTTAATAAAGAAACACAATACAATTAAAATTAAATCTTTATTTAAAATAGCTAAGTCTCTAACTCGGTATCATCCAAAGTCTTCGACATTGAAAACACGAATTATTTATTAATTTAAATCAATTAACATTGACGTTCGTTGTGATCTTACCGGGAAAAGATGGGCTTATGATATCCAATATTTAAGACAAAATAAACATTTTACCAGTGTACCATAATGCGTTTCAGCGCCATTTGTAATAAGGGACTCAAAGAACGAGGCTAGACATATTATTCCACGGTGACGTCGTATTTGTATCTGGTAGAGCATGCGCAATAAACCCTATCGGTGTAGACTGGAATAATCAGACGCTAGAGATTGCCATTCGACTGAGACTTCTGACGTATTTCGCCGAACATAACTGATTTGAAATTAGATTTATGTCAATTTCTAGGTCCAAAATATTAGCGATTTATCTTCTTTAAATGAATATATTCAATGCTTCCCGGATATGGGCGTTTCCGCCTACTCTTCTTCGAATTCAATAACTGTCCTGGGGTTCTTTTACGTGCATTTTAGTTTGATTACGGGTGGACCTAGGATGTTCGTCACGACTACGCAACAATTTTCTCTCAGCCCACCCAGCAGGCAAAACCCCTGGCAATTTCAAACCGTGCTTGAACAACACAAAGGTTCTTCTCGTCGTCGTTTGCATTCGACCCCGTAACATTCTAGCCTGGATTCGAGTTCTCGACTACCTCGGCCCAAATATATTAATATTACCAAACAATCAGATGGTATTAAAACCACGGCATGCGAACCATAAGGTCCCTTAGTGGGTCCAGGATATAAATTCGTTGTTTATAATTTACAGGTATCGATAACTAAAAATATCCAATATTTCCAGAAATATCTGAATTTGCTTTTTAAAAAAAACCAGTATGTTTTTGCTTCTGCGACCCTAATTTAATCAACACACAAAAACAAAATTAAATCGAAACTATTATTTGACACCTGACATGACATGACACCGACATAATACGTCTACCTTTATGACGTCTGATCTAGATACGGAAATTGGAACTAAGTAAACAAACGTATTATTACTATATACACACTATAAACCCCAACAGTCTGTTTACCTGAGAATTAATCGAACTTTGATCAAAATATGTACACTAACCTGGGATTACTGAGAAAATGTCAAAGATTCACATTTACACGAGAAGGATGCCGATGAAAAGAATAAAATGGGTTACAAACTACGAACGTCTTCCACAAATAATATCAATAAATCGCTTACTGAAGAACCACATTTATAATGAAGAAAGATTCGCTTCATGATTCGTAATGAACTTACCTTCAGTTCTTGAACAAGTGGATTTTAAGTCGTCATATTAACGGGAAGGCCTGGTAGTAATGACAAGACTGTAACTATTTCCGATAATCTATAATAGTTCCAATAGTTCCAATAGATCAGTTCCACTGGGACTAAGATGTTTATCAGTCTACAAGTAATTTATCACCAGCAATGGTCGTGGTTGGCTGCCTATATTAAATGTCAATAAATTGTCAAGTAAAGGAGGAATAACGATCTAGTGCTGCAAGGAGTCATTGAGTCGGGCAGTCGTCAATACTTAATATTTGTTCTCTTTTATAACCAACGCCAATCGCCACCTTCGATTTTTACCTGTTGTGACTACGTCATGGCTTTTTAAAGAGGTTGTAACACTGTACATGACTGGCAATTACAGCTGATCGTCAAATAAATAAATATTGAAGACAAAACAAGCCTGGTCGTTCACATATAGCTCAAACGTAGTATAAGGACTATTGGTATGAAGTGATTTTATTCATTATATTACTTTTGAGTATATAAATAAAACAAACTTTATGAAGAATTTAAATGGCCCATACGAAAGAAATATAAGAATAATTATCACTTTATTAAAATTGTTAAAAGACGAATGACGGTGTGAAATCAGTAGAAACAGTATGCACAAAGTTATAATTCACCAATCTGAATCATTTTTGGACTAGAAATGTTTTTCAATGAAAGTCTATAAATAGTCATTATTCTGGCAATTTAAAGCTTTAAAATTTAATATACGTAATATATTAACAAAAGTTTGAGACAGTTTCGAAGATCAAACAAGTTATTGTTATTGTAAAAAGAGAGAGAGAGAGAGAAATGGTGTTTAACGTCCACTCGACACAAACTAGGTCATTTCGGGACTATATTGTAAAAAGAAAAACATATTAAATATGCATTATGTAAGAGCTAAAAGTGTTTATTGCAGGTTTTTCTATGGTCTCAAATGTTATATAAATTATTAATTAGACATTTATTCACATGCCAAGCCCATAATCAACTCTCTAGATCATCGGGTGGTCGTGATTTTTAATGGATTGAAAAACGATCGCCATTTAATAATTTAATTTAAAAATGGATAATCGAGACTTTGTTTATTATCGTAAGAATGGTAGCTATGCAAATCAAGACTACGCTATTCTTATCAAAACTTCCAGCATTCATAACCTCGCTTAGAATAATTGAAATATTCAATATATTTATTTTTTATTATCTATCTTTAAACTACTGTAGCTCTTTATCTAAATCTTACATGATGCATCTTTACGTTAGAATTCACCAATTTGAATCATATTTGGACTAAAATGATTTTAAATAAAAATACTTCTGGGTTTAAACTCTATTATTTTGGCGTTTTGGGGCTTTAAAATAACACTAGGTTATGTGTAAAGTTTGAGACAGTTTCGTACATCTATTAAGTTCTTGTTAATATACAAAATACAATATGATTAAAACAGTTTTAAGGGTTATTCGAGGCGAAAACACGACACTGGCGTTGTGACATTTTCAAATTACAGTAATTTATAGTTGAGTCTAGGTTTATTTGAAATACGCTATGATTTGATATAAGAGAATTGAAACTACCCACGTTTTTGCTCTGATGGATGTTAAAGACATTTAATTTCCTAGTAAAGGTATCCGAGTCTGTTTAAGTTGATTTAATGTGATAATGGAAACTGGTGGCTGGTATCCAACCGTGATGACGATATTAAATAAATCGAAGAATATTGAGCTGATTGAAACAGTTGTTATGTCATAATGACAACAATAACAACCATAATTTTGAGATAGCGGCATAGCAGGATGGGAGCGAGGGTACAAGAACATCTGCCACCCTCGTCCCACTAGGGCGAAGGATGGAGGGGGGGGGGGATTTTCCTATGAGCTCTGGCCTGTAATACCCGTTAATAATTACGAGCGCTGACTGAAAAGTTCTATGAATAGATCAATTGGGTTGAAACAAACTTTTGTCACCAACAAGTATACAATCATTGAATGAATCATAGACATAGTATTATTGTTGTCTTCGTACCAGACCATCTTGTGAACTTGCCCAGAAATGGACAAAGATGGTTATAGAACAGCCACCAAGTACCCAAAACAGATAGATGCCGACATGGTCTCCACTTTAGGGGATGATGTCCCTTCCTTTTCCACTGCGTAATTTAAGCGTGATCACTCAACATATTGCCAGTGTTGTGGCCATCTCTCATGAGAGGGTTGAGCACATAATCGTCAATGAGTTGGGAATGACAAAAGTTTCTGCAAGCAAGTGCCAAAGCTCTTGACTCAATTGACTGCGTATCAGAAACGTGTCAGATTCCTGACGTCCCGTGGCAATCTGTGCCGTTTTGAAGCAGATCCTGATAATTTTTTCGTCAGAGACCTGTTTCCAAAAATGAAAAAGAAATTAGTCAGTCGTCATTTTCTTTTTTTTTTATAGAAAATTTCTTCACGACCGGCATCCAGGCCTTGCAAAATCATTGGCAAAAGTGTGTACACCTCGAAAGGGACAGTGTAGAAAAACAAATGAAAACCATCGACTTTGTACAGCTCTTTCACAGAGAGGCTTAGAACTTTTCAGCCAACTTTTCGCTTACCCTATCCCCACTTTTGTAAGATTCATATATTTATATACTCGCTACGTCATCGTTTTTAGATGAGCAACTTTTATATAACCGATAATCTATAGTTGAGTTAATATTATGGCTTTCCTTTGGTCTGTTACATCCTAAATTTTCTAAAGTGCTAACTAATTATAAAAGCTTTATAATAATACGGTGCAGCAACACCCCTTTTTAAATAAAATGATGCTACTTAATATGTGTAGAAGTTTACAGTGAACGTAAAGGGTACCAATAAGGCAAAATGGTGCTGTCATGGCAAATCCCCCATTAAGACATACTAGAGAGAGAGAGAGAGAGAGAGAGAGAAAGAGAGATGGGGTTTAACTCCACTCGACACAGACTAACACATGGTTCAGTTTTATTTCCATAATTCGCTTGCGCGTAGTGGTCTTTAGCAGTGGGGGGAAAGCGGAATACCAGGAGAACACCCAGGAGGTTTGACAGTCGACCCTATGTAACGTACAACCGGGAAATCGAAATCTCGCCAGTTGACTTAATGACAGACCGTATTATACAGCGCACACGTGCTAACCATTCGGCCATACAACCCCCGAAAAAACAGACTATAAATTGACACGCATTCTCTATTCAATCGGTGTCGCGGTTTGATTGGGTACTGTTACAAAATATACAACTTTAAAGGAGGCAAGTCTTTAACTCAATGTCATCCACAGTCTTCGACATTGCAAACATGACTTATTGGTCAATGTAAATCAACATTGATGTTGTTATCTTACCGTGAAAAGTTGGGCTTCTGATATCCAATTTTAAGACAAAATGAAAATCTAAAAATTACCACACGAATGGCGGGCCAGAATACTTTGTATAAAGCGACTCGATGAACGAGGCTAAACATATCGCGTGTTTCTCTTAACATAACTGATTAGAAATTACAGTAAAAACAGAAACGATTGAATGTAAATTCAGTTTATATACATACATATTACATTATTATATGTTTTGCGACCCATTTGTATCCATTTCTAGATGCCAAAGAATAGCGATTTACCTCCTCTAATCTTGATTCTAGGGCAAATATAACTCAATGTCTACATAATAATAAATAAAAAGATTTAAATCAATAAGACATACAATACCAAATAAAAGGTTGTACTACAAATAAAAAATTGTGGTTGTTAAAACGTGCTCTAGTAGGGAATCAAAATAAAAAGTTAAAAACACAACATCAACAGGATAAATCAATTCTTAGTTGTTGTAAAAAAGGCTCCACATGAAAACAGAGTGGAATTGGGTTTAAAATCCCACCAACACAATATCTGGGTCATATTTACATAGCTACGGGTTGTGCATTACGAGGATGGGCAGTAAAGGGAGGCGGCGTATTTCCAGAGAACATATTAAAACGGGGAACAAAAAACATACACAACCAATTGTGTACCATGTGAAAGGAAACCGAATTAAACCGGTTACAGAGTCAAACCGGTACGAGTCGGGAATGATATTTGCGTTTAGTTTTTCGATGGAGGCAAAAAATACCGAGATCCCTTGTACTAATTAATCGTGTACTTAAATTATCTTTTGGCAGTTAGAAAAGCCGATATCCTGGTCAAAATCCTTCCAACAGCTATAGAATAAAAATCCCATATATCTAAATAACGTGTCTGAGAGATATGTTATACTCCATAATTCCGTCCCACAACGATATGAAGTATGACTGACACAAGGTAATTAACACGCAGCTGTGCTCATTAAGCTAAAAATATTGATCAATCAACTAGTTCTATATTCTGACAGAACAGTATCTAACTAAATAAAAATTGGTTACATAAACAACGTTTCTTATGACACGTAATCAATTTTATAACGATCGATGTGATGAAGAGATAGAGACTAACAATTTTTTTTTTAAAAAAAAACCTTATTATTTTGTTACGCGATGGCGAATTGGAGACCTTCATTAATTTAACTTGTACAAATATTAGATATTACACACAACAATTATATCGAGGTTTATCAGTAAATAATCAGATTTTTCATATTCTTGTACAGTTTATGTCGTCATAGATGGTATTCAATAATTTAGGGTTTTTTCCTTTATTAAAAGAAAGCAGGTTTTAAAGTACTTGGTTGAAATGCGTTGTATGAGAAACATGAAATTAGGTCGCAATGTCTGACTCCTTCCGCAATTTCTATGAGGACTGTCATCCACTGGCGAGTCTGAACGATATAGCCCTGATTCATGTCAGATTCCACCCGAAACACGTAATATTAATTAAGTTTGAGAGAGGGAGAGAGAGAGAGAGAGAGAGAGAGGGAGGGAGAAGTGGGGTTTAACGTCCACTCGACACAAACTAGGTCATTTCGGGACTAACATATGGTTTAATTTTATTTCAATAATTCGCTTGCGCGTAGTGGTCTTTAGCAGTGGGAGGAAACCGGAGGACCCGGAGAAAACCCACGAGGTTGGACAGGCGACCCTACTCCTTGTCACGTACAACCGGGGATTCGAAACCAATTAAGTTTGATTAATTACATTTAGAAAATTAAATATTTCACAGTACAATTTTACCGAGACAGCGGCGGTGCTATATGGCCTATTCAATGGTTCTTTTAACTTTGTTACCGCCTTTTTGTACCAGTCGAACCACTAGGCGCGGTTTCCGCCCAGGCCATCCATCCTGCATCACTTATAAGAGACACCGCCCCGGATACAGATAGTGGACAGGCACATCACTCACTCAGCCACCGAGACCACCGATATAGTTCTAGGTCAAATGCGTAAATACGTGTGAATATTCTCACAAAAGCTCCGAATCTGATAAAAAAAACGTTTACTTGATTCGCTCATCAGGTGGTTTTGGTACTAATAACTCTCTTGTGTACAGGCCTCTTTGGTTAAATCTTCGAATTGTGCTAACCACACATTGGCGTCTATCGTCAACGATAAATCAGAAAGATCGCCACCTAAAAGATCTCTACTGACAATCTATTGCCGAAACATCTATATTATGGCATAGTTTGGGATAAATTTGCGCGACAGATTTTCGCGGACAAGAAATCCAACTATCTGCAATAATTAGTCCTTAGTTTGTACAGGCCTTAATACTATAACTATCAAAGATTCTATTATAGTATATTTCTGAATCCATTCCATTCTTTAGAATGTTTCTATACTCGGATTTCCTTAATTAGATAGTACAGGCAATATACCACCAGCACCTCAAACAAAATAGTACATACACGCTAATTACCCCAGACTTCCATTCATCAGCTTTCTAAAGCGGTATTATACATACGTATGAAACTCAAATATAGAGTTTAAAATCTTAAATCATTATATTAACCCCACAAGAAAAACAACTGTTCAAGTCCACCAATACTTACTTTGAGTTTTGCCATTTGAATTTTACATTGGTTCCTATTGAATTATCTTCGCCACCTTTCTTCGATATAGTTGATAGAAATAATACAAAATACAAGCCAACGTTATACGTATAGATCTTGTCCGGACATTTACTTAATTTGATTGAATTTAGATATGTTTACTTAGTAAAGTAGCACACATTATTTTACTATAAAATATTTATGTGTATCGTGTGTTGTCTCTTTAACCATGTTATTGATATTACCAACGGTAAATTACCAACTGTAGTAATTAATCCTAGGGGAAGAATCGTATAGTATTATTATATTACCCTAAAGTAGAAATCATTTCCTATATCATCGACATTATCAAGTCAATGTATTATCGATATCGGTTTCACATGTCAACAGTAATAAGCCAATTTACGAATCTATCCATAATAATCTAAACAATAACAAAGCAAAAGTGTATATTGTTAGGCCTACGCTCTGAGGGAAACCAGCTCCGATTTTAGTACTGGTTATATATATCTCTCTGCGTTAAGGATGAATTATTCAAGAGCTAAATCAGCATATTGCAAGTCGTTTTTGGGTTTCAAATGTTATATAAATTATCAATTAAGCATGTATTCACATGCCAAGCCCATTTTAGACCATAGGGTAATCGAAATATTAATGGATTGTCATTTAATAATTTAACGCTAAACTGGATGGACGAGACCATGTTTATTAATTATCTTAGCATTGTATCTTGACAATCTAAACAATCTTGTCAAAACTTCAAACACTCATAACTTCGATCAGAATAAAGTCATTTGACGGAAAATTTCAATATATTCATTTTTTATTATCTTTTTTGAACTATTATAGAAAATAGATCTTTATCTAAATCTTACATTATGCATCTTTAAATCAATTTTAATTACTTCCGCGACACGTAACATAGGATTAAACCGAAGTTGGAAACGGAAATTTGTATTTAATAATAATAAGTCCATTTATATCGCGCTAATTCCACATATAGTCGTGCTCATAGCGCTATTTGTCACTATAGGAGTCATTGGTCTGGAATATAGATTATCTCCGGAATCAATTTTCTAGGGGACATGTATCTCGGGGACCAGTTGTCTGTGAACCAACTTTCTTAGGTGCGAATGTCTCCGGGTACAATAATGTTTAGAGCAATTAAGTTGTCTCGGGACAAATTATCTCCGGGGTAAATTGTATTGGACCTTATTGTCGCCGCCACATGAAAGAATATTAATATGCTTTGCGCAGTACATTAATGTAATAGTGTGAATGTACATAAAATATCGATTAAAACTAACTAACAGCGTGGCTTATTTTAGAAGAATGAATTATTAAAATATCAGATATTCTGCTCTACATACCTAAATTATTTGAAGGAATGTCGTCTGATGGACTACTTAGTCTATACGTACTAAACGGGGTATTATCTCTCTCACTTGTACCGTAATTAACTGTGTCCTACCGTATTTAAATGAAATGGGGTTTAACGTCCTAGTCCTACTGTTTCTGCACCAACTGGGCTAATAAAGACGGTCGTATCTAAAACAACCGCATGTTACCCAACCGTGCAAGTAGGTTCTTAATGTGTCAGCCTTTTTCAATTTCCGAGGGGAGGGGGGAGGGGGGGTGAAGTTAATTCCTCTTTAAGTCCAACGCTGTCATTCATAGTCTAACTTCTTTCAATTTTCGAAGAGCCTATTTTTGAACAATTCAATATAATTATTATTATATCGTTATTAGAACCCCAGTTCAATTGAATTGCCATTGGGGGGATTTTATGCGAATGCGTTGAATAGCTTTAGTTATAACAGCCAAATACCGTCATTTCTTTATAAATCAAAAGGACGTTAAACCCCATGGCATTTCATTTATAAATCAAAAATTTTATTGATTAGAATGTCCCTTTAAATACGAAACTAAGCCGTTCAGGAACTCGCTTTTTATAGTCACGTGACCAACTGCAGCCATGATGGTGGGTGTTGCAGACTATTTATTTACTTTTTTATGTTTTTATATGAAATTGAAAGAAAATCATTCATTATTTGGTCGAAAATTAAACCATGACCTTGTGTATTTCAGGACGGAATAGATGACAGCCCTGACCTCCTTGCTGAGGATAATATCAAGGTAAAAATATATCGAACAATCAGCAAACTGACAAAATGCCATCGTTAGTATCGTATGATCGCCCGGCTGGCGTATTCAACAATATATTGCACAATGCAAATTTATATTTTGTTTTATTATTCTATGGTTATTTCACTATCTAAGCTGTGTTTCATTTTATTATACAAGAATATGAAAGTGTCATTTATCGAAAGTCATAACTTTCATAAGAGGTGACTGCAAAGAGACCTGTTCAAGATTGTAGTACATCTACATATAGGCTACTACATGTACTGGTGTAAGCTGTATTACTATATAAAATATGTAACAGCACAGCCACAGGCATTGTAGAACGAAGCAGATGTGATTGTTAAATATAAAACCTTCATAATTATGCTTCTCAAGTGATACAAATAATGTTAAATAATTTCATTTTTCCGAATTGATTTTAATCTAAATCTAAATTGTATGATTCATTTTGTTTAAAAAAAAAAAGAACAAAAAATGTGAGAATTATTTTCATTGACGTCAAAAATACACGTAATCTCACTTGGGTGAGATTTGGTAAGTTGGCATGCACATTGCCAGTTTGCCCTTTGTATCCAGTTCTGGTCTGAAATTTTTTTATTCAACAGTCTGTCTGTGGGTGACAGACTTGCTCAAGCACCACACTTTGTGCGATGCTCTATGTTATCATTCATGGAAAAATGGAAAATTAACTGTAATTTGCAGAACTCCTCTTAATCGGTTCATGTATTGTATTCCTAGTCATGTAGCAGTTTGCCAAGTTGGCAGTACTAGGTTTTATGTACTGGGTAACATGCTTTGTTTGAATAAACCAATAAACAGACCACACACAAATCACTACATGTACTGTTGCCTACTATACCTGTGATATTGACATTGTTGTTTATGTATTTATTAGTCATTGACATCAGACCGGTATTCTGAAACTGATAAAAACATGAGTCACAGTATTTAAATAACAGTCTGTTCATTAATAAAATATGTCAGTTAATCTTTGGTTTGTGAAAAGTATAATATAATGATGATTTATGATCTTATAAGGATTATCTTTCATTTTTTTTTTTTAATATTTTAAAAAAAGCTTTTTAAAACTTACATGTATGCATCTACAAGGATATAAATAATTGAGTGGTACTTGTACTATGTATATTGTCCACATTTACCCCATTCTTCAGAATCCGTCAACCATTTTTTCCTTTATTTATCTAACCCTTGTACATATGCGATGTATAGGTAATTTTGGCTGTTGACTGATTCTGCTATCTAGCCAAAAAAGTAATCTAAAGCTTATTGACAACCAATCTTTGATAATTTCAGAGTCGTTCTGATACAGTTGATCTAACAGACACATCTCTCTTGGTTGACATATCAGATGCTTTAAGTGAAAGAGATAAAGTCAAGTTTACTGTACATACCAAGGTAATTATGTTATTATCTTCATTACTCATTTATGGAGTTTTTAATTAATTAGCCTACATGTATATACATGTAGACATTATACTGAGGTATACTCAAACAGATTAGTAATTTACTTTTATAACACTCTTATGACAAAGAAACAGGTGTCCGAAAGGATTGCTTTTTACTCTTAAATTCAGCAAAACTGATGCTTTTTCATTGATTTTAACATAAAATAACTTTCATTGAAGATCAACTCGGGTGGCAATATTATTACAAATTAAATATCAGGCTCTGTTCACGTTGATTTCCATATCTATTAATTCAAAATAGTTTTGAATGTAGTCATTGTCTGTAATTTTAGTACTGTCACTGATCTATGTTTTTCAGACAACACTACTACAGAGGTTTAAACAAGCTGAGTTTTCTGTTGTTCGTCAGCATGAAGAGTTTATTTGGTTACATGATAGATATGTTGAAAACTCTGAATATGCTGGTATTATTGTAAGTGTCTTCAGATGACATTTTTTGGACCCACATCTTGTCGTTCTTGGTGTGGGGTGGGGGGTCGACTCTTTTCTAAAAAAGCCAAAGGCTCTGCCAATTCATGTACAATCGCCACGTGACTTGGCATGCTGGTTCCGTGGACAATTGCACATCGATGGCTGGACTACTTTTGATGTGACGTCATAATTCCAAGTTCCTTGTCAATAGTACTGTGGTACTTGTTGTATAAGTTCTGTGAAAAATAAACCCTGTATTGGCTGTATATGATATATTGAGTAACAGAGGAATTCAATCTTCTGAAAGGGGACATGCACTAGTGTTCTGTGAATAGTGTAATTGATATATAATATAGTAGATGACAAAAAGCTAACTTTATTATCAGAAGTCTTTTTAATGACAATCTACCAGGTTTGTTTCAAAATTTGCATTCCTAAATAAATGAACAGCTGTTTTCTCAGATCTGTGTCACAATATATGTTTATTTATTTCTGTAATTATAGATTCCACCAGCACCACCAAAACCAGACTTTGAAGCATCTCGTGAAAAATTACAGCGGTTAGGTGATGGGGAAGGTACAATGACAAGAGAGGAGTTTGCAAAAATGAAACAGGAGCTAGAAGCGTAAGTTTCTAATCCACCATTTGTATAATTTTACTTTATGTCCATGTTTACTCAGTGATGCCCCCCCCTCCCCCTCCCTTTTTTTTTCAAGTCTCACCATTTTGATTCATGTACGAATCCAATATCTTATTTGTATATTTGTCAGTTGGACCAATATAATTTCTGCTCTAGAAATGTGGTTGTTTCTTTCTTTTGTTTTGGCTTTTAGGAATTAAAAACCACTTTTATTAGAAACAGACTATGATAATTATAAACTGGATTGTACATTAACTTACATGTATATAAGATGTGAATTTCTTGTTTCAGCTGTTGTAATTTATTTATGTTTTATTTGTATATTTTTCGTTTAATTATAGTGAATATTTAGCTACATTTAAGAAGACAGTAGCTATGCATGAAGTATTTTTACAAAGATTAGCAGCTCACCCTCTTCTTAAAACAGATGTTAATTTTGAAGTTTTTCTAGAATTTGATTCTGATGTAAGTTTTTTTTAAAACTTTTGGGCATAAGATCCAATATTTTTTTTTTATATATTTATTAAATTTGATTCTGATACAAGTATTCTTTTAAACTGTGGTTTTTAGTGTAGAATTGAAAATAATTCTGTATATAATATATAGCCATAAGTTGTGAATAGGGCTCCAAATTATGATAGTTTCCTCCCACTGCTAAAGACCCCTACGCGGAACCGAATTATTGAAATAAAATTGAACCATGTTAGTCCCGAAATTACCTAGTTTGTGTTGAGTGATGTTAAACCCCATTTCTCTCTGTCTCTTCAAATTATGACAGGGATTAATAAGATTATTTCTTGAATTGTTTATGTACTCTAAGAGGTTTTTATTTACTTGTAGTTAAGTGTACGAGGTAAAAACAAGAAAGAGAAAATTGGGGGCTTTTTTAAAACTATTACTAAAACAGCAGATGAAGCATTATTAGCACAACAAAAGGTGAGAAATTTAAAGTTTATCTATTCGACTATATTGGATTGTTTATTGTATGCATAATATAACAGAATCCCAAGCAACCTACTACCGGTATGTCTTAAACAAAATTAACACTTAGTTTATGGTTTGGAGGGTTCTTAGATCAAGATTAGGAGGGAGAGCTTACTGTTCCAACATTTTTGTTCGATCTTTGAAGATGAGTATGGTGTTAATGTTATGGTGTATGAAATAAGTGAAAGATTGGAGAGATTCAAATATTTTTTACAAATTATTCTCTTACTTTTTTGTCAAGATTAAATAAGTACTAAGCCTGTGGAAAATATCGATAGTGTCAATTGGAAGGCCAAGAAAAGCACTATCGATTATCGTGCTTTATCTATTTTTCTTGTGTCTGAAATTTCAATGTTTTCTGTCAGTAAATCATAATACACAGATTGTAAATCACAAATTTTAATTTGTCAGTGTTTTGGAATACGATAACTTTCTGATTGTTTGAGGTGATGAAACATGATGTTTTATTACATAATGCCATGACTAAATTCAATTATGAGCATGTGTATTGGTATATTGGCAAAAATGTGTACTGGTATATTTGATAATAAAATGTGTTCTGGTATATTTGATAATAAATGTGTACTGGTATACTGGTGATACTGTGTGATAATAAATGTGAACTGATATAGTACATGTATATTGGTAATAATTTGTGATAATAAATGTATACTGGTATATTTGCAGGATGTAGATGAATTTTTTGAAAGTGAGAAGCAATTTCTTGTTGAATATCACAATAAGATTAAAGATGCTACAGCTAAGGCTGATAAAATGACCAGAGCACATAAATGTAAGATTGTATTTTATGATTAACGTCCAGGAATATATAATAGCAGTAAATTATATTAAAAAATTATATTTATAATTTTCCAAATAACGAAAATGAATTTAGTTTTGAGTGTTTCAAAAAGTAGAAGATAAACTTCCATAGGTCTTTGGTAGAAGGGGCACAGGGCAGGAAAGAAGAGACAGTTGCTAATTTTTATCAACTTTTAAATATATAGGTGTTCTATTGACCCACTTCTTATATTAGAAATAAAGCCTTTCACTTCTTATATTAGAAATAAAGTCCTTCACTTCTTATATTAGATATAAAGTCCTTCACTTCTTATATTAGATATAAAGTCCTTCACTTCTTATATTAGAAATAAAGTCTTTCACTTCTTATATTAGAAATAAAGTCTTTCACTTCTTATATTAGAAATAAAGTCTTTAAACTTCCTATATTAGAAATAAAGTCCTTCACTTCTTATATTAGAAATAAAGTCCTACACTTCTTATATTAGATATAAAGTCCTTCACTTCTTATATTAGAAATAAAGTCTTTCACTTCTTATATTAGAAATAAAGTCCTCCACTTCTTATATTAGAAATCAAGTCCTCCACTTCTTATATTAGAAATAAAGTCTTTCACTTCTTATATTAGAAATAAAGTCCTCCACTTCTTATATTAGAAATAAAGTCCTCCACTTCTTATATTAGAAATAAAGTCCTCCACTTCTTATATTAGAAATCAAGTCCTCCACTTCTTATATTAGAAATAAAGTCCTCCACTTCTCATATAAGAAATAAAGTCCTTCACTTCTTATATTAGAAATCAAGTCCTCCACTTCTTATATTAGAAATAAAGTCCTTCACTTCTTGTATTAGAAATAAAGTCCTCCACTTCTTATATTAGAAATCAAGTCCTCCACTTCTTATATTAGAAATAAAGTCATTCACTTCTTGTATTAGAAATAAAGTCCTCCACTTCTTATATTAGAAATAAAGTCCTCCACTTCTTATATTAGAAATAAAGTCCTTCACTTTTTGTATTAGAAATAAAGTCCTCCACTTCTTATATTAGAAATAAAGTCCTCCACTTCTTATATTAGAAATAAAGTCTTTCACTTCTTGTATCAGATATAAAGTCCTTCACTTCTTATATTAGAAATAAACTCTTTCACTTCTTATATTAGATATAAAGTCCTTCACTTCTTATATTAGAAATAAAGTTCTTCACATCTCGTATTAGAAATAAACTCCTTCACTTCTTATATTAGAAATAAAGTCTTTCACTTCTTGGAGGAGTTAAAATAAATAAGGTAATTGCTTTACATATTTCAAGGAAGATAATAATTAAAGATATTTAAATGATTTTCTTTGCCTAGGTGTGGCTGACACATATATTCAAATATCATCATCATTAGTACAACTAGCTACCATTGAAAATACAGAATTAGATAAGTAAGTTGTAATGTGTACATAGCTTTAACAACACTCCCTGGAAAAAAGTGAGGTCTATTAACAATGCTAGCGAGTATCTTACAAATCTTATTATTACCAAATCTCTTGCAAATCTGTGGCATGCATGGTGAATTGCATAGAAACCCTTTGCCAATGTTTGCTTTGTCTCTTATCCGCCTGGCTAAGTAAAGATGAATGCTGACGAATCCTTACAAATGACTTGCGCTCACCACAAATGCCTTGCCATGCCATCACTAAGAATGGCTTATGATTTGAACAATGAGAGAGTGATTCCTATTTTCCAGTTCTTCATTCATCTATTGCAAAATGTGCTTGTATCTTGAAATGGTAAATGTTTATCTATTCAGATATACATGTACTTTAAAAACCTTTATTTTTTTTTCGTATCAATAGTTTTTATGTTTATTTTTAGAATATTTACAAAAGTAGCTGAAGCGCTAGAAAAAGCCAGAGTAAGTATTTATTAAAATGTAAATTTTTAATACTGTAGTCCATGTTTATAGGTCTACCTATACTTGTCAGCATATATTTAAAACAGACATTTTACATGAAACACACTGACTATTGTGTTATTTGGAGCAAAATTGGTTGAAAATTTGAATTCATTTTATCCAGTCTTTAATAGTACGTGCAGGAGGACAGCACCACACACAAACAATTACACAAGACAATCCTACGGACAGAACACAATATACAGACACTACAAACAATAAATATCTGATCAAGTGAATGGATCCAAAGTCTAGCCGTAAGCGTCTACTGCCATGTACAGCTTGGACCTGTATTGATACAAACTTAACTCAAAATGATTGAGAATTATTTGGATAATGTTTTGTAGAAATTAGAAGGAAGAGTTGCAACAGATGAAGATTTAAAATTAAGTGATACATTAAGGTATTATATGAGAGACTCTGCAGCTGGTAAAGATTTATTATATAGACGATCACGGTCTCTAGCTGATTATGAAAATGCAAATAAAGCTCTAGAAAAGGCTAGAACAAAGAATAAAGATGTTCAACAGGTTAGTGGAGAGATTAATTTTTTTTTTAAATTTTTTGTCTTAAATGAGTTTGGTGGTGTTCATTGATGTGTAAAGACTTTTGAAGAACCACGTGTAGAACTAGAAGTATTATAAATGGTCAAAGCACAGTTTTACTGCTGTAACATGCCCAGAACTGGGATCCAAGAGCTAGTCATCTTGTTGTTGTTTAACTTCTTGTAGAACTAGAAGTATTATAAATGGTCAAAGCACAGTTTTACTGCTGTAACATGCCCAGAACTGGGATCCAAGAGCTAGTCATCTTGTTGTTGTTTAACTTCTTGTGGCTGATGTGATCTGTGGTGGCTCATTTAGTAAAAATTTGGCTCGCTAACCTGGAGGTTCTGTGTGCAGGATGGAGGACCTTCCAAGGGACATGTATAGTCGTTTGGATGGTCTGAAAAACCGAGATCCTATATACACTTAAAAGAACCCTTGATAGTTAGAATTCTAAACTGAAAGTAGACTGTAGTGCCGCTGTCCAGGCAAAATTTAGCTCATAGCCCACTGTATGACATATGCCCGTCTCCATTAGCCTAGTCAGTGCAGAATAGTAAACTGTTAACCCCATTTCATTTAATTTCTTGTCACCGACACTCAACAAAAGACTAAGGCTCTGACAAGTCAAGTATGATCGACATGAAACTTTGCATGACTGACGTCACACTTCCACGATGACTGCACTGACATCATACTCGGTTCCTGGTCCATAGTTTAAACATTAGATATCCACTTGATTATATTATCTTTTTATTTACAGGCAGAAAAAGTTCAACAACAGTGCTGTGAAAAATTTGATAAAATATCAGATACTGCCAAAAAAGGTAGGTTTATAATCTTGTTGAAGAATATGTTCAGCTATCTATAAATCAACTAGGGATCTGTCAAACACACGATGAATGGGAGTGCAGTTGGTAATGAATCCATTAAAGTTTTGTCAAAATCTTTGCTACTCGCATCAAGAAAATCACACCTATTAAAAGGGGTTTTACATGAAGTTATATATGAATGAATGTGGTTTCCTAATTTTTATTTTGCATAAAAATACTTTTAGTAAGTTGCTGGGGGACGGCACCACACATAATTACACAAAACAATCCACGGACAAGGCATAATATGCAGAAATCACAAACAAACGTACATATCAGATTAAGTGAAAAGAGTGGAAAAAATGGTTGCAATGAATGACAGATATTTATGTTTTTATTGTAGAATTATCTGAGTTTAAGACTAGAAGAATTGCTTATTTTAAGAAGAATTTAGTAGAAGTAACTGAACTAGAACTGAAACATGCAACTGTAAGTATATAATGTTATTTGCCTGTATGAATACCATTAATAAATCAGTTGCTGCCATGACAACAGGAATTCTACATGTGTCTCCATGCCTTGACTACAACAGTACCACTCTCTTTGCAACTTAGTATCAGAAGACAATAAAGTAGTGTTTGTATTTGAAGTTGATATATTATTGATTATGCTTTATTAAAAAAACATTATGGGTGATTCGGTAACGAGTTGGCAGTTCTCACTATTATAGTTAAAAACTAGATAATGTAAAGGCAATTTGGTGAAAATTTCATTCAAATTGAACCACTATGAACCGAGAACTAAGCGACTGAAATTCCCATAAGCCTCGGTCATCATTACTAAAGTCAGTAATAGTCTCGATTATCCATTTAATCGTTTACTAGAGAAGGAAAGTTATGCAGTAAATCGGCTTACAATCCACTAAAGATCGCAGGCTAGCGCTGCCATCTAGAGTTGATTATGGCCTGGATAGGTTAATCAATGTCTAATTAATAATTTAGATAACATTTCAGGCCTAAAGAAAGACCTGAAATAGACAGATTTAGCTCTTGCATAATGTATGTTTAAATGTTAGTTTTCTACTCATGAAAGTAAAAATTTTCTAAACATATTTTTGTCAGTTTAATTTTTTATTAACCATTTCGATCAAATTTTGTTTTTGAAGGCTCAAATCCAATTACTGAAGAACTGTATTGCTGCTTTAAAGAAAGATTCCTAGAGATAGTGTATGGAAGGTGCCTTTAAAGAATTTGTTGCTAGGCTGAAAACATTGTTGGAAGAGCGACCATATTGTTCAGCTGGTAGTTTTTATAGATCAACCCTTGAATATTTCTACCTTGTTAGTTTGATACAAACAGTTTATATTTATATTGTTGTATTATATATATATATATTATACCTATATGTTACATCACACTGCTAAATGTAATATTCTTTGACCCCTCCACAGGTCATTATTAATGTTAGAAATTACTCTGTAATAAATACCAACCAGTTTAGGTTATAAAAAAAATATTCTGATTCTCAAAGGTCTACATAAAAAATACAAAAATTATCCTCATTGATTACCACACATTTATATTTCCTGTGTTACAAGGAGGTAACTCTTGAATTTTGGAAGTGTCTAGTAGGCTTATTAGTTGTCAAGTACACAACCCTGCACAACCATAAATGACACTGTATGATCATAAATTAGAAAATGGCATCCATTTATTCATCTGCTTAATTTAAGTCCATTCTATTGTGGATGGAAGGAACGGCAATCACATCAGAACTACAAAGTCTGTGCTTTCATCTGAAGACCGAGACAACAATTAATTACTGCGTGTATATTAAATTATATTCGGATTAGGATATAGTCCAGTTACAGCTAAGTTTACATACATAACACAAGTATTAGTAACTTTAAGTAAATTCCAATAAACAGATGACAAGGTAAATGTAGAACCTTGAAATGCAGTACTTATGAGAAGTCATTTAGCCATACAAACCTTTTATGAATTTAGCCATACTATCCTTTGATGAAATAAAAACCTCCCCACAATATCAGATTATTTTGTATGTTTGTCTTGAGAACCAGAATTTTTTTTGTATTTCCTAAATAATATGCCATTGCTAATGGATCGAAAAAATTCATCTGTCATTAGTTAAATTAGGCATATTGACAGATTAGTTGTTATTCGTTTTATCATTGTGACTTTTATTTTTACATTGATGTTACACCCTCATTATCTGTATGTCATGCATGTCATAAGTTACTTAACAATATGTAAAACACATTTAATATAGAAATTAGTTATGCCATATTATATATAGAACGTTGTAGTGAACAGTAATACTCTGTTCGCAGTGGATTGATTTGAAAAATTTGTAATACAATTATGTTTTATAATATCAGTTTGGGTTATTGCTGTTTCTTTCATCTGTCTTACTGCTTGGAAATATTGCATGAAATTAATATCAGTCATTTTGTCCACAAGTCTACTGACTCTTTATGGCAGTAAATTGCTATGTCTGCAAATTAGTATGGTCTCTATAATAAGCTATTTTTGGCATTAATTTCAATCATTGTGGAGTTAGAGAAGGGGAATCAATTGCCATAAGGAAGAATAACCTACAGATACCATGTTTACCCAGGGTATATTCCCACACTGACAGCTTGCAGTGTCAGCTTTTGTCTCCATGGTAAACTACATCATTAAACACAGCAATATCACATTCATGTAGCCAAACCGGATTATTCTACTTATTATATTAGTCATAATAAAAATTGTTTTCACCATATGATAAACTAGAACATGTATAACTGTTCAATATGATGACATTTATTTTCAATAGATCATGTTATGTATTAAAACACATCACAATATAATATTTCACGGTTTAATTTTGCGGTTCATTTATTTTTTTGGGCATGATAAAACAAGTAGACAGCACACTATAAATCTATAGACGTAGAGATGATTTCAATATATTGTATATAAATGTAAATAATTAAACAATTAATTGATTAAATTAACCAATTTATTAAGGATTATGTATATAATCTATTAAAGATTGATCCTTATTTAGAGGAGATTTTCAGCTACCATGAATTTGAAATATTCTCAAAGATTTTCTGATCTTAATTCTTCATAACAATTCTTCATTTCTATTGTTTTCTTTATTTTATACAAATTGTTTTGAACAAGATAAAATGTGTTATTTTTAGTGTTGCTGTGTTATTTGTTACTGTGTGGCCTTATTAAAATATTTATTTAATTTTTCTGTTATTATTTTAATAAATTGGTTAAAATTTAGTGCTTTAATTAGCTCTTGTTAGAGTTTCTAAATATTACATGTGTAACTATGTTTAACATTCCAATTTCAGGCTTGTTAACTGCTTCTATTTATGTTAGAGAATCTTCAACTTTTGTCATTCAGTTCTAATTTAAAAATTAGTAATGTATTCACTGTCTCTGGCAACCTTTTTGTTACTTATTTCTTATAAATTTAGTTGTTACAAAGTTGTACTAGATAAAGACAAGAGGAGTTGCTAAATTTTGGAAACCAAAGTAGGTACAGTACCTTATGTTTTATTTGTGGAAAATGTCATTTGTTTGTTTTAGAGGTGGAGCATGTTTTGGCAAGTGTAGCATATTCAGTTATGTTTTGTTTCATTTTTTAAATTTAGTTTATTTGAAAAATATAATTATGATGGTCGACATGTGCGGGGGATTAATCAATCGTGTACTATATGTACAACAATGAAATACAAGCTGACAAATATCAGAAGTTATCGTTTGTATTTTATAACAACTGTAATCTGTGCATAGCCATATCAAAATACTCTTCGAAACTGACATTCAAACCTAGTCAGACAATGTATTAGAATTTGAAAAAAGGTGTCAATATCTTGTATTGTTTAATATTTTGTTATGTTTTTGTATTGCTAAATATCAGCAGATGAATGTATCAAACGTATAATTCTAAATCAGTCTGTATTTGAATCAGTGTTATAAAAGATGCCATCAAAGTACTATAACTAATCTAAATCACCCACCCTAAACATTGTAAAATGCAAGATTAAATGACCAAGCATCAATGTTTCAAGCTTGTCAAATTGCTCTGTTCGACTTTCTGAATAAATAGTTTGACAAAAAGAGAATTAATGTTGCTATAAAAGATAGTTAGGGTTAATCATTGTCAGATATTTTTCTAGTATAAAGTAGCTTTTTATATTGTAATTAGATGTGAATAGTTAGCAATGATTGTTAAATAATGTTGATGACTGATTGCAATAATTACCCCTGGGACTTTGATAATAATATATTGATTGGATCACCATCCTTGATTGGTAATAATATAAGCACTTGAAAGTTTGGCAACTCATCGATATGTTATTACAGTTTGATAATGAATGTATGTACCTCCACGCTACACCATATCTGTTGAAATAAAATTATTATGTATACAAATGAATTTTTTCTTCACTGGCTTTTTATACTCCCACATTGAAATGTGGCCTTACATTGTCGTCACACCAGTCTGTATGTCGGTTGTCCACAATTGCTTGTGGGCGATCTAGAGGCTAAAGTTAATATCTAATTGTCTTTAAATTTATACACTGTGTTTAAGGTCATACGACGAAGAAGCCTACTGAACAATTTCCGATAATTAGTCAAGAGTTATGGTCCTTGATCCCTTTTTAAAATCTTGTGGTCACTCTGAGTTAATATCTGACTTCAAATTGACACACAGTGTTTAAGGTCATGAGATGAAGAATCCCATTGATTTTCACATTAAAGAGTCTTGTGGATGCTCTAGAGGCCAAGGTTAATATCTGATTCACTTCAAATTTATACGCAATGTTTAAGGTCATCAGAAGACAAAGCCTATTCATTTCCGATAACTTGAACAGCTAAATTCATGATATTAAAGATACATTATGTAAGATTTAGATAAAGAGCTAGCCATTCTTGCTTTAATACTATTAATAGTTAGAAAATAGATAATGTAAAATGAATAATATCACAGAGAGGGATGACATCGGGGCGAGTTCATTAGCTCTCAATATTAACTTTTTTCTTCTGCAAATTGAATTAAATTCTAAAACAATTTTTAAATTATTAGAAATATAAAGGTGTTTGAAGTATATCTGGATAAAAAATATTTAGTGTAAATGGGAACATAAAAATAGTATATAGTATGTCGAGATCGTAAAAGGAACCAATTCTGTCGGGTCCAGTTTGTATTACTACATCTGATGTAAATAACGTGAGAGAGAGAAATGAGGTTTAAAGTTTACTCAACACAAACCAGGTCATTTTGGGACTAACACACGGTTCAATTTTTATTTCAATAATTCGCTTGCGTGTAGGGGTCTTTAGCAGTGGGAGGAAACCGGAGGACCCAGAGAAAACCCACAAGGTTGGACTCGTACAACCGGGGAATCAAAACCACGTCAGTTGACTCAATGACAGACCTTATGATACTGCGCGCAAGATCAAGGGTATACTATTGACAGCAATTTAAAGATCTCCCCACATTAGGAAGTTGATATGGTCCTGATAGCACACTGCACAGCAGCATGTATATGCCCTTCTTTATTACCCGGGTTGGTGTAGAAAAGTATACCTCATTTCCCCATAAAATATGGGTATGTAAGGAGAAACAAACTGTAAGATATGTAATTTAATCATATTTACATAAATATACCATAAACAAATAATATATAATACATTACAGGATGGGAAATATCACAGATATAGGTTTTACATGCATACATCAGTTTCTAGTTAGGTAATTCTTGTGTGTGGTGCAGTCCTCCTGCATTTGCTACTGAACATGAGGTATTTCCATGTAGGGTCTACTGGAATGCTACAATACAATATTTTGTAATTAAGCAGTTTCCATAACCTATTCTTTTCTAGCAATAGGAGGCAATGGGGAATCACTGAATCGAGCAGATTTTCTAGAGTGACTAGATAAAGTTGTTGAAGATCTGGTTAGTCCAGACGTACTCTCACACTGATTGATCAGGATGCTACTAACTGGTCTCGGGCTCTTGGAATCTGACCTTGGCGACTTTTGTGACCGGGGAGTCGTTGGTGACTTTTGTGACCGAGGGGTCGTTGGTGACTTTTGTGACCGAGGGGTTGTCGTTATTGACTTCAGGCTTGCGCTCTTTAGATTTGCTTCTGCTACAGCTTCTATAGGATGGCTTTGAGACATTTGACTTCCTGCTCGACTTGGTGGTTTTTTGCTCTCCCGAGATTCTAGAAAAGAAAAAAAAGACAAAGATACAGATTACAGGATGTTCCCTAGTCCAAGTTTAAATGTGCTAGGTTTAACGTAAGGTACAGAACTACAGAGTGAAATGGTGTTGAATAATGTGTATGACTGAAACATTTATTATCCAAGGCCAATCAAAATACTACCAACATAAAAATTCCTTTTTATTTTTCAGCTATTTATTGCTCTTGGTTTACAGATATTCCTTCATGGGTCATGATAAAGAAAATGTGATGCACAAAATCCTTTGAAATCCTCATATGTATACTGTCTAATCAAAATCATCATAATATGCACAGACCATGTTTCTATTGAAAACAGTCTTTAGATGCTAATTGTGTACAAACGGAACAAGAATAACATGCAATTTTAATTGGACTACAAAATCGCCAATTATTTCTAGAATATTATAAAAAGCCTTCAGGATATCTCTGTCTATTTGTATTAAATACAATACAGGTCATGTTAGCTAGGATGATGTATTATTGTGGTACTGATTGCAGTATTTGATGTAATAACTGTTTGTGTTCAAAAAGCCCCACCTATCTCATTATAAAAGGAAAGTTTGATTACCTTTCACCAGAAATAAACTTAAAATCAAGCCAGACACTACTATAGAAGTAACCCAGCAATATATGGGTAAACATTCTCTACATACAGAGACAATACTAGTTTAATACAATTACATAGTTGTTTTTATAAATTTTGTACATCTCAAATAATATGAGCCAACAAGGAGGCAATGTCCCCCAAAATAAATAGATGACACTCATTATTTACTTGCACATTGATCTTTTATAATGCACATTTTATAACACACTGAGGAATCAAATTGCTTACCACTCTGCTTAACGTGATCAGAAAAAACTTTTTATCGAAGTAGTCAAGGTATCAATGTAATGAAAGTCTACACTACACTATATTTCATTACAAATAAAATCAGAGGTATCTCTGCTAGGCCTCAACATGTAATACTCATCATCGAACTCAGTCAAGACATTTACACAATGAACATCTTCACCAAGTTTAAACATTCTAACTCAATCAGAAGCAGTGTTATTGTGTTCCAAAAGGTTCGACAGACAGACAGACCATCAAATTCAATAGGCAGGGACAAATATTCAAATTCATTATGGACTTTAAACATGCAGATTGAATTTCTACAATGGAATTATTTGATCTACCATGCACATTACAACTAAACTAATAACTGAACAAAATTGACGACAAAACAATCATAAAACTTAAATTTTAAAATAATAAATAAATATTAGTTTGACTAATATTTAGGTAAAACAATTCCTGTAAACCATGCTGAGAAAATAAACAATATAGAAAAAATAAGGCATTCACGAAAATAAATCTATATACTAGTGTTGTTGGTTGTAATATAAAGTTACCTCATGATCTTTCTAGTAACTGAAAGTTTAGTAATTATTAAAATGATAAATCAGTTGCTTTAATTAAAACAAAAATATTCAGCATTGAAATGGTGCAAATTATTTCAATAATTCACATTGCAATCAATGTGATTAAAACACAGATCCTATTTCGTTTTGTTTTTTATAGTTCAAAATTTCGTTTTGGTTGAATTGAAGGATAAGCCAATGAAACGGTCTGTTATGGCGACTTCTTGGCGTGCCATGGACGGAATTGTGGGTAAACCACTAGAAACGTCAACACTGATTGATTAATCAACGTCTGACATCACACATCACAGGGTCAAAAGTCACTTGTACGACCCCTGACATGACCTTCCAGTACAACTTGTCAGATCTTCATGTAGTGTAGGCCATCGAAAGTATAAAAAAATGAAACGAAATATAGATGTGTATTTTAATTAGATTGCATTGCAATGTGATGCAGGTACCATGAAAACAGTAATAATAATTTTATGAAGTGCTTTTGTGGAAATTTTGGGCAAAATGAAATAAACACTGACTAGCTTGTGGAAGAAGATCTTTGTGATCTTAATAACGACACTTGAAGTCAAGTTACTGTGAAAGGATGCTGTCAGTTTTCTGTTGCATTATGAAGTTTTGATACAGATTTTTGATAATTACCTTTAGGACGACGTCTCGCTACATTATCCAGAAATTTTGACAGAACAGATAACTCATCTTCTAACTTTTCTGATACCTCTCCTATTTTCACCTCTCGCTTTTCAGTTCTGGCTAATATTTCACCAAATGCATCTATGGTTAGTTGATCTCGACTTCCAAAAAACTGAAAATTACGAAAATTGTACATTTTTAATAATTCTATATATTTTATCATCTACTGGTAGATATTTCCTTAATCCTACTGACAGCGTAAAAACTAAAGGTGAAACACTGAATGTAGAAATTTAAGGGGGTTAGTGACTTATTTTATATTCAATTATGTACTTATAACCAACTTCTAAATGACTGAAATGACTCTGTGACTCAAAGTTGGTTGCTATAATGACATATTATTATGTTATCATTGACTTTAATGTCCTCCTATCATATAATTTTAACCAAAATAATTGTATTGTTTGGAAGGATTATTTATTTGTACTACCGGTACCATTATACTTGGGTTATAAATTTCTTTCCTAAAAAGGTCAATTAATTTGAAGGTACAAGCCTAATAATAGAGAGAGAGAGAGAGAGAGAGAGAGAGATTAATGTCCACTACACAAACTTAGGTCATTTTGGGACTAACATATGGTTTAATTTTATTTCAATAATTTGCTTGTGCTTAGGAGTCATTAGCAGTGGGAGGAAACCGGAAGACATGGAGAAAACCCACGAGGTTGGACAGGCGACCCAACTCCTTGTCACATACAACCGGGGAATTGAAACCACACCAGTTGACTCAATGACAGACCATATGATACAGCATACAAACGCTAACCATTTGGCCATCCACCCCACCCCCCACCCCTAGTAATAGAGGGACAAAAAGCATTATTCAGATCTGAATAGAGAGAGAGAGAGAAATGGGGTTTAACGTCCACTCGACACAAACTAGGTCATTTCGGGACTAACATATGGTTTAATTTTATTTCAATATCTCGCTTGCGCATAGGGGTCTTTAGCAGTGGGAGGAAACCAGAGGACCCGGAGAAAACCCACGAGGTCGGACAGGCGACCCTACTCCTTGTCACGTACAACCGTGGATTCAAAACCACGCCAGTCGACTCAATGACAGACTTTATGATACAACGCGCGCAGCGCTAACCATTCAGCCATCCAACCCCCCCCCTGAATAGAGAAGATTATATGTAAGCTATGGTGCAGTCATGCCAACTTCAGGAGAACAAATATAGGTATTATAATAAGATTATTAAACAAACCTCTTGCATATTTTTATCTTCAGCCCAACATTTAACTAGTTTATCTATAATAACAACATACAAATAAATCAGTTATTTCACAATAATATAAGATATAAGGAAGTCTAGCATATAAATCTTGAAATGTGGAGAGTAACATCCCCTCAACACAAACTATAGGTCATTTTGGGACTAACACAGTAATTATGTTTCTTAATAATTTGCTTCTGTGTACAGGTCTTTAGCAGTAGAAGGAAACTTGGAGGACCCGAAGAAACCCACAAGGTTTGACAGATGACCCTACACCTTGCCATGTACAAGCTTGGGATTGAAACCACACAATTTGACCCATTGACATATCTTATGATCGAAAGCATTAGACCATCAACAACTCAACCATGTAATATGAATGCATATGAAGTGATTTATATTCAATTTTTAAAAGAATTTATTGTAATTTCTAATCAATTCTGTTTAGTATAATATGTGAACAGCCCAAATTGAACAACAGTTCTTTATACCTGCTTAGTCCATTCTGAATGTTTTTTTCTATTATCATTATTTTGTCATTTGTGAATCAGCATTTACTAAATTACTTCTTCACACTTGTAGGGTATGTTTTTCTTGGTTCATTACAAATAGCACCCAAAACCATAGAATACACGACTTGTGTACTGATTATAAAATGTTCATTGAGTCTTAAATATTGGACATTAGGATTCCATATTTTCACTACAAAATAACAACATCAATATTGATTGAATTGGACCAATATTGAATTTTAATTCATGTTTTTAATTTCGAATGTTATGGAAAATATTGAGTTTGAGGTTTCGCTCCTTTAATTCATTTAAATTTTTAGAAAAATAAAAAACCTAACAGAATTGTTAATCATATTTCTTAATCTTAAAAAAAAAAGTATATATAAAATATAATTTCTATAGGAATTAGATTGACTTACTTCTTAAGGGAGCCATGGTGGCTTAGTGAGAAGGATGTTAAGCTTGCTAACCTGGAGGCCCTGCGTTCGATCTCTGCGTTGGTCGAGAAAGTTCATCAGGATTTTCCAACGCGGTTCCCCCTTGTGTAGGATGGAGGACCTGGCAAGGGACAACGTATAGTCTTTCTGATGGGACAAAAAATGAAGGTCCCTGTACACATTGGCATACACCTAAAAGAACCCTTGACAGTTGGAATTCAAAATGTGAGTATGCCATAGCGCCGCTGTCCCGGTAAAATTTCCCTCATAGCACACTGCATGGCATAGGTCCGTTTTCATTAGCCCAGTAGGAGCAGAACAGTAGGACGTTATAAACCCCATTTCATTCTTCTTACAATAAGTATACATAACATATTCATTTTATAGAGATTAGACTGACTTACCTCTACTATCTAACAGATTTTCTGTTAATTCTTCTTTTACTTTATCATTATCTTCCATTTGTTCAAATATATCTTTTATTTCCTCTTCCAACTTTCTACAGGCCTGTAATAATACATGAATGCATGTCATAACAACTCTAATCTTGCATGTTTGTGCTCTAAATATATCTTCAGACAAACAAGTATGGCTTGTGATACGGTGTGCTACAAATTCCCCATCAAAGTTAAAGATGCATTATTCAAGAGCTAAATCTGCCTATTGCAGGTCTTTCTTTAGGCTATAAATTAATGTTATATAAATTATTAGTTAGACATTTATTAATTTGCCGAGACCATAATCAACTCTTGATGCCATCGGATGCTCTAGATTTTCAACAGATTTAAATACAATTGGCAGTTAATATGATTTAATTCAAAAATGGATAATCAAGACTTTGTTTACTATCGTAATAACAGAAGCAATGACAATCGTGACTACACTGTTCTGCAATCAATGATAACTCCACTCAGAATGAAGTAATTTGACTGAAATTTTCATCATATTCCCTTTTCATTATCTATTTTTAAACTATTATAGCAAGAACTGTCAGCTCTTTAACTAATCTTACATAATGCATCTTTAATGAAAGCTCAAGAACCTGTCCATTCTTATTGCATTATTTTGATTGGTCAACGTTTGTGATCAACAGAACAAATGTTTTAGTTTACCATCATCAATGCTATAACTGCATGGGAATTTGTTTGTAATTCCGTATTTAATGATGGGAAGGAAGTTCAGAGCCTACAACAAACTACTACTTATTATGCACAATCATAGCACAATATTGAAGATCTAGCAGTAGTGCTTTAGATCAGTTTTTAATACCCAATAAGAACTTGTAATTCTCAAAGAATCCCGAATTTTTCACGCAAATTTCTTAAAAAAAATTAGCCTCTCTAAAAAAGCAGATTTATTAATGAGATAGATATTGAGTTTTGCTACGGTATCAGTGTATTATTATTTGTATTGATCGACACTGCATTTCTGTTAACCTAGTTTATCCATAATTGGGAATAAATATTAAGAGAAAATTCAACCTATCTATTGTAAAGACATCAAGTTTATTATATTTTATTTGAACATAACTTAATATGCAAATTTTTGTACAAAAATGTAGAGCAGGCACAACTTTTTGCATGCAGAATCAACTGAGTACTGAGGGGATTTCTCACCTCGTCAAATGTATTATTTTCTTCCAGAACTGTTTTTAATTTACAGCCTTCTAAATAGATCTCTTGTTCAATCTGTTGAGTTTCCTCCCCTTGTTCATGTAATAATTTCATATAATAGTCTCGTTTCTCTTTTAAATCACCTCGCAGCTTTTCCTGAAAACAGAAATTTTTAAATAAATTAGTGTTAACAAAAAAGTTTCTAAATAAACAGTAATGAAACAAATTATATACAGCATGACTTTGAAGTAACGATTATCTAAATCATGCATTTTTGTTTAATAAAGCAAGTTATGTCCCATCTTAGTATTGTAATATACAACATTACAGTCATCTACTGTTTACCGTATCCCGCAAACTTGTACATTTCTTAAATACAATTTCTTTAAATTGCTCAAATTATTAAGTTAATGTGTATATTTAACAATAAGTAAACTTGAAGGCTGATTAATGACGTCAGATTATCCTATTTGAATTGCTGCTTTAAGCCATGATGTGATGTAGATATATAGAGACAATAGTCAAAATTTGAAGCTATCTATAATGGCTCTAGTTTTTATATAATTCCAACAAACCTGTGGTTTTGCTTTCTTTTCTTTATCCATCTTTGCTTTTCTGATTCCCTCTTCTAGATTATTCTTCTCTGTCTTCATCACTGAAATCATTCAATAATCTTAAAATATCAGTTTGTTATCCATAACAATTCTATAGGTTCAGTTTATTACTCATAGCAATTCAATAGGTTCAGTTTGTTACTCATCAATTTATTATTCACAACAACTCTATGGGATCAATTTGTTATTCATAGCAATTCTATACATTCAATTCATTATCAATAGCAATTCTATTAGTAAGTGCAGGAGGATCGCACTACACACAAAATAAAATCTACAAGATAAACCTGCAGACAAGATAGAATACATACACAATGCAAGAAATAAACACATATCAATTCAAATGGGTTAACTTTGTTACTCATAGCAATTCTATATGTTCAATTTGTCATCAATAACAATTCTATGGGAATTGTATACTTCAATTTGTTATCCATAATAATTCTATAGGTTCAATTTGTTATCCATAACAATTTGTAAGTTCAATTTGTTATCCATAACAATTCTATGGGTTCAATTTCCTATCCAAAGTTGTTCTAACAGCTCAATTCAATCTGCTATCCATAACAATACTAATTTCTATAGGTTCAATTTGCTATCGAAAGCAATTCTCTAGGCTCAATTTAATCTATATCAATTCTATAGGCTCATTTTGATATTAAATGACAAATCTATAGGTACAGCAACAAAAAATCCATAACATTTGCATCCACAGTCTTTTATTTAAATCCATCATGTTTATTTTTCTCCTAAAGAATTAAATTATTGTTTTTCTCCTTACCAACAATATCTTTCTTTGTTTTTTCATATAATTCTGTTCTGGTTTGAAAGAAAGACTCAAATTCATAAAAGATAGGCGTTCTTTCCTCGATCTCTTTGTTTTTATCTTCTATTTCTGTTTCCATAGAGGTAACTTCTTCCTATCAACAAATACAAGACAACATGGGACATGTGGAAATATCATTAACATGAAATGAAATGAAATGGGGTTTAACGTTCTACTGTTCTGCTCCGAACTGGGCTAATGAAGACGGGCATATGCCATACAGTGTGCTATGAGGGAAACTTTGCCGGGACAGCGGCACTACAGCCTACTCTTATGTCGAATTCCAACTGTCAAGGGAGTTTTTACGTGCACGCCAATGAGTACACAGGACCTTGGTTTTTCGTGCAATCCGAAAGACTAGACAGCTGTCCTTGTTAGGCCCTCCATCCTGCATCACTGAACCACGCCGGAAAATCTGGATGAACTTTCTCGGCAAATGCAGAGATCGAACACCCAACCTCCTGGGCGACCTTCGGTTATATTTTTTCCACAACTAGTAGTCGGAAATAGAAAGTATTCGAAATGCTTCGAAATCGCGTCTACGGACGTCTGGTTTTCAAAATTTTATGGGGGAGGCCCCCCAGACCACCCATCGGACGTTGGAACAGTGCCGACTAATCTATCCTAGCTGGGGGTTGTGTTATTTTGGGCGTGTCTGTTAGGGGCAACCCACCGCACAAACAGTCTGGCAGTGGTCATTCATGATTACTGTGGTGGTACTGAACAACTCCAAAGCTGTTTTAGGTGGTACAGATTTCAGCTAATCTAGCCTAGCTTTGGTCTGGAAATTAGATAACTCTTTGTCAGGGATACTCCATCACTACAATTGTCTGGTAATTACATAGCTCTGTCAGGGGTACCCCACCACTAGAAATATCTGTCTGAGTGTTTTTGTAATACCTGAAGATGTACGGTACATTGCTGTGCGATTTTCATGTGGTACACTTTTGAGCTAATCTAGACTAGTTGGGGGGCATGGCATTTTGGGCGTGGAATACCACACCCACCACCAGAAACCCGGCAGACTTACATTCTGATGATACCAGATATACATACATTGATAACATATAGGAGAAAATTGGTACACTTTTCAGCTAGGTTAACCCCCTGGGCTCCTGCTCTACTACATAATAAATTATCAAGATCATGGGGAATGGAAGCTTATTAAAGATATTTCTTGAAAGTGATGACAACTTCTAGTCACTCAATCCTGGCCTCTGTTTACCACCGAATAAAATGTCTGAGGGGTAAAATTTTGAAATGGTTATGTTATATATTTCCCAATAGACGGTACAGTAGGAGAGTTACATGTGTGATTGTGTAGATTCTATATTTTACTTTTAATCCAGCATAATGTCCCTTTAAGAAATAAAATGACCAGAGTAAAACAGTATACCTCAACAGTTGAAACTTTAGACTGTAGTGTATCGAACATTCCTTCATACTCATTTGTAATCTCACCCAATTCACCCTGTAGTTTATCTATCTCAACCTCATCTTGTCGAATTACACGTTGCAAATGAGTACCCTATAAAGAAATAGTCCATGAAAGTAATAGAAATAAAAGTGGGAGAGGGGGTAAAGCAGTAGGGTTAACGCACAGAACCCAGAAAAAAAATGAGCAACAACCATTCAGCTGCCCACCAGAGCTTTTTCAATAATACAAGACTTATTACATTTAAAGGGGCATTATGTAAGATTGGATAAAGAGGTGACAGTTCTTGCTATAATAGTTTAAAAAATAGATAATGAAAATGGAATATGTTGAAAATTTCAATCAAATTAATTCACTCTGATACAATTACAGTGTAGCCTTGATTGTCATTGCTACTGTTACGATAATAAACAAAGTCTCAATAATCCATTTTTACGTTAAACCATCAACCACAAAACGTATTTAAATCTACCTAATATTGGAGCTATTCAATAGCATAGAGAGTTGATTATGGTCTTGGTAAGTTAATTAATGTCTAATAAATATATAACATTTAAGGTCTAAAGAAAGACCTGCAACAGGCATGGAGATCTAGCTCTTGCATAATGCCTGTTTAAATTGTTTCAATGGCATTTAGTAATTGAACTGAAAATACACATATAGAATACAATTTAATGTCTATTACTGAGCAAAGTTTCAACAATAATAACAAGACAGGGCACGAAAAATATCAATGTTGATTACAGTAATGCCAAACATGGCACTAACTATATATCAATGTTGATTACAGTAAGGCCAAACATTTAATAATATTATAATAATATCAACTATCTAAGTGGTGATAATATCAAGAGCCATTGGACAAGTTCGACCAGTTTTCTATGAACTGTGATGAGTAGTATACCTCGTTAGTTAATTCTACATGTTTTGTTTTGCCTTCTTGTATCTTATGATTAACACCAACTAAAATCTGTTGGGTTTCGGCTTTTATCTCCTCTAAACATTTATGTATAGAATCTTTCTTGGTTTGTAACTCAGTTCTGAAAGGAAATGTAAGGATATAAAAAAACAGCTTGACAGTCAACATGTTAAAGAGAAAGAATGATCAGTTGGAATCGTATAGTCCTGATATAAAAGAAATGGCATTTCACATCCTTATGCCGTATATCCACAGATACGACTGTGCCTTTAACCCAGAGGGAGAGAGAGAGAGAAATGGGGTTTAATGTCCACTCGACACAAACTAGGTCATTTCGGGACTAACATATGGTTCAATTTTATTTCAAGAGGTTGGACAGGCGACCCTACTCCTTGTCACGTACAACCGGGGATTCGAAACCACGCCAGTAGACTCAATGACAGACTTTATGATAAGCATGCGCACGCTAACCATTCAGCCATCCAACCCCCTTTAACCCAGAGGATAAATGCACTAAAATTTCTTTCTAGACCTCCCACCCCCTTTCCTAGCTTTTACGCTGGAATTGCCTCTAGAACATGACTGGCTGCAAGTTTCCCAGAAAGTAGACTCTTAACCCCATGATTGAACAAAACAAACCAACTCACGATTAACACCATAATTTGGCCATTTTGGAATTGACATCGGTAATTCACACCATGCAAGGAATAGACAATTCTGTGTAGACAGAAATGTTTTTGTCTAAGCTTATTTGAAATTCCAACTACCTAGGGATCTTTTACGTGCACTGTACCCGAGTGAGGGAGGTTGTTTGTTTAGAATTCTGCTCAATTCTATGAGAATTTTCTTATTTCCAATCTATTCACGATTGGATATCAATATTTGATAATTAATTAGCTGTGTTGTAGGTTTTGGTAATGTAAATTAAACACTAAAAAACTAACCTGTCTTTTCTTTCTTTTTCTAACTGTTCGCGTAAATCTTCTATCTGATTCATTAACTGTGCATGTACAGCTCTATGAAAACAAGCAAAATATCTAAATGACTAACTTAATCTAAATATTATATTTTTTTTAAAAATCATTTATAGAATCCAAATAGTTATTTAATTTTTGTTCTAAAAACTTGTAACAAAATCTGGTAACCGTTCTGTTCAACAGTTTTATATAGTTCACAGCAACAATATCATTTCTCTTTCTAGAATAAAATGAAATGAAATGGGGTTTAACATCCTACTTTTCTGCTCCGAACTGGGCTAATGAAGACAGGCATACGCCATACAGTGTGCTATGAGGGAAATTTTGCCCGGACTGGGGTACTACAGCCTACTATCAAATTCCAATGTATACACAGGACCGTAGTTTTTCGTACCATTCGAATGACTTAGACAGCTGTCCTTGTCAGGCCGTCCGTCCTGCATCACTGACAAAGGGGAACCATGCTGGTAAATCTGGATAAACTTTTTTGGGCCAATGCAGGGATCGAACACCCGACCTCCAGGCTAGAGAGCCAGCGCCTTACTCACTTAGCAACCATGACCCCCTCTTTCTAGAACACATTTTACTTGAGATAATGGAAATCAGAATAAATAGTACAAATAATATCCTACTTATGGGAATCTCTAATATTTTCTATCTCTTCCTCCATATCAGCATTTTCTTGTTGTAATCTTCCTACTTCTTGAGCTTTTCTAGATAAATTAGATTTATCTGACTGTAATCTAAAATTATAATATAACAATGATAATTGTAAGTTTTTGTTGAGCTAGATAAATTAGATTTATCTGTCTGCAACCTAAAATTATAAAATAACAATAGTAATTGTAAGCCTTTGTTAAGCTAGATAAATAAGATTTAGCTGTCTGTAACCTAGAATTATAAAATAACAATGGTAATTGTAAGCCTTTGTGTTAGATAAATTAGATTTAGCCGTCTGTAACCTAGAATTATAACATATCAATGATAATATCATCAACCTTACTATTACTACTATTATCCGTTAATTTAACAATAGATGTAAGGATGTGGGTGTATAAAAATCCACTATATATGAATATATGACTACTTACATTTTATCTAGAGATCGAACTTTTTCAGTATTAGCTATTTTTACCGCTTCTTTTTCTTCAATTTCTGGATAAAAGATAAGACATACGTAGAACAGTTGAAAATGAAAAGATCTATCTAGTGTTCTAATAAGAATAGTGTTATTCAATGATGATATCTACTATCTGATGTTCTAATAAGAATAGTGTTATTCCATGATAAGATCTACTATCTGATGTTCTAATAAGACTAGTGTTATTCCATGGTGAGATCTACTATCTAGTGTTACTAAAAACAGTGTTATTCAATGATAAGATCTACTATCTGGTGTTCTAATAAGACTAGTGTTATTCCATGGTGAGATCTACTATCTAGTGTTACTAAAAATAGTGTTATTCAATGATAAGATCTACTATCTGGTGTTCTAATAAGACTAGTGTTATTCCATGGTGAGATCTACTATCTAGTGTTACTAAAAATAGTGTTATTCAATGATAAGATCAACTATCTGATGTTCTAATAAGAATAGTTTTATTCCATGGTGAGATCTACTATCTGGTGTTCTAACAATAATAGTGCTGTTCGACGATCACACCTTTCTAATGTTCTAATGAAAACCTGAGGTCTCCCATTTGAAGAGAACAAAAAGATTACCTCTTTGTAATACAATGGATCTTTCTGTAAAATCATCATTTCTAGCAAGTTCTTTTGCTATATCTCCTTCATACTGTACATAATAAAAATAAAAAGATCATTCTATCAATATAAGGAACAGTTAACACAATTTTTAAAATAACCAGCGGCTGCCACGCAGGATACGCCCACATTTTGCAGGAGATGGATAGAGAACAAGCTAAAAACAAACGCGATTTTTTGTACAATCAGGGGCAATAATCCAGAAAGTTATAGTCTGAAATGCGCAATGAAAATGTGGGCGTATAAAAATGTATACTATATTAATATGCACTAAGAAATATGACCAGAATATTCCATAATGTCATTCAAGAAAATGGCATGAGTAGAGCAAGATAAAAGTTTTTAAAAATGTATAACTATATTAAGGGGATGCGTTGTCATAAGATTAAACATAATAGATAACAATTTACCCTTTTCACTCTACTTGTTAATTCTAGTTTAACATCCTTAAATTCTTCATGAGCCCAATGAGTGGCTTCTGATATAGATAAACTGTAATAAAAATGTTTTGATTAAGAAATCTAATAAGGCAATTTGTGAAGTAAATGTTTAGCCTATTGTCATTTCAAATGAAATGAAAAATTTAATTTATGAATAGCAAATTTTCACCTAAATAATTGTTCATGTAATTATATGATCACCTATCAACAACCTCAGCAGAAATGAATATATTTTTTTGTAAATAAAATATAAAATTTTACAAACCCTTTAGTAACGAGATCTTGATTCATTTCTAGTTGTTTCTGTAACTGACTGTTTAACCTTTTCTCTTCTTTCTCTAATTTTTTTATAGTTACCTCATAACGCTTGATTTTCTAAAGAAAAAAACAAGGAGGTTTAAAATCTCAAATTCCATTAGGAGGGATTTCAGTCCCTAATATGCTTAAAGGAGGCATGTTGCTTACTCAATATCATCCACAGTCTTCGACATTGCAAACACGACTTATTGGTCAATATGGCATACAAAAATGGCATACAAGTTGCATGATGGAATGTTTTTGAGTGCGATCTGTAATGAAGCGACTCGATGAACGGGGCTAACATCCCACAGGGGAGAATACTACCAGTGTAGACTGGAATAACCAGACGCCAAAGACTGCCATTCAATTTGAACTTGTCGCATATTTCGCCGAAGATAACTAATCAGAAATCGCGATAAAAACAGAAACGATTGAATTTAAATTGTTTATATACATTCATATTACATTATTATATGTGTTGCGACCAATTTGTGTCCATTTTTAGGTGCCAAAGAATAGGGACTTAGCTCCTGTAACAATATGAGTGACACTCAAAGTTTATTACTGCAATGCATATTAACAAGACGGATCCTCAACTTATTTTTAAACTTTGGAGAGCACATGTTTGCATGAATAATGTTTTGCAATACTTCACCAAAATTACTGAATAATTATACATTTACCTGTATTTTTAGCTTGAAGACAGTTTCAAATTATTGGTTTTAATTGACAGATTAGGTAAATGATGTTTTCTGATAAAATAAGTTTAGCAGTTCAATAAATAATAATTTTTAAAAAATGTATTATGTTACACTAACCTTTCTAACAACATCTAATTTACCAATACTTTCTTGCAACTTTTCTTGTAACACATCTAATTCTCTAAAAAAAAAACCAAAAAACATTAATACAAAAATATCTTTATTCTTTAAACCTAACTAATCAGACAAAACAAAAATTTTGGTTGATTGGTTGACTTAAAATATGTAAATGAATCTCACAAGAGATATGTAGATATTACTTATACTACTAAGGTGGAGTTTAGTTATTGGACATCAAGGGCAATAATTTCTCAAAAAACATAAAACTGGTCAAAGATGATGATCATACCAGTAGATTGCCAGAACCTGTAGGTCAGAACAAAATTCACCACATTTAACACAGAGCAGAGAAACATATTTTGATATTTACATTTAGTCCACTTACTTTTTCTTGTCAAGATTTAGTTCTGTTTGTTCTTTAGTTTGATCAGATGTGTCCGCCTGAAGAAATATATAATACCAGTATTTAACAAGCCAACAGTGAGGCTGATGTCCCCCGCCGAAATCCCAAAATAAATAGATGACACATATTAATTAATTGCACATTTATTTTTTTCAAAAGTATCGAGCAATCAAACTACACACTAAGTTTCATCACTCTCTATCAGATAGAATGAAATTGATTAACTCTGCTTAGCTTTAGCTTGAAATGTTAATCATTGAAATCAGTCAAGACATTCACCTAATGAACATCTACATCAGTTTTAAACATTCTACCTCAATTAAAAGCAGAGTTTTTATGTTCCAAAGTCTTGACCAATCAAATTGCTCATCGCTCCTTAGCCCAGGCAGAAAATTTGAACAATCGAACTTAGTCAAGGTAATAATATAATGAATCTATATTCAGAGTTTCATCGCTCTCACTTCATTATAACCAAAGTTATCGTGCCCCTAAATCATCAACCAATCAGATTGCTTATCTCTGCCTACTACACTGAGATCATTGCTACGATAGATGCGTAATCAATGTTTCAACAATCGGAAGTGACGAACGCAAAAGGAAAACACGATTTATCCCTCTATATAACTGACTGGAGTGACAAGTGATAACAGATGCATGGGCGATATTGATACACTATATATTATTATAGTGTGCCCTTCCATGTTTAATTGTTTAGGGACACTTTACAAAGTGACAATTTAATCATATTAAAAAAAATAAAAACATACACCAAGTTTGAACATTCTAGCTCAATTAAAAGTTATCGTGTCCCAAAGCATCAACCAATCAAATTGCTTATCTCTGCTTACCCTAAGCGGAAAATGCTCATCTTCGAACTCCATCAAGGCATTGACCTAATCAACACATACACCAAGTTTGAACATTCTAGCCCAATTAGGAAGAGAGTTATCGTGTCCCAAAGCATCAACCAATCAAATTGCTTATCTCTGCTTACCCTAAGCGGAAAATGCTCATCTTCGAACTCCATCAAGGCATAGACCTAATAAACACATACACCAAGTTTGAACATTCTAGCTCAATTAGGAAGAGAGTTATTGTGTCCCAAAAAGTGTGACGGACAGACAGACGGACAGACAGACGGACAGACAGACAGACGGACGAACCCATTTTAATAGTCCCCTGCTTTCTTCGAAAGGCGGGGGACAAAAATAAACAATGCTAGTTTTCATAACAATAGAACAAATTATTTGATGACCCCTATCTTGGAGTATAAATAAATCATAGACATCAGAAATTTCTTTACCTCTAACAAAAGAGCCTTTTTTTATATCTTTGAGTGGTAGCACGAGTTTAATCAAATGATATATTTTGTTGGTATACATAATAGAATGTGCATAATAGAATAAGAACCCCACTGTACAAGAGACAGATCTGAGGTAAAGAGAAACATGTAACCAGGACAAAAACATGGTCATTGTAAATCATAAAATCATGCGATTGAGTCATGGGGCTGTCCGACAGTTTCCACTGTGCTTTATAATCCCAGGTAGTGCTGTGTATTGCCACTACAGTCATGATACGTATTGCGATTAGGGTGCTACGATACGATACGTATTGCGATTCGGGTCCTACGAAACGATTTGTATCACGATTCATTACCAGGTCAATATTTACCAAGAAAACAACAGGATAAATGAATGATTGGTATTTTATTGGAGTCACAATTTACAATTACTGCCCAGGGCTTGAAATGTGCGTTTGTCTACTTGTTGCCAACAGATCAAAATAAGGAAATAAGGCCCAAAAAAATTCAAGGGTGTTGTGTAATGTGTGACGCTGATCTTAAAGAGTGACAGGTTACTTACTGAAGCAACAAAAAAACATAAAGAATGATGATACATCGATTCAGCATTTCACAATTCAATGTGCAAATCACAAGAACTTCGTCGAGAAGGTGAATCGATTCAACGATGTATCGTACCAGCACTAATCCCAGGAGATAAACCTATTTAGATTTTAGCATTCTGTGAAAAATGTGTAAGGGTACTCACAACTGCTCTTTTTAATCTCTTCTTTTCTTGTCTAGCTTCTGTTCTTTCCTGAATTAAATCTTCTTTCAGTTGTAAAATACCATCCTCTAAATCTACTATCTGTACAATAAATAAATAACATATCGATATTAAATGTTTTCTATAACATAACAGAAATACTATAAATATAATGCTCTTTCAAAAGAGGTTTTTATACCTTAAGATATTTTGATATTTTACTTATTTAATTAAAACTAAAGATATCATTGTATGTTTTATTATTCCAAAATCTTAGCTTGTCAATTTTTTTTTAGATTAAATTAAAACGTTTTCTAAATTCACGTTCTTACATTTTGATTGGCACACCTGACTTTATCTCTTGTTTCATTCAAAGTGATCTGCATACTGAAAATATAGAAAAAATTAACTCAAAGATTCTTGAATTATAAAATTAATAAAGAAATGAAATGAATTGAAATGCGGTTTTTAACGTCCCAATGTTCTGCCCAAACTGGGCTAATGACGACGGGCATATATCATACCTTATGCTATGAGGAAAGTTTTGCCCAGGCAGGGGCACTATGACCTACTCTTATATCAAATTCTAACTGCCAAGGGATCATTTATGTAAATGCCAATGTATACGTCACAGGATCTCGATTTTTCATCCTATCTGAACGACTTGACAGTTGTCCTTGTCAGGCCCTCCGTCCTGTATCACTGACAAGGTGAAACCACGTCGGAAAATCCCGATGAATTTTCTCAGCCAATGCAAAATTAATAAAGAACTGAAAACGTGTTTTCTAGAAACTTCCAGCATCTTAACACTGACACAGCTGGTTTTGTTATTTAATGAACTACTAGTAATGGCTCAGTTAGAATACATGATACAACCAATATAAATACCTGGCTTTTTCAGCTAAACGCTGATTAAGTAAAGATATAATTTCTTCATGCTGTTGACGAATCATTTCTCTCTCTGGACTAAAAATACAATGAAAATATGGTAACATCAAACACTAATCTTATTCTTAAATTAATAACATGCTAAACAAATGAATAATGGGTTCCAAAATTTAGTCATTTATAATTTAGGTACAGGTAGCAAACATAATGTTTGAAAGATCTGTAACTATAAGCTCTATACGAAAAAAAGGGGAGAACTGGGTTTAGTGGCATTCCCCCCCCCCCCCCCCCAACCCCCTGAGTCTTTTATTAACTTACTGAAGTTCTGAATTTTCAATTTCTAATTCTTGTTGATGTTTCCCCATGGTAATAATATTAGTATTAATTGTATCAAGTTCATTCTTTAAATCTTGTAAAGCTACTGTATTGGACTGATGAGCAGAGTTTACAGCATCTATAAAATGAAAAAAATTAATTAACATTACATATTTCGGACAAACGTTGACAAATAATGGTCAATTACTTACACAAAGATGTGTTTGGTTAATTGTTTTACCGTCTCTACACAATAAAAAATAAATATAAGAATGTTTATTTTTTTTTTTTTGCCCTACAATGGTAGCCAGGAAATCATTATTCACAGTCATGGTGTAGCCTTAAGCTAACACTGAAGCTGGTGTGCTGTACTATTTCTAACAAGCGGTTTGCCATTCAAGATATGCCCACAGTTTGCAAGAGATGGACAGAGAACAAGCTAAAAAAAGAGATTTTTCGGACAAATTCATAATCCAGGATGTTACAGTCTCACATGTGACAATATCAAAAAGAACCATGATCTTCAGGATATAAACATACATTTTAAGTTTCATTAAAATCTGATAAAAATTGTGACCTCTAGAGGGTCAACACACTATAAATGTGATTCGTACAATCAATGGCCATAATCCAGATCTTTGGGATATAAACATATATTACAAGTTTCATCAAAATCGGATAAAAATTGTGTCTCCAGAGGACCACATACTTGATATACCATAGTTTTACACTATTTGTGTACAAGGAGCGGCCATTTTGTTGGGCAGTTTGGGTCTGATTTTCACGAAATTCAAACCCAACCGCCATTATAGTGTAACGGTGATATATTTGAATGTTTTTTTCAATCGGAAAAAAATTGTGAACTAGAGAGGAACAAACAAGCTACAAACGCTATTTAGGGGCCATAATCCCGACAGTTACAGTCCGATATGCACAATTATCGACAGGAACCCAAGATCTTTGGGTTATAAACATACATTTCAAGTTTCATCAAAATCGGATAAAAATTGTGACCTCTAGAGTGTCCACAAGCTAAAAACAAGATTTTTAATACAATCAGGGGCCATAATCCATGAAGTTGTGGTCCGATACATGCCAATATTGAGAGGAACTAAGATTTTTTAATATAAACCTATATTTCAAATTTTGCCAAAATCAGATTAAAATTGTGACCTGTAGAGTGTCCACAAACAAATGTGAACGGATGGACGGACAGAGGCGACAACAATATACGTCCACATGAAAATGTGGGCGTATAAAAAGAGCTAATCGGGCATAATTAAATGAACTAGAGAAATCAATAACTTATATCTAGCAATGTGCTTTTAAATCATAGTTTGTAATAGGTTTCTAAAATCAACAATGGCTTCAGACTGTCAATTTAATCTTTGATACAGGAACAGGGAGTATGAAAATTTACCATAAATATATATTACGGTATAAGAAAGAACTTACTCATAGTTTCTTTTTTAATCTGTCCTGGCAAAAATAATAATTTGTGCCTTAAAACACTGGCTTTTATAGTTTCTGTTTCTAGATTGTCATGCATTTTTAATCTTGCTCTGTCCTGAAGAATAAATAAATTATAATATAAATGAACTGTTAAGATAAGGAGATAAAAGCATAAAAAATCTAATAGGCTCATTCTAATTAATTCAATAATAAATTAACTTAAATTTAATTATAAATTTTATAATTTATTTCAGCTAATTAATCTGGTTTAGAGTTTATGTAGAAAATGCATATTCCCAGAAACAGATGATCATATATAGTTATTTATAAATAGCAGACATTTGTTACGGCCCTTTCCATTAACAGTTTGACTTTACTACTTTAGACTACGGTACATGTTCGTTCAATAATAAGTCACACATGCAAATCACACAACTTCCTTAAAATATTTTGCACCCATGAACAAAATTTCTTTGTTCACAGGCATTGCTAGTTGCAAAGAAATAACTATTTTGTCATTTTTAAATAAAAACTATTTGTAAAAATCTAACTTACCAATTCACGAAGTGCTTCAATGACTTTATCAATATTCTTAACATCATTTTCTTTAAAACCGAAATCACTGTGCCTCATTCGTATAGCTGGGAAAAAAAAAAAAGAAATATGCTAGAATTTTTCGGTTAGGCCAAGACAACATTTATCTAATTTAAATTAGCCAAACATTTTCTTTTAATGTAAATTTAATAATCAATTAAAATTGTTTAAAAAAATTTTGCACAAAAGACTGATCACTTGCCCTTTTATTTTGATAACTTTGTTTATTCACATTGAAGTGAATATATTATCATATTCGATGACCAAGTCCTTCCATTTCCCTTTGGCAGGCTATGTATAGTATTATTATTAGTGGCAGTCAAGGACTTGGTGATCGAAGATAATTTTCAGCCTAATAAAGTTAGTAAACAATGGCAGTAGATACCTTTAAAGGAGCTAAATCACTAACATTTGGGACCTAGAAATTGAGCCAAATGGGTCACAACGCATATAATAATATGGTAATCTGATTGTATATGAACTGATTTACATTCAATTGTTTCCGTTTTGACTCCTAATTTCAAATCAGTTATGTCCAGCGAAATACGGCATGAGTCTCAATCGAATAGAAATTTCTAGCGTCTGGTTATTCCAGTCTATTGCACATGCTCTCTCAAGAGAAGTTATGGCGTCACCGTTTGACATGAGTTGTGGAATATGTCTAGCCTCATTCTTGCTGGTCACTTGTTACAAATGACACTGAAACGCAATATGGTCCACGATTCATGTACGGTACCAATGGTAAAATGTTTATTTTGTCTTAAATATTGGATATCAGAAGCCCACCTTTTCCCGGTAAGATAACAACATCAATGTTGATTTGAATTGACAAATAATTCGTGTTTTCAACGTGTAAGACTTTGGGTGACATTGAGTTACAGACTTATACTATAGCTACTTTAATATTACATCACTATTTAATCGGGTTTAATATTTTCAAAAATGTATTATTTATTAATCACTATATATAAATTTACATACAAAATCATGAAATGAAATGATATTTCTGGTTAGGCCTATGATGATCTACTGACACTACTGTCACACCTATCGTCTCTGTCTGGTTTTCGACAGCAACGTTCAGAGTTATTTATTTATTTTTTTTTTTGTATCTTTATTATTATATTATAGTCAGTTCAAATAAGTTATTGAGTTACTCAGTTAGTCAGATTTAACTATAGTGTTAATAATAAAGTTACTACCGCACCGGTACTAATAATATAAAAATAAATAAAATAATGTCTACTAGCCTAATCACTAAAAAAGACTGTCACTTACAAAGTTCGTCAAGCTTTCCAACTGCATTGTTGACATTAGCCTCTTCCGTTTGGACCGACATTTTGTTAAAATTTAATTAAATATGCAAAAATATCTAGTCATTTATTCAAAATTACGGATTTCTCTAAAAATGTTGTCAGCCATTTGTAAACTTTATCGTTGTCAATAATGTTTTTGATCTCAATTTGTAAAGAAAAGCCAAAGGGAAGTAACTATAGTAGCTTTCAACTATAGTCTCCTTCATCAAGTATCATTACTATAGTATGGTACTTTTATTACGTCAATAGACTATAGATACGACAGAGATATAGCCAACAGAGATTTTTTAATTTTAAATAAAGGATCTAGTCCCAATGTATTCTTAATAAATCTTCTATTTCCCCCTTTCTATAAAGACAGGAATTATTATTATTATTATTTTGTTGTATTTCTATAGTGTACCTTTCACAAAAGTGCTCAGATGCGCTTTACAATTCAATAAAGTGGAATGTAAAAAAGTTGTCAAGATCGTTTCCAGATTGACTGGTCCCCCCTCCAAAGTCCCTGAAGGTGACCTCTACCAATTACTTGGAATACAAATTAATTATAAATTATTTGCGACAAGATTTCTTTGCTTGATAAAGACATGTACACTGGTTGTAAGGTCACCATAATATCTCATTCAGTTACTAAATGCCAATTTAACAATTATATTGTATATGAATAGCCTTAAGTGATGAAAGAATATTCACTTGGTCAGCCTGTGGTCTATTTTTCATAAATAAGAGGGACTCTGGTAGGATCTGATTACATTATGTAGTACTCTTTTTGTCATGAAATATTGTTATAAAATAAAATTCCACCACAGAATGTAAATATGTAGGCTAATGTCAAGATGGCTACTAATTAAGATGCTTTTTGTCTTGCAAAGACAAAATAATACTTAATTAGATTTCGCTTTATAGGATCCCATGATAATTTCTCTTTGCTACAATTAAGCAACATAAACCAGTAGAAAAAAGCAGGTCTACAATGAAGTATTCACCAATAACCACTTACACTGTCTAAAGAAATGAAATGAAATGAAATGGGGTTTAACGTCCTACTGTTCTGCTCCTAACCTGGGCTAATGAAGACGGAGACGGGCATACGCCATACAGTGTGCTATGAGGGAAATTTTGCCCGGACAGCGGCACTACGGCCTACTCTTATATCGAATTCCAACTGCCAAGGGATCTTTTACGTGCACGCCAATGTGTACACGGGACCTCGGTTTTTTCGTCCCATCCGAACGACTAGACAGCTTTCCTTGTCAGCCCCTCCGTCCTGCATCACTGACAAGGGAGAACCACGCCGGAAAATCTGGATGAACTTTCTCGGCCAATGCAGGGATCGAACACCCGACCTCCAGGCTAGCGAGCTAGCGTCTTACCCACTTAGCCACGTGATCCCCCACTGTCTAAAGAATTTTAATATGGATCAACACCACATTCATATCTGCATCCAATCAAACATCTGGGTTTGTTCAAAGCTCATTCTAATTAAACTATCTTTCATTTTACTTTTATGGTTCTAATTTTCAACACTGCATAAGATCAAACATAGGCAGCAGTTGGACAAGACTATATATGAATACGAGAACACAACAAATTGATAAATGGTTCTGATAAAATATAAAATACATGTATAAAACGATATGCAATAGTTTTCTGCTTAAACCAGGCAAACAAAAACAGGCATATGCTATGCAGTGTGCTATGTGGGAAGTTTTGCCTGGACTGACATTTTTGCCTACTCTTTGCCAAATTTCAACTGTGAAGGATTCGGTTACATGCACACCAATGTGTACACAGGACCTCAGGTTTCCTTAATGACTAGATGTTGTTTCTACACTGTTGACAAGGGCAATATAAAATAAAAAACAAATCGAAAATCATCTGCTTTTAATGGGATTGGGGAGAGAGAGAGAAATGGGGTTTAACTTCCACCCAACCCAAACCAGGTCATTTCGTGACTAACACATGGTTCAATTTTATTTCAATAATTTGATTGCGCGTAGAGGTCTTTAGCAGTGGGAGGAAACCGGAGGACCTGGAGATAAACCACGAGGTTGGACAGGCGTTCTACTCTTGTCATGTACGACCTGAGAATCGAAACCATGCCAGTTGACTCATTGACAGACCTTATGATTCAACACGCACGCACTAACCAATCGGCCATCCAACCCCTCTAATCAGATTGGAGTTTCTTGTTACATAAACTGCTTCAGTGCAGTCAATACCAAGTGGATTATAGTATTTTGGCATTCAATAATGGTGAATATGCTAGGATAATGGTACTGGAAAGTTTGAACTAATGGACATGTAATTTGTATTGGAATAATAAAACAGTAATGGTCATTCCAAAGATCAGCTAATGGTCAGTTACAGTTTATTTATTTTATTACAAATCTCAACATTTTCAACAATATATGACAAACCTTGAATTTTAACATCAAAGCTGTAAATTATGTATAGAAGTCCAATAGTTAGATTTAAAAAAACAAAACAAAATATTTACAACCGTTCCAAAGAATCATAAAAATAAAGAATAAACAAAGTTTTTAATTTGATTATTTTGTATTAGGGACAGTGGTGTGAAGACCACTAACCATACATGACAAACAAGATCATGTGGGGGCATCAAAACCCAAAATTTTTATCATTACCTCAGGAGGCTCGGCTCAGGTGGAATGGTTATGATCAGTTTGTGTCATATCTGAATCTGCCAATAGAATTGGAAACCTCACTGCAACCGCATGATTATTTCCTATCGGGAGGTGCAAAAACTTAGCCTGTTAACCTTCAAGTGACCCATAATTAGCCCATTTTATTACATTTTCCTTCAGGTGACAAATATAAAAACTAACCTGTCAATTCTATTCTAATAACTTTTTTACAGTTACTGAAACATTTTGTTTTAGGCATGATAAAGAATTTCCCAGTCAGTAAAACAATGTCAATGAACAAACTATCAGAACTGATCAACCATGACCATATTTTTAATTATTTCTAAACTCCTATACAGTTTTTGTTGCCATTGCCACTAACATTCAAATTTAATATGGACTTGATGGGATATTTTATATAGACGATTTCCAACAGCAAAGTAGTCCATGCGTACAAAAATATATCAGCTATTGGGTATTATTTTTGTTATCCAGTCCCGCAGCATGTGTAATTCTTTTTTATCCAGCTCATGTGATAGTTTAGGAAATGAATTAAAGTTTGTCGTAACACCCAGCGATTTTAACTGGTTACATGTTTTTTCTCCCCATTCATATTTCACCAAAGGATCTGCTTGGCCATGACAATAAAATAATGGAGGCATTTCATTTGTTGATTTCTTTACACTCTGAAAAAAAAAGAAAGACATATCTATTTGCAAGATTTGATTGCATTTTCACATTTAAACTTATAGATACATTATGGGAGATTAGATAAAGAGCTGGCAGTTCTCACTATAATAGTTAAAAACTAGATACTGTAAAGGGAATTTGCCGAAAATTTCAATCAAATTGATCCAGTCTGAACCGAGAAATTAGCATTGAATTTCAGATCTAGCCTTGATCATCATTACTAAAATCAATACGATAAAAAACATAAGTCTCCATTATCCATTTTTTGATTAAATGGGCTTTAACATTCTACTGTTCTTATTAGGCCTTGTACACAAGGTGATCTTATAAAGTTTTGGTTTTCATAACCAGGTTTGAAACCATTACTACATTCAGCTGTAGTGGCAGGTTTCATGCACAATTCAGGGTATGCTTATTCTATACAGAACACCTAATACTACTTTTCATTTGATGACTACACATAGCTTACAAACACTTGTAATTTTGCATTTAAAATCCTTAAATTTTGTTCACAATTGAACTCTTAATAAGAAAAATAAAGCCTTTTATGAAATCATATATTATTGAAATATTGAAGTTAGATGAGAGTATCAAGTTAAAAGCAAAGGAAAAATAGCAGGGCTTGAGATCGGGAAATAGCTGCTTGATATTATAAAACAGAAGTCTTTGAAAATCGATCAGCAGTTATCATCAAGGTACAGCTACCCATTAATCTTTATAGTTTATACTTACATCATAAACAGCTGAACCTGTATTAAGGAATCCAGACAGAACAAAACAACCAGCTACTTGTGGGTGAAATCTATAGGCCATATGCATAGCTAAACATCCACCCATAGAGAAACCTCCTATAAAAATATTTACCTTAAGTAATACAGGAAAGCCAAAAAACGTATATATTTTGAGTAAATAGATCAAAAAAGATGTGCTGATGCTAAATTTGTGAGGAAAATAGATATTTAACATGTCCATGAAATAGATCACGGGTGCTGATTTATTAGTGTCACAGTAAGGTCTGATATGGTGATCATGTACATGTAAGTCACAGTAGAAATAACCCCATCTCAAAAACTTTTTGTATATTTACACACTTTTGATATAAAAAAATCCATAACTCAAACATCAAGGAATAACTCTTGAGAACACTTGAATGTAGTGTATTTGAATTACAATTGGTCCCGGTTTTACAAAACATTCTCAGACTTAAGTTCAGAATTTACTCAAAATCGTGCGTTTTATTTTAACTAAAATATAGCCCATGATAAAACTTTTGTTATTTTAATGAATCAAATATATCAATAAGAAACTATGTGCAAATTTTTATTGTTTCTAGATCAAAGATATTTCTCATAAACAGTAATTAAAAGTTAATCTATTTCTTAAGTCTGAGAAAGCTTTGTGAAACCGGAATCAGTTGTTTTACAATCCTATACATTAATTGGTTGTTTTCGATCTAACCAGTTGAACAAACCAAGCAGACATACACCGGCACTATGAGGAAATAAGGAAAAATAATCTAAAGATATTTTGCTACATTAGTGTTGATGTTTTTCAACAGAATTATTAATCTAGACAATTTATCACATGGTGACTATATGATGTTTATCATTAAAGATACATTATGTAAGATTTAAATAAAGAGCTAGCCATTCTTGCCATAATAGTTTGAAAATATACTAACGTCCAAAAGAAAGTATACACTGTGCATATTGTGCTGCATCAACCAAAGTCGTTTTTCCATGGTATACGGTATTAGGGTAGAATGTCAATTTGTTTCACATTTTTATTTTGCTTACAAATGTTGAGTTTGGACGCAAGAGACAAACTCAGTAATGCTTTATCAAATGTTTTTAATCTAAACAAAACTTAGTCATACTTTTAGTGTGTATACTTTCTTTTGGACGTCAGTATAGATAATGTAAAATGAAAATATTGAAAATTTCATGCTAATTACTCTGTTGCGAGTGAAGATATTAGACTTTGAAGGTTTGACAGGATGTGTGCAATAATTTCAACCACCGTACTGATTGTTCAAAGCTAAGTCTTGCTTCTCCATTTTTAGCTTAAATCAAAATATGGCTGAACTGTTCTAATCTATTCAATATTGGAGAAATCCGATGCCATCGAGAGTTGATTATGGCCTGGATAAGTTAATTAATGTTTAATTAATAATTTTCAAGACATTTCAGGCCTAAAGAAAGACCTGCAATAAGCAGCTTTAGCTCTTGCATAATGTATGTTTAACCACTGCCAATGATCTTTATAACAGTGTTGTTTGTATTTGCACGTTTTATGCTCTGTTAACTATCACTCTATTCAATATTTCATGCAGCCAGGATACATCACAACAGACAATGTTTTGTGTACATCTTTGGTGCTTAAATATTAATTGTGTGTATATAAGTAGCAACAATCAATATATCTGATTACAGTGATGCTGTAATCAACAATTGATTCTCATCACTATAATGGTCACGATGATCTGTTGGCTTCCACAACAAAACACACTAAAGAACATATCAAAACAATCAAATATAATCTTTACCTATAATTATTTTATTTTTGGGTGTCCCCTTTTCAACTAAATCATTGACAATAGGCTCTAATTGTTGACACATCGTTGACACAGATTCTGTCTCTGGTACGTCTTGGGCTATATCAACTCTATCAAACCAGACATTACTTAGTTCACCACCATATAAACTATAAGGTCTGAAATATTAAAGTTCAATCAATCATTAACGATAAATAAAAACATCATACATGTCGATGTTTGCTTGTTTGTCAGGTCCTCTTAAATACCCACTAGTGCTTACCGGTACATCAAATTATATGAATTGCTACTGTCTTGCTTTTCATTACTCAATGTCAATCAAACTAATTAACACTAATGGAATTTGATCAGACTTTGTTTTTTTTATGTCAATTAAACTAATTGGATTACCTGTCTCAAAAAGTCCAGAGCCTTTACAAAAAAATGCTGAATAGACTGATTGACAAAAGGTGACAACAATATAGGTCAGGATTAAATTTGGACATGCAAAAATGAAAACAATAGAAAAAGACATATCCATAAAAAAATTGTCTTTTACATCTACAGATGAAAAATTACCACTAAAATTGGTATTATACAATATATATGCCAAGTACATGATAGTCAGTTTGTCAAATTGGGTTAATAACTTCATCTGTTTCAGCTGGTCACAGCAGTTAAAAACTTTTCGACAGATGTTTTCTTTGATCAATAAATAATATCTAATACAAATTTATCATCCAAGTATAACCAGATTTCTATTATATAAATAGAAATTATTGATTCAATATAATCATCTAATTGAGAAACAAATATATGTGAACGAATATGAACAATAAGGCTCAGTCATTAAAATCCGACACCCTTGTATACCAAAAACTATGTTAAATATTTGTTTCCATGGAAACATAAAAATTATTAAATCTTAGAAATTTTCAATTCGCAAAATGTTCAACTACTATTATAGGTTGATATGTATATAGTACAATGTTTCATAGAGATAAAGTGTCTTTTGGAATATTTTTGTGAACTATATTTTACCTTTCTGGTGCTGTTGGTATTATAACATCCAAATGAGGAAAAGAGAACTCTTCCCGTAATACAAGTTTCAACCATTCTCTGATTCCATTACCAGTATCACCTTGAACAAAAATAAAAGACAAGAGATACTTTCATTATTCAGCAAGTCAACAATATGATTAAATCTATATCTATCTAGCTATGTAAAAACTAAAACACTTCTATATTTATTTGTATATTCTAAAACACAAAATAGCCGTCTATAGACTAAAAATAGGTTGCCAGACAACAAAACATACACTGTCCCGCAACAGTTAAGTCATCTAAGCAGGCCAGATAATGGCGACACTTATGTACATGTATTTTTTGGTAGGTAATATAAACATTCATGAGACACAAAAACTGATGAAGTAATTACCAGAAAGAACCAAAATCTGATAGGTTTCTAATACAGTCTAGTTCTTCTTAGTTCAGACACAAACAACACATGTACTGAATATGATGATAAATTTAGCTGTTTGAGTTACTGGGAATGATAGAAATTCAACAAGAATCATGGTTGCATGCCCAAAAACATAACATTTGCTAAGTCACTAAGTGATTAAATAATATTACTATTATTAAGCATTTCTACTGCGCACAAGGGCCATATCTCTGACAGTAAGAATTGGAAATGATGAACATATATTTCAAGTTAATCTATAAGTGTATGGTATCCACAAGCAATTTAACTACTGCTGTGCCAGATATATCGCAAATCTTGTAGTATAGTATTCCTCAGCTCTCATTCTGTCCACATGACAATACAAGAGGGCCACCATGTTTCTTCATACTGTTTATTATATTAACAGTAATATGAGAGCAAGGATAGAGTCATCATCGGAATATTTGCATGTAAAGGGAATTATTTATATCCCTTATTGCATAGATTTGGGAACTACTTGTATACCATCTCATCCGGTTATCAGAAATGCATTTGATTTGTATATTATGTGTTTATTCTAGATCAAGCAGTTTTTAGGGATCTGCATCTGTTTCCTTCTATTCCTCTTTGATAAGCTGATTACACCTAAAATACAATCATTACTTAACTCTACTTGATGAACTAATAAACAATTCAAAATTGCAGGACACATGTTGCTCAAAACCCTTCTTATTTTCTGTTGCTCCGTGGGTAAGCGTGAGACCACAATGGGGAGAGAGGAAAATTTTTGAAAACTAGAAGCCTGGAAATGCCATTCCCAGCAATCTGAGACAATAAATGTGGTACTGAAATACTCTGATTTCGTAGTGATAACTTGTGATTTTCTTCTGAATGCATAACAACTCAAGATTGTTTAATGAGTTTATGAGGGTACGGCTTTTGATAATCTGCAATTTCTTAAAATATACATGTGAAACTCTTGACACGTATATTTAAAGTTTAATTTAAATTGAATTTCACATATCTAATAAGTTTTACTGATGCCTGGTGTCTGTCATCTCCCCAATACTTTTCATCAGTGAAAATATGCGCTAAACATAAGTATTGCAAACTGGCATGGAAAGAACAAAAGAAACTATAATTTGATTAAATTTGCTGGTGTAGCGGATGACACATTAATTAAAGAATTAATCACTTTCACCAAAGTCCATGCTTTCATCCATTTCTCGCCCCACTAGACTAGATTCAGGCATATATAGAAATCTTGCATGTGAGTAATAGGCGGACATTTTGGCTGTTTTTTTGGGACACAGGACTTGAAGGCATTTTGTGAGACTGTCCCCCAAAACGCGAGACTGTCCCGCGAAAACATGGGATGAATGGTCACCCTCAAATGTTAGATTTCTATTTTCTAAACAGTGTGATATCAGGCCCTATTTATCGTAAGGTTTTATTAACAAAGCATGTAGGCTACAGTTACTGGTAGTGGTACTGTACAATTAACGAAGCGTGTACAATTACCGCTACTTTACAAATCATAGCCCACACAGCAAGCTTTTTCAGAGTCAGCCATAAAATCCCCCAAACCTGATTGAATAAAAAGATCTCCCCCCCCCCCGTTCCGACTGACCAGAATACCTGGGCAATGTAAGCAAGCATAACAAGACAGAGACCCCTTAGATAGAGGATACTGCTATGCGTTTCTGTTATACTGCTTGTAGTGAATGAAGAAGGCATGGCATTCTCAAAAAAACTAATAAAATTTAAATTGGAAATTGGGTGGGGGGGGGAGCATTGTATTCACCTCGTTTAAACCAATGACACTTTTGAAAAAAATAAACAGTTTAACCCCAATAAAGAATAATTCATTTATGAATCACCTGATCCGTGGAAAAATATTACTGAGCCTTTATATGTAGACGAAGTGTGACCTATAGTCTGCACCAAAAACTTTCTCATGGGGGCAGACATGTTTACCCATAATACCTTGCTCCAGGACGAAGTGCGCGTGTCAAAACTCGCATGTCGTGCCAAAACAGACCGACGAAGTGGGTAAGTTTTATGGATTTTTAGCCTTTAAAAAAATAATAATTTGTCAGGATTTCTATTTTAATTAGTGTGATAAACCAGCCTAAGATAATGGTTCATTTTAACCAGTATATTTGATTAATAGCATACGTTTTTTAGGCGATACGCATGGTGAATCTTAAGTCTAAGTCCCCACCCACCTTCCCGCGTTGCCAGTGTCATCAAAAATATCGTGAAATAATGAATTGCTCGCTTTCAGACACAGAAAGTGTTGTATGATCAGTTTCAGCAACCCAATTTGCATAATTAACAGAATTAATCTTTCATTTCTTAATAAATATTAGATTTTATTTACAAACTTCCGGTCCCGTATAACAAATACGACAATATGGAGGTGTGTCCATGACAACTCCGTCAACTGATCTACTTTCATTTTTATATATTTCCCTTTTTTTTAATTTGAAAATATGACTGTAGAATTTGTTGATTGCTCCATTTGTATTCCCTCATTAGATCTACCCAATTCAACACTTTTTTTGACCTAAGAGATTTTGCTAAATATATAAATATTTTTTTTTTCTCAGTCAAGACCAAGAGGACAAGAGGTTCTAAAGTTGTAATGTGTAGGAATTATTGTTTAGTTGGTATGACAGTGTAAATATTAGACAGATCAAGATGGCTAGTAGAGGATCTGATTCAGATGGTGGATCTATGACACCATCAGAGAGAAGCGATGAGGAAAGAAGTGAACATGATTCAGATTATGAAACTGATGAAGAGGAAGAAGAAAGGTTTGATGTTTGACTATTGAAAATTCACTACGGTAACATATGTAATATTTATGATTGATTAAAAAGGACAGAAAAAGGTTAGGCTGTTACTGTCCCGACGTACATAAATATTAACATGAATTTTATTATAATTAAACACAATTATGAAGTATAGTAGTCAAGGGGATATGTAGCCTATGTAAGCCTAAACTAAACATTCAGTTAGTCTATCATTCCCAAATTTGTTTCATGGCTATAGCCTGGTTACAAATGAAATGAAATGAGGTTTAGTTTAACATCCTACTGTTCTACACCGACTTGGCTAATGAAGACGGTAATATGCCTTACAGTGTGCTATGAGATAAATTTTGCCCAGATAGTGGCACTACGATAGAGTGGCCCACAGCTTCTATTATCTGTACTATATAAACTGACCTGTTTTAACAGCTTGTTGTCACGCGGATCAAAACTTCGATTATGAGAAAAGGGCTCGCTCGTGCACTGTAAGCAGCAAACAGTCGCCCAAAATAGACATTCAAGTGACTATATTCATTCACTTATTTATCAATGAAGCCATGTAAAAAAATTATTCTTTACTCGTCGGGCTTTTAAAAATAAGAAGTTAAGAACTAGATTAAAATTTTGGCTAAAACACGGCGATTTAATTTCTAAGTTAGTTCATTGTAACCAATGACGTATATATTGTAACGGTTCTCGTTTCAGTGTCAACTCATGTAGTTTCGCCCTTTTTCTATCTTTTAAATCCACTCTCGTGGCAACATACCGACACTGCAAGACTGTGAAAGTTACTTTTATTTAACCATAAAACTCTGTTGTTAGTGGGCGCTTTAGTTACTTTAGAAGTTACATTGTTGCTAGCTCTAAATACGCAGAAAAAATTTGAGACTGGAAATTAATTGAACGAAATTATTTTCCCTAGTCTCGATTAACCAGACGTGTATGATTAAAATAAAATTACGGTACTGGTCACAAGACTCGGATTCTAATCATTTTAGGGCGCTGCGAATTTGGCCTCCGGTTTTGTGTCAAATTTAATAAGAGGATGTGCCATTATTGCTATGCCATTCGTGTTTAGTATCCTTATGCATTTGCCATTTCTAACATGGTGGTTACAAAACGTTTCAGTTATTATAAATCCAGTAACAACTCATTTTTGTAGAACTGAAATATAACCAAAAAGACGCGCATTGACCGTTTCATAATTATCATAGGCGTACGGGCTCGATGACAGTTAGGGGGGCAGAACCCGAAATGCCCGAAAAAATTTCGGTGTCGGTCTTCCTCGAGAGGCGAAGAAGTGGAGCTTACCTTGTATGCCCACCCCCCCCCCCCCCAAGAAAATTTTGGAATATTTGACGTTTTCCTGCTATTTCAGCCCGTGAACAAGCAACTTCAATGTGGTCTAATATAGCCTAATGACAATGGCTGACTCGAATTCCAATCAAAAGATCAACCGTTGGGAAAAAAACTGCCGCAAATGCTTTTTCCTGTTATTCCAGCCTGTGAATACAGCAACTTCAATTCGGTCCAATATACATGTAGCCTACCTGGCTGACCCAAATTCCAAACAACCAATTAATCGTCGTGGGTTATGGGGGCCTCACCCTCCCAGAGAAAATATTGAAAATTTAACCACCGCAAATGCATTTTCTGCTATCCTAGCCTGTTGCAGTTGCATTCACAAATAATAATCGATGCCAGAAAAATGTCGCACAAAGAATGGCTCTAGACAAAATGTTTTAATCCATAGTCAACTCAGTACAAATTCGTTGTATTCAATTAAAAGAAAAGTAAAATTAGTGTTTTATTAGGGATCGATGACAGTTAGGGAAGCAAAACTAGAAATGCCCGAAAAAATTTCAGGTTTACAGACAGCGGCGCCCGTTTTCTTCGAGAGGCAAAGAAGCGGAGCTGACCTTGTCTGGACCCCCCCCCAAAATTTTTGGAATACTTGACGGCTGCAAGTGCGTTTTAGTGCTATTCCAGCCCGTAAAATTAGTGTTTTATTAGATTTCGGGAACTTTATTTTGCCAAATAGATGAAATAGGCTCGTACGCCTATGATAATTATTAAAAATATTAAAACGCGACACGATGCGTAAATTGTGCGTCTTACTTTCGAGAACAATAGCTATAAAACAGAAATTTCCAGATTGATACATAATACGACACAACCAACCATAAGTGGTAATTCAAACACAAAGGATATATTTAAACTTACATTTCTCTAAAAGATGCCTATTGCAGAACTCCCAACTTATTATGAAGTCATTGTCATGCCGGTTGTTTTTAATAACAGAATTTTCCAGTCATATAACAGATCAAAGAATTTTTCGAGACGCATTGTCACGTATCGACTTCTATTTTTGGATTATCTGGCGCCACACATAGCCCAATCATATCAAAAAGCATGCAGTTCCACCTTGAAATGGGTTCAGTTGATTTACGGTTTATTCTATAATTTATAACACGGTTTAGAGCACAATGTGTAGGAGTCGCATTTTTGACTTATAAGTAGATTCTTATACGGAATTCCGGATGCAATGCTAGACATTTGGACCACTGCTGCCGAACCGATTTGAAAATGCTTAAGGCTTTTTTTTCTTTGCGCATGTCGTGTGCTCCTCTGTTTTTGATGTGTATGATTTTTATTTTTGTGATAATTATTTGAAACAAAATAGGATTATCATAAAGGATATTTAACATATTCAATATGAGTACAGTAAGCACTCTCTACGTACTGCGTTTGTAAACCATGAAATTCACCCCTTATTAGAAAGTTTCAAATATAGTCTATTGCATGTAAACGTTAAAAAAAATCAGCTCGAAATACAGACACTCTCTCTCTCTCTCTCTCTCTCAGGGCTGCGCATGGTACAAATGTTAAATTCAATCGTTAAATGTAGGTACGTAAAAAACGAAGAAAGCCGACTGCGGAAAATAAGAATTCGTTTTCCAGAACAAAATTTGAAACTTTGATGTGACCAAGAAACATAACTCTTTTTAATGAAAAAATCTACCGCTGTAACGCTACTTGGGCGATCAACTTTTCCATATAATTAGAAAGTCCCATTCAAATGGCCAAATCACACAAATATCCAACTTAGCAATAGTTTAATTGTTAACGAATGATGATTTTAATGGTAAGTCTTATCATATTTGTTAAAATAAGCCCCAAATATAGCTCGTTTATTTGATTTTTGTTATTTGCACGAACCACTCTAACTACGACCTACTTTATAGTATACCAAATTCCCACTGTCAGTTGTTCTTTTACTGTACATCAATGCATACACAGGCCCTTGGTTTTTCGTATCATACAAACGACTATGCTGTACCATGCCAGGCCCTTCGTCCTGCAATATAACCTTGTTACCGTACCGTTTAAAATAAATTCATTCAACTTTGTACACACGAAACGTACTGAAGATGTGCCAAACAACAAATTATTTAGAAAAAAATAATTCTTGTATTCACTAAATCATGTTGGCTGTAGACACATCTTGATATTATACTCTGAAAGTCATTGCATTCTATTCCTATTTAATTCTATATCCATTCTATTCAATACTTGCATAAATGATAAAACTCAGAATTTATTTTATTTGGTTTATTGCAGCTCGGATAATTTGAATGTTGTGTGGACGGGTTATGGTAAAAAGAATCCAGTGATGTTATTCAAGGTTGAAGCCATTATGAACAAAAAAAGTGACTTTAAAACAGTTGGAGGTTGGTCATTTGAATTATTTTTAAATACTGATATATGAAACAAAGAGGATTAAACTTAAGTCATATAATAATATCCTTTTTGATTTATTTTTAAACTGTTCTTAGTGGTGGCATAGACCATTTGTCAGCTGAACTATATGTAGCCAATATTGATCAAGGTGTCCATTAAAGGAAGCACAATCATTATGCTAATCTTAAAAAATTTGCAGTGTTGAATACAATACAGTAGAAGTGTCATGATAATTATTATTGTCAATAACTTAAGAATATGGCTGAATTATTAATATATATTCATCATTTATTTTCAGAACGTTACCACATGGCTTATAAATTTGCTAACACAGAATGTAAGATTATTCGGAATATTCTCCAAACGCATGGTTTACACGAGGTATGTTTGCTACATTCTTGAAAAGTTAATTAAACCTCCAATTGCTAGAATAGAGTTAAAGAAAACATTCTGGTCTAAAAACTATTAAAATCAATCCTTGTTACGTTTGTTTATATGGCATTTTAGTAACTTTGTGATTGTAAATGTCAGAGTTTCTTTCTCCCTATTTGCTTTCAAATTTATGAATGAATGAAATGACGTACAAGGTCTTACTTTAGTGCTCCAGTTGTACCACTAAAGACCGGTTTTAAACTTAATGAAAGCTTATGAAGTGAATCGGGGCAAACTTGAGATTGTTCACTGACAAGCACCCCACCCCCATCTTTGACTTTATATAAGCTTAAATATAAATGATTTGGTCTGTTGTGTCTTTAAAGTTTGAAACCTAAAATAGTGGACAATTTAAGTAGAGTTTTAACATTAATGAAGATAGATTTTTAAATATCTTTTTTGAACAAATTTTTAATTTTGAAATGTCATTATATTTCAGATTCATCCAAATAGTTCTGATTACAATATAGTTTGGTCTAATGGCCATTTAAAACCATTCACATTAAGAAGTATGACAGAATATCAGAAGATTAATCATTTTCCAAGGTAAACTTATAACAGATGTTTAACAAATTCAACAACTATTTTGGAAATTTGAATAATTTATAGCTTGAATTCAAATTTGATATTAAATCTCCAATTTAAGAAAATATTTCTTTTGATTGTTTTAATTAATAATGAATTTAATGACTTGTATTGAACAGGTCGTATGAATTAACACGTAAAGACAGACTGTTTAAAAATATACAAAGAATGCAACAAGTCAAGGTAGGTACATGTAGGAGGAATGAACAGATCGGAATATTGTTCTGAGTTAAATAGTAGCTAGAACTGGAAGTCTGTAGGGTGTTCTGAAACAATTTATAACTAAAGAATTGCATATCTGTTTCGATCACTAATTGCATAGAATAGATCTTGTCTGTAATTGATTTAAAAATATATTGATTAAGTTTGTTGGGACACTGTAACTATCAAGTAAGAAATCCTTTCTTTAATGCTAATGTACACACATGTGTATATCCTGATTCATATCCATTGTCAATAGCAACGATTTGACTTTTTGTTTATTAATAATTTCATACTTTCATTTTTTTCAGGGTTTAAGACATTTTGATTTTATTCCATCAAGTTTTGTTTTACCTGGTGAATATCAAGATTTTTGTTGTAAGTTATTTTTTTAAACATTATAAGTGTTAAATTTCCTTAAATTTTGTAGCAAAACTGCTAGACAAATAGTAATTTGTGAGAGAAAATGGGACTGTAGTATTACAGAATAGGCACTTTATCCATACTTGTCTTGTTTCCTTTGTCTAAAAGTGTAGGTGAAGACCCCATACACCCATACTTTAGTGTGTTAGGTTTTAATACACCTAGACTTATTGGCAAGTTTATTAGACACACCCGTACTTATAATTTGTTAAGATAAATACATAGATTATTAACATAAACCTTAAATCCACAGAAATTATTCATTTTAAGTCTACAAAATTTGAGAATAAATTAGAATTACCTAAAAGCAATGTGACCGCTGTCCAAGCATCTTTAAACTAATTCCCCAAAGTTGTTATGGTTTCGGTCAAAACTTCCCCTAAATTTGGTTTAGTAAACAATTCAGCTATTGCTGATAGTGATATCATGGGTTCCATGTCGGCCGTATATGCAGGTCGGTACCGAGGGCTTTTGAAAATGACCAAAACTGGATAAGATCCGTATGTCATTTTGCACGCCGGAAAAATAACATATAACTCAATATAATCATATGTGTATTACAGCTGCATTTTTAAAAGATAAAGGTCCATGGATTGTGAAACCAGTAGCTTCATCAAGAGGTAGAGGTGTATTTTTAATCAATCATGTAAGTATATACTTTTTTACTGAACCTGGGGGGTTGGGATGGCCTAGTGGTTTAGAGTGCCGCGCTTCGACCTCTGGCTGGCCGGTCACCTCTGGCTTGCGGCTGTGGTTTCGAGCCCTGGTGTGAGCGTATGTGGCATGGAGATAGGGGCGCCTTCTCAACCTCGTGGGTTTCCTCCGGGCACTCCGGTTTCCTCCCACTGCTAAAGACCTCTACGCGCAAGCGAATTATTGAAATAAAATTAAACCATATGTTAGTCCCGAAATGACCTAGTTGTGTCGAGTGGACGTTAAACCCCATTTCTCTCTCTCTCTCTCTTTTACTGAACCAGTCATGCAGAGCTTTTTTTTGCTTTGACATGTCTTCCTCTGCCTTGTACATGTAACTAGGTTCTCATTCATAATTTTAAAAGAATTTTGTTTATTTTTGATTTCAGCCTGAACAAGCACCATTAGATGAAAATGTTATAGTATGTAAATATGTAGCTAATCCATTGCTTATTGATGGTAGGTTTTCTTACCTTTATATAATATTGTTTTGAAATAGATTTTGAAATTAAACTGTTTGCCATTTTGCTTTTTCATATAAACAACATTATCAGACATCAGTTCTTGTTAGCAATTGATGAGATGTTAATGTAAAAACCTATCTTTATTTTACAACAAATGGGTAATCCTGATGTCTAAAATATTCAAGTAAATGACAACATACATTAGTGAATATTATGTATTTAATTTTAGGTTTTAAATTTGATGTAAGATTATATATAGCTGTGACATCCTATGATCCACTGGTCATTTATTTATTTGAAGAAGGTTTAACAAGGTGAGAGAGAGAGAGAAATGGGGTTTAACGTCCACTCGACACAAACTAGGTCATTTCGGGACTAACACATGGTTTTAATTTTATTTTAATAATTCGCTTGCGCGTAGGGGTCTTTAGCAGTGGGAGGAAACCAGAGAACCCGGAGAAAACCCACGAGGTTGACAGGCGACCCTACTCCTTGCCACGTACAACTGGGGATTCGAAACCATGCCAGTTGACTCAATGACAGACTTTATGGTACAGCGCGCACGTGCTAACCATTCAGCCATCCAACCCCCCACGTTTAACAAGGTATTTGTTAATATTTTTGATAATGATTTATATGGCCTCAATCAGTGCCTCAAATTCATCATTCACGATTGAAATGAAATAAAAGGGGATTTTAACGTGCTACTAATGGGATAATGAAGACAAGCAATTGTCATGCATTGTGCCCGGACAGCGGCGCAACAGACACTCTTATTTCGAATTCCAACTGTCAACCGTTCTTTTACATGCATGCCAATGTATACAAGCGACATCTGTTTTCTGTCACATCCAAATACTATACATTGTCCCTTGCCAGACCCTCTGTCCTACAACATTGTCAAAGGGAACCATGCCCCAAAATCCCAATTAACTTTTTTCGACTAACGAAGGGATCGAACACGGGACCTCCAGATTAACGAGCCAAGGATTTACTCACTGAGCCACCTCGACTCAAGATTCACGATTCTAAGTAATGTGCTAGATTAATGAATTTTATCTGCTACTTTGTATCGGATTTGGAATGAGCTGTCAAACTATTACATAAGTATTTTGGGAAGGGTCATGTGATCTTTGACACAAATCTAAATCTTACAAAATGCATCTTTAAGGCATATGTTTTAAATAGTTTTTTTCAAGAATGGATGTCTAGGATTGTTTTTCTTTGTGTGAAATGAAATGGGGTTTAACGTCCTTCTGTTCTGCTCCTAAACTGGGCTAATGAAGACAGGCATACGCCATACAGTGTGCAATGAGAGAAATTTTGCCCGGGCAGCGGCACTACGGCCTACTCTTATATCGAATTCCAACTGTCAAGCGATCTTTTACGTGCATGCCAATGTGTACACGGGACCTCAGTTTTCCGTCCCATCCGCACGACTAGACAGCTGTCCTTGTCAGGCCCTCCGTCCTGCATCACTGACAAGGGGAAACCAAGCCGGAAAATCTCGATGAACTTTTTATTTGTTTATGATTATTGATGAAATAGTTGTTGTTTTCTATTAAGATTCTGGGGTTTTTTTTTATGCCAGGTTTGCAACTGTTAAATATGAGAAGACAAATAGATCTATAAGAAACCAGTGTATGCATTTAACTAATTATAGTGTAAATAAGAAAAGTCAGGATTATGTACGGTAAGTTGTAATAATTGTAATATTTTTCACAGTATTTTGATGATCACAGTTAAAGATGCATTATGTAACAGCCAAATCTGTCTATTGCAGGTCTTTCTTTTGGCCTTAAATGTTATATAAATAATTAATTAGACATTTATTCACAATTAATTAGACATTTATTCACAATTTATTAGACATTTATTCACATGACAAGTCCATAATTAACTCTCTGGACATCTGGTGGTCGTGATTTTTAATGGATTGAAAAAACAATTGTCACTTAATGATTTAATTTAAAAATAGATTGAACAACAATTACCATTTAATAATTTAATTTCGGAATGGACAATCAAGATATTTTATTATCGCAACAATGGTACTTGACAATCAAAGACTATATTGTGAACACTTTAGAGCTCGATACTTTTGCTCAGAAACAAGTAATTTGACTGAAATTTTCAATATTTTTATATTTCATTATCTAATTTTGAACTTATTTATATTTTAGCAAGAACGGCCATCTAAATCTTACATAAAGCATCTTTAAGAGTGTTATTTGAGAAATTAATTTTTATATTGCTTCATACCATTTTATCGAATGTTATTACACTGGAAAGCTACTATTTAAACTTGTAAAGCATGTCTAATATGTATTAAAATGTAATTCTCAAAATACATTATTTGTTTTGTCACATCTAATTACAGTAATGATGATCCCGAGATAGAAGATTATGGTAATAAATGGTCCTTAGGAGCATTATTAAGATATTTACGATCTGAAGGAAAAGACACTGCAGGTTTGTAGCACTGATAAACACGTAGTCTTGAACATTCAAATATTGGTCTGGGCAAAATAGGCCCATAAACAGATTTCCATACTTCAATTGTATGGCATCTGCCAGTCTTCATTAGCTGAGTAGGTGCAACATAGTAGGACATTAAAACCCCATTTCATTTCATGTCTTTTGCTTCGTTAACTGGGGAGGATCTTCACATAATGTTGGAAGAATGCATTGCAAACTGGTGAATCAAATGGTATTTTCAATAAGATTGAGTAAATTTACTGCATCAAAGGGAGATAATAATTTGTTGAAGATTTATTATATGATGTTTTATTATATTTAGCATTAATGATGAGAATAGAGGATGTTATAATGAAAACTATTATATCAGTTGAACTACCTGTTGCTACAGCTTGTAAAATGTTCATGCCACATAGAGGAAACTGTTTTGGTAAGTATTGTTACCATCTTTTCACAGATATATACACACATACACAGAATTAATTAAAACTTGGAGAAATATCCTATGAAGATGTTTTGGTGGTGTTAGTCTGCATACTTTAGAGGTTACTTCCAGTCGTATTAAATTCTTGCTATTTCTAACAGCAAATCTTTTTAATTATTATTTTCAAACATGACATGGTTTAGTTTTATTTGTAAGAGAAATAGTCATAGTGCTATCATTGGTATTTGTGTTAACTTTGTGTTCCTCTAAAATTACAAAGGTGTCATATGCTATACTTTGTGTAATTATATGGTATTGTATTTTGTATAATTTTATGGATTTGATATATTTTGCTGAATCATATGGATTTGATATATTTTGTTGAATTATATGGGTTTGATATATTTTGTAGAATTATATGGATTTGATATATTTTGTTGAATTATATGGATTTGATGTATTTTGTAGAATTATATGGATTTGATATATTAATTGATGATACGTTAAAGCCATGGATTATAGAAGTCAATCTGTCTCCTTCTTTAGCTTGGTAATTATTTCCTTTTATTATTTATAAAAAATAGTCCAAATTGATGGGCAGGGAGGGCATATTTGAAGATGTCAAGAGTTGTTGTTTGTAAAAGCTGGAAGTACATTCATTTTTCAAGTTGACCCTATAACTATTTTGACTTTAGGTGATAGGTTCATTCATACACATAATAAATGATAAATATTCTTGTATGAGTGATGATAAGTTAAAGATACATTATGGGAGATAATATAAAGAGATGGCAGTTCTCGCTATAATAGTTAAAAACTAGATAGTGTAAAGGTAATTTGCTGGAAATTTCAGACAAATTGATCCACTATGAGCCGAGAAAGAAGCGGGTGAAATTTTTGCATAGTCTCCGTCATCATTACTAAAATCATTAATATAAACAGCATAGTCTTGATTATCCACTTTTTCTGATTTAATTATCAACGGCCGTTAGCGGCATATAGGAATCTAATCCAGCCAACATCGAAGGCTAGCCTTGACATCGAGAGTTTCTTATGGTCTGGATAAGTTAATTAATGTCTAATTGATAATTTAGATAACATTTCAGGCCTAAAGAAAGACTTGTAATAAGCAGATTTTGCTCTTGCATAATGCATGTTTAAGTGTTCATTTCTATTTTGTAGAATGGTTGATTCATCAATGTTTTTTCTTAAATTTCAGCGATAGTCCATTAGATTTAAAGATAAAGGGCAATATGCTGTGTGATTTATTCAGTCTAACAGGTAAGAACAAATTGACAATAGGAAGCAAACCAAACAATCATTTTCTAAATCGAGTTATCATTATTAATAGTGATTAAAAACATTTTTACCACAAATTTTGTTTTTAAAGAAAGTGTAAAATAAAAGAAATCATTTGTAGTAAAGATTGTGATTATATTTGTGTGTGTATTTAGGAATTGTTTGTCATGATCCTATGGTTAAAACGTTACAACAGAGTAAAAGAAATCTAGAGATAGCCTCTAAACTAGCATCAAGAGCTAAGGTAAGTCCTAGGCTTAAATGAGTAGTATTTAATGATTCTAAACGAGATACATTATTGACTATTCACTAATAATATGGTTATACAGCATCCAGTGGTAACCAGGCTTCTAGTAGCTATAGAGCTGAAAAAAGTTTGAAGTGTAGTGCTAATTAAGAATTAACTTGCAGTTGTATATTTTTGGATCAGGAACGTGCTAATCAATTGAATAATAGCGCCTAACAGGCAGCTGTGTTTAATTATGTTCTCCTGATTTTGATTGTTTCTGTGTGTTTGAAGTATATGTTTGTGATATGCGCTTAGAAACACTTCACGTGTAATGAAGCGCTATATAAATCGAACAATAATAATAATAATAATAATAATATGGTGTTCTTGGGGGCAGTGCTCTTTGAAAAGAGCACAAAGCTTTGTCAATTCAAGTATGATTGACATAAAACTTGGAATGCTTGATTCTTGTACAATTGCTTACCGATTGTCAGACTTCCATTTTAATATGATGTCGCATTTTCAAAATGGCAGCAACGGACGTCACCCTTGGTTCCTGGTCCATAGTATACTCTTACTTGTTGACATGTTAATTACTACTAATTGTATGTTGTTTAACTTTATACTATAGTGGAAAAATCTTCCTAGATATGTGAGTTTCTAGTTCATGCTTTTTTACTGGGAATTGGGTTTCTACAATTATAGTGCTTGGAAATTTGAATTATTTTGGTGATGGGCAACTAACAAAAACCAAGAAGTCTTGTAGCTATATGATAGTCATGCTTTAATTAGGAAATTGTCCTGAAATGTTTGTTTTGGTATAACCACATATTACAAACTGTATGACACTAAACTGGCAGCTGTGAAAGAAATATATTTGTCCAATAGTTCTTAGTGCCTAACATCCAGTAACATGTAGCAAACATTGATTAATCAGTTTTAGCTGTGTAGTTATACCAACATATGAAATTTGATTGTTGCATCCATTTAACTAGGTGGTTAAAGCTTATTTCATTTTGGTGTTGGAGAATACATTTGTAGTTTGCTTATTAATTTATTTTTTTCAGACTTTAGTCTATTTCATTAATTGGTCAGCAATGATCACAACAATGTGCAATTTTAGGTTTCTATCAAGGATCAAGGCGACTTCAATATTAACTTCAAATGTCATCCTTATAAGTTGACATGTTCTTATTTAACTGGCCTTAATACTGTTAGTGAGAAGATACAGGAATAACTCATTAAATTTGTACTCTCATAGAAAAGACTAACTGTAGTCAAATCATGACTATGTCTTTGAGTTGCTAGTGTACATATTTGCAATCAATGTGATTGTAATTGTCACATTTTGGGTCATGTCACATGATTACTTGTTTGTATCACATTCAAATTTATTTTTCCAGAAATTATGGCTTCTTTGTAGGCTTGAGCTTTCATAAATTTATAATTCAAGTTACTGGAAATTAAATGGGCTGATTTTAGCAAGACTAATATTTAACAGTCACAGTTAATGTGTTAATCAAAGATCACAACAATTATAGAATGCTAATAGTTTATATTTTTGTTTTATATTTGTAAAATGTAGTGTAGTTGTAGTAATAACTGTATTAATATTTTCAGTCAGCTAGAGCACGACCATCATCAGCTTGTTCTGTAAGTTGTACATTCCATTCATTCATTTCTAATTCCTTCATCTACACCTCATGATTACATATATCATAGCACCTGTTCACTTAATATAATATAAAATTGATAAGTTTGAAAATGAAGCAGCATTCCCAAATATAACCAAGTATCTGTTACATTGCACAATGTAATGAAATAAAGGACACATACTTATGTGGTCATGGTTATACTGGTACTATTGCAAGTGTAGATTAGAACTGACTTTCTTTCTTTGAAAAATTATCAGGTTTTCGGACAGGAGCATTTTATTTTCATTCATAAATGAATCATTCTCAACTTTTATTATTTGGGTTTGTAGATTGTGAATATGGAACATTCAGAATTATTGGAATTGTAATCAGCTTGTGTCACAAGTTGGTCATTCCTGATAACCAATGGTTAACCATTCATCACTGATCATATTGAGAGAATTCAATACCTGAATGTTCCATCAGTTAGTTACCCACAAGGGTTGGGTCTTGTGGTAGTTTGACTTTCTACTGGTTGTTACTGGGCACAATTTTATGTACAGAGAAAAAATACATGTATCTATTTGATAATTTTGTTTTCATTTATTGTTGCAGCAAAAACGACCATTGTCTGCTGGTTCAACAACACAGAAAAAAGAAGTTAGGAATCCTGCTTTAGCTGGCCTTAGTGGAGAAGAAATAAAAATTTTACGTCGTGTGAAGGAAGAGGAATCTAGAAGAAAAGGATGGGTCCGAATTTTTCCATCGGCTGACTCATGGGACACACACTCGTAAGGCTATAACTCATTTCTTTTGTGGCTAGCTCTGTCTAAATGAAACACATGTCTCACGCTTCTAATTTCAGATGACACTGTGAAACAGTACTTTAACCATTTTGAGTTTCAAGCACATTTGCCTGTATTTTTATTTTATCAGTGCTCAAAATTTGCTGTTTTGATGTATATATGTTGAGTCATGCTTTGTTTGTTTGGGAATGAATGCTAAAGTGTTTACCAGTATACCATGCTTAGTTTGTTTGGGAATGAATGCTAAAGTGTATACCAGTATACCAACTTCAAATTTAAATATCTCCATCAGTACATAAGTAAAATTTATAAATGGATACGTTTTTATTTTTCGACCTCTCTATCTCATTTATTCAGAGCTGGTAGTGGTAACAAATATTGTTAAATACATCGAAAAGTTTTAGGGTATTGTGGCTTTTAAACATGCATCTGTACGTGTGGTCACTATATAATACTAACTCTACCCCTGACACTGTTATAGCATATTCATGATAATTTCATCCCCAAGAAAATAGCCATTTGTTTTCTCTGAAGTATATTTAAAATTTTATTTTCAGGCAATATCTCCAGTTTAATACAACACATAATTTAATGTTACATCAGAGGTTATACGCAGAAAGGTAAATTTATGTATTTATTATATAGGAGATCATTTTCCAAGACTTATCCATTTATATTACTACATATAGGAATGAACTCTTCATAAAGATGCCACAAATAACAAATTGGTTCATGACATTCACTTTTTGATAACTATTTTGCAACAAAGTTTATTTTACTTTTTTAAAATATAGATAGAAATTTACCTCCTGATGTGCCTACATAAAAAAACTTGAATAAATCTACACTCAGTGAGAGATATTTAGTTTTTATTTGTTTTCTTTTAATATTAATGATATGTTTTAGACACAAGACTGGATCTAAAACTGGTGCTAGTCTAACATCAACTGGTCAAAGATCAAGGTCAGTTTATTTTAACACATTCATAGGTGAACAAATGACTTTTTAATCCATCATGATTTATTCTCAATTTTCTACTCTCAAAACGTTGTCCTAACATTTTCGATATCACTAAGAAGAGTAAGACTTTGTGCTCTATATTTTTTGTTGGGGCATTTTGTTTGAAGTTTTCCTGGATTGTTTATTATAATGTTGGGGAACAAGACTACTGAAAATATATTTTGAAATTAAAAATGTTGTTTTTCAGGAATACTTATTTACAAATAACTGGAAGTGGTAGTCACACAAAATTAGATCCAGAAGTATGTTAAAACACTAATTACCTTAATAATATCTTTCCTAACCTTGAAGCAGTTATTAATGTTTAATCTCACACTATTTACTATAATTAACGGTACGTCTTAATTCTGAAGCAGTTATTGGTAATAATCTGTCCACTTGCATCATTTTGATCATAGAAACAAAAAAAATGTACTGAATTCCGGTGTAATTGTGTTTGATTTGTCTTACAGCGTTCTGTAGAAGCATATGCTCAGGCTCTATTGAGAACAAGACAATATGAAAGAAGATTGGGTCCAAGAAAAAAGAGAAAAAAAGGGAAAAAAGGAAAAGCGGGTAAAGGTAAAGTAAAATGATTGTTATTATAAATGCTGTATGTAAGATTTATATTTAAAGCTGACCATTCTTGCTGCAAATATAATGGAAAATGAATATTGAAAATTCCATTCGAATTACACTTTTCTAAACAAAGTTATGAGTGTTTGACAAGATGAACCTACAGTAGCAATGTTATTTAACAATCAGGACTAAATCTTGATTATCCTTTCTATCGTTAGATTTTTAAATCTTGGGTGTGTTCTAAGCCATTTAAATCTTGGCCAACTGATGTTCTATATAGTGTCATGTAAATGTCCAACTAATAGTATATAAAATTTGAAGCCAAAATAAAGACCTGAGATAGTCAGAGTAAGGTCTTACATAATGCATCTTTAATCTGGTATTAAGCCAGTGATCATCAATCGACGGATTTTGAATCCCTTGCAAATTACAATAGTGTAAAAATTGAATTTCTAGAAAGATTGTCAGTCCCAAAATATTTCAGCCTCTTTTTAATCCGATTGAATTCAAGCCGAGAGAATTTACATTAATGATAAAAGTACATTTAACAGTCATTTATTTCATGACAAAATTCAATGAGCTTATGTCATTAAAAGGGCAATATATTTGTGAAATAGTTTTTGCTATTAACTTCTTCGACTAAATTTCTTCACAATTATATCAGTTAATACGTTTTGGCGTACCGAGACAAGCCTAGTTATGCAAAACTTTGCCTGGTTTTTGGTATTAGATTTGATTGTTAATTGTAATAAATTAACTCTTTTCATGTTGTTTGATAACCATGAGAGACCATATGACCGTGATAGTTATCATGACGAATCTACCTTGTAATTAGGATTTAAGATACAGTTCTGGTAAAAATGATGTTATTTATATTTGTGCTGGAAATGTATTAAAAATATCATTTAAAACACAGCAAATGTCTTATTTCCAGACTTGATAGTGCCAAGGTTGATTTTATAAACGTCATCAAAACAAAGAGTTGATAAAAGTTAATCACTATGTTAAATGTTTCTATTGTAGTCAGTAGCAGAAGAATGAAATTAGCTCAAGGCGTAGCTGAAGATTTACAAGATGAAGGTGAAGGTCAGTCTGATACAGAGGTACCTCAAATATCAGATGATGAACCTGTGATTGAACCCGAACCAGAACCTGTTCCAGTTCCAACAAAGAAAATGGAAAAAATAGCCCCAACTAATAAAAATCCACCAATTCCTACAAATCAAATCAAAATAAAGGAAAAAGAATCAGAAGTGGTAAACAAGCCTGTTACTCCCGTGGTAGTTGAAAAACCAGAAGAAAAAGAAGAAACAGAGAAAACCGTTAAAAAAGTAACTTACACAGAAGTTCCTGCACCCACAGGAGCAGTAGCTAGATTTGAAGAGAAACCACCTCCAGTTGAAGAACCCCCACAAACACCAACTCCTCCACCTAGTCCACCACCTACCCCACCAGAACCTAGATATAATGTAGTAGGATTACTTAATAAAGGTAGAACTCTCAGGTATGTCTTCATATTCTACGAGACATTGGAATAAAATCTTCATACACAACCGACACTTGTAACACTAGGGACCGGGTATCATTCAGATTTGATGAAAAAAGGAAAGAAACTGAGCTTACCATCTAGAATCTAATACATGTATCCAATAGATTGCCGTCCCGAAAGTATTAAATGCCATCAAGATTCATCAAAAAAAAGGCCCAGTTTCTGCTACCATGTAGTTTAAGAAACACTGTTTAGTTTTGACATCGGTTGTCTAGTTTATGAACATTTAGTTTAGTTTTGATATTGGTCGTCTGGTTTATGACCATTTAGTTTGATAATCTAGATGACCGATGTCAAAACTAAACAGCGTTTCTTAAACTATACGTAGCACAAACTGGACGTTTTTTGATGAATCTTGACGACGGCATTTAACACTTTCTGGATGGCAATTTTTTATCTGCATGCGAGTATTAGATTCTAGATAGTAGGCTCAGTTTCTTTCCTTTTTTCGTCAAATCTGAATGGTACCCGGTCTCTAGTGTAAGGATGTATTGTATATCTGGGAACATTAGAACAAACCAGGGCTGTCGGTTCTACTATGTTTATTAGTCCTTATAATAGTTTCATGTCATAAAATAAGGAATTATAAAAAAGTTGACTTTAAAAAACACAATTATATTTCTGCATGTAAACACACCATTTATTTATAATGTTAGGTAAACTATTTGTGATATAATTATCTATTGGCAACAATTACAAAATGTTTTAAGATGTGTTTATGGTTGTAAATTTATTTTGAAATGACGTAGAATTGGATGTATTATTTTGTGTTTCAGTAAAGTACAAGCTAGATCAGCATTTGCGATGTATTTAGTACGAGTTGAAGACAGATTATTAACAGATTCTAATGTATTATCTACAGAAGCTATTGATGCTTTAAATGAGCAAATGGTAAAATATTATTCGTATACATTCATACTCCTCATATATTTTATTTGATAACAACAAAAAAAACTGACCAATACAAATAAAATAAAATGAAATGGAGTTTAACGGCTTATGAAGACAGGCATATACCATACAGTGTGCTATGAGGGAAATTTTGCTCGGACAGCGGCGCTACAGCCTACTCTTATATCAAATTCCAAATACCAAGGGATCTTTTACGTGCAAATGTGTATGCGAGACCTCAGGTTTTTCGTCCCATCCGAACAACTATACATTGTCCCTTGCCGGGATCAAACATCAAGTTTAGCAAGCCAACGTTGTGCTCACTGATCCACAATGGCTCCCATGTGGCCAGTACAAGGATGTTTTTATATAAGCATACTTAATTGTATTAACTATAAGCTGAAGAGTTTATCATCCTAAAAATTGAACAATTGAATGACTCCTGTTCCTTGCCAAGCATTCCATCCTGCACCACAGACAATAGGGAAACCATACTGGAAAATCCTGTCAAACTATCTCTGCCTTCACCAAGATCTACTGCATAAACCATCTGTTCAGTGAGCCCAAGCCTTACTCAATGAGTCACTCAGTGATGTAATATTGATGATACCTGAGATGTATTAAGCATACCGGAAAATCTTGAGCTTTATCTACCAACTCCAGGACCAAATCATGTAAACCTCCTGTTTACTGAGCCAGCGCCTTACGCACTGAGCCACAGTGTCTCCCTCATTAAGATGGTGTAATGATCATCTGACCTGTGTTAATGTATTTTACAGGATTTGGTGTTGAGGTTTTTAAAAAGAGCTGCTGTAAATTTACAACAATCATTTAAAGTTGTTGTACCAAGTCGTAAACTTCCACTAAGTGATAGAAAACGAATACTGGCTAAACAGTTGGGAGATTTTGTTCATATCTATAATAAGGTAAAAAAATATGATTTATTGTTTTGGAAAATATAGATGTTAGGTTTTTAACTTTGGAAATTTTGATGTTAGAACTGCAATAAATGAACCAAGATCATGGAGAAACTAATTTTTGGGGCGACCGAAAGAAAAGATAGAAATGTAATAAAAATTTTAAAACATATTTCAGAAGTTATAAATTACAATATACTATTAAGGTATTATCCACCCATATTCCTTATGACTTATAACAGCATGGGCGACAAAGTTGTATGTATATTTCATTGCCATGGCAATAATATTACAGGAAACTGAACAACTGAAATCTCGTCAACAAATAGATAAGACACATCTGAGACGAGGTGAAAGTACTGAAGGTTTAAATGAAAACAAGTTTGATCATTTTGTTAAAACAGTCAGGTAAGTCAGAATTTAAAAATATTCTGATATTTATAAAGAGTAACGACCATTATTTTAATGCATATTTCTATCATATAGCAAATTCAATAAGATCATCAAAGATAAAAGCCTGATTGTACTTATTGTCCCAGATAACATAACAATTGGTATTATATGACTTGTAAGAAGCTATTTATTTTTTAAAATGTTTTGCATTGATGTTAATTCCCATTAGGTTGCATTAAAATAATCTTTATTTTTTTATTCATTTGTTCATAAAAATTTTTAAAAAATTTTAATTTTCATCTCATAAGTCTAATCAGTTCAAATTAAATTGTATGGTATGCCAAATCTTTCAAGTCATCGCTACAATAATATAAACACCATATTTTCAATTTTATGAGTTGTAGTCACTTGTACAAATATGCTAATGTATTCAAGGAGTTTTTAAAAAAATCTACCTTACTCTTAGAAGAAGTCTGAGCATGTCAGTGTTTTGATCCTCATTAATAAAGTGAATTTAAACTAGTTATGAATATGATATTATTCAAATTTACTAACATTTATTTTCTTCACAAGAGATAGATAATTCCTCTTTAAATTTAAGATTTATGTTTTTGCAGTATTACCTTTGAATATAATATTTTTATTTTGTAAACAGCGAAGCAGAATTAGAGGATGTATTAACTACGTACACTAGAATCAATAAATCAGCCAGTATATTTCTAGGTAGTAATAGTAAATCTACTACTAGTACTAGTGATACTACTACGCAACCACCTATATCTACATCTAATACTACATCTACTACTACAACAGAAACATTAGTTAAACGTAAAGACAGTGATAACGGTCTCGTTACATGGGAAGATGTTCCAAGAAGTAAGTCAAAAATTTTCCTTGTTTATATCACTGTCATCTGGTTAATGTTTAATCATGAGTATTTAATTCTTATTTCTTTCACATTTGTTAAAAAAAAAACAATCTTCTTTAGAAAATTCGTAAAAATCATCTACATGTATAATTACCCAAAATCATCTAATTTGTACTTGTGTCCAGTTTAAAGCTGACCGTTTAATTTTAAGAACGAGTGTGAAATTTACAGGTGTTTAATTTCCCTGACAACTGTTCCAAAATAAATAACCCCATTGAATATTAATGTTTAATAATTAATTGGGACATATTTTTGAACAGTGGACACAAGTATAAATTAGATTAATTTGGGTGATATTAAACATTTTCCCCATTTATCTATTGAAGATTCAATATTGAACAAACATGAAAGAAATACGGGCTAAATACACAAGATTAAACAATACCCGGGTTACAGTGTATGTCCAGTCAGATGAAAAATAAAATTGGAATATTGGATATTCAGGGTTCAAGACATAGAATTTCCAGAATTTTGTATAATATGGCAATGTTTTTGCCTTTTGACGCATTCCCTAATCTTTGAGTGGCATTTAGCGACTGGGAAACTGTGTTTTGTTGACCCATTTCCCGTGTTTATAAACGATATCAGTTACCACTAATTCAATGTTTTTGGACCCATTCCTAGTGCTCAGTTGTGATATTACCATTTACCACTGAATCAAGTCATTCCCTTTTATAAGATGTTAAAATCAAATATAATCATTATGCCATGGTGTCAGAATCTTTTTCTGTAATTAATTGATGTCGTTTATTAAATGATTTATTGAGAAAGAGACAAGTCTGTTATTTATTTGCCCTGATTCGTTGTAAAATTTATAAAATGGTATTTAGAACTAATCAAATTTTATTTTTTAATTTCAATTTCTTCGATTGATAGAAAATTAACATAATTTAGTATTTTAACCAAAGTTTTTTTAAAAACTAATATTTTCAGCTTTTCTTCGTTTAGCAGGTAAACTAGTAGTTCAAATTCGAATGCATTCTTTTAGAATTATTTTTTATTTTTGCTGCTTACACTAGATTGGTTTCAGCACAGATTTAGTTACAATTGAAACAGAAATTAAAAAAAAAATTGTGTAAAAATATCCCCAAAGAAATCTTGTTAAATCCTGTGTTCTTAGTCTCAGTGTCAGATTACATGTATTTTAATTTTGTGATAACAATAATTGTAGGAATTTGATTTTGTTTTCGCACTATGATGTTATTAGGACTTGATAACTCGACAAAAATTAGCTTACTAAATATTTCTTCAGTGCATCAAGAATAAGTGTTGTTGTTTTTTTTTCTAAGTGAATGCTTCCCTTCATTTAGATTTCTATTTTTTATTTTGCACACTTGACTTAGCAAATTTTTTGAACAAAAAGCTTCTAAGAGTTTAGATTCCTAGTAACTTTGCCAACTGTAAAAGTATAATGTCTAAATGCTTTTCTTTTCCAGAACAAAATCAAAACGTTTCTCATTGACATTTGGAAATCTTTTACATAAAGTTATATTCTATTACTTGAATAATGTTTTAATGGAATTGATCTGGACACATTTCATTTCTTGAGGATTTTTTTATTTTAACCCTTTAACCCTTCTTTCTTAGTTCGTAGTGCTTCAAATACAGATCTTAGAGCAGTGAATAATCATGGGGCATTCGTGGGTAATAACAGACCAATATCCGCTAAACATACATACACTGATGCTGTATCTATATACAGTCAAAGATTGCTCCGTCCTCGATCGGCATCAACTGGTAATATGGCTAAAGGTATATAACTATGTGTTACATGGATTGAGTTGGCAGATATATATATATGTTGCATGATAACAATATTGTAATATTTTTATTGTGGTTTATTTGTGTTTTTGTAATCTCTCAATAATAACTGAAGGAGTGGAATGCTGTTTTCCAAATCATTAATCTTTCATTACTCTTTTATATTCATCTACCAATTTGCAATAATAAAACCCTTCACATGGTAAAAATTTAGAAAATCATGGTACGTGTGCCAAGCAGAAATTTTGCATCAAAATAATCTTTAAATGTCAAAATCAGTTGAAAACTATCTAAAGATAATCAACATTCAAGAAAATGAGATAATCCAAAGAAAATGAAGAGAGAAAATGCAGTTTAAACCTAATGTCACAGTTAACAATTATTTACAGACTAAGGAATTAATTTTTTTTATGATTCCCAAGTTGGAACTAGTTATTTTGTATTTATCATTCTGTATTTATCTACCAACAAAATAGGCTAACATTGTTATGGACTTTCAGGCACTGGCACTGTTCTGCAAGTCTCATACGGTTCAGAAAATTTAAAAAAAAATGTATTTCAAATAATTTCTGTTGCAAAACTATATATTTTCATAAATAACAGTTCATAAAATGTAAATATGTTAAGAACAGAAAATTGACCTATATAATGGTTAACATTGTATTTTGGCATTTATCTCACTTTGAGCCAGTGTGACATCCGACTGGTTTTCTTAAGCCGTCTGCCACACATATTATAATCACTGTACCTTTTTAAGCAGTAGTGAGTTTTAACTGTCCAGGTGTAGTTGAATTTATGCCATTTGTTTTGTACGAAAGTCAGCTCTCCTTCAGTTAATTGCAAGCTATACTAACTTGTGTGAAATAGTTTTATTTAACAACCGCTTCCAGGTTTAGTTGAATTTATACCATTGGTTTTGTACAACAGTCAGCTCTCCTTTGATTGTTAATTGCAAGCTGTGCTAACTTGTGTGAAATAGTTTTGATTAACAACCGCTTCCACCTTAGTGATATCACCTACAATGACATTATTACATTTAGGAAAATTTGCCTTGCTAACCAATCTTACGAAATTTTGAACTATAAAAATCGAAACAAAATAGGATCTGTGTTTTAATCAGAGTATGGTATCATTATATTAGCTTGAAATAGGATTGACATCATTGGGTGGCATTTGTGATGTTCGTCGTTATGGAATATTTCGGCAAAGATCTGATTTCTAATACTTCAGTCCATTCTTTATAAAACAGATCAGATTAGTAATAGTATCTTTAGATAAAATGTATTATCATTAAATGGGAGGCCAATCTGTGTGTTAATCAAGGAATTCTGTAACTTGTAGTTTTGATTGCTAAAACCATACGTGCATCACATTCACATTTCACAATGCATTTACCTGTGTGTATATGTCTGTACCTTTTGATTGAGTATTTTATCGTCACCATTTATATTTAGTGTCACCTGCCACACACTTGAAATTTTTAAGATATTTAACTTCACTATTTCTACTAATTGGGCTGAATATACCGGTACTAAAACTAATTTAAAGCCGCTCAAGAATTTTGAATTCAGTAAAAACCACCATTTTAGTCTGTTCCGTATTTACAAAGATATAATCTGCAGGAAAAAAAAGCAAACCATAAGTTTGACCTTTTATGTCTGATTGAGTCCAAGCCGGGAGATTATCTAACATTGATATTTTGAATTTGTTTTTTTTAAAGATACATTATGTAAGATTTAGATAAAGAGCTGGCTATTCTTTCTATAATAGTTCGAAAATAGATAATGTAAAATGAAAAATTTGAAAATTTCTTTCAAATTACTCTATTGCGAGCGAAGGTCTTAGCCTTTGAAGGTTTGACAAGATGTGTGCAATAATTTCAACCACCATACTGGTTGTCACTCCTCCATTTTTGGCTTAAATCTAAATATGGCTGAAAGTTTCTAATCTATTTAATATCGTCGAAATCCGATGCCATCGAGAGTTGATTTTGACCTGGATAAGTTAATTAATGTCTAATTAATAATTTAGAAAACATTTCAGGCCTAAAGAAAGACTTGCAATAAACAGATTTAGCTCTTGCATAATGTATGTTTAATTGAATGTTAAATAATGAATTGCAGTAGATTTTACCATGGATTAAGCTGTTGAAAATTAGATATTGTCTAAAATATGCAGCTTTAAAAGAACAGATGACTCGAGTTCTCATACATTATTACAGTTTTTTTCCTAGGTCATTCAGAATGAACCACCCCTTATTCAAATGTTATAATTCCTTCTACTAACAAAAAATAATGTGCATGAAGCAATAATGAATTGTTTATTTATAATTAGTAGGCTAAGTTTCATAACAATAACATTTATGTAGTTTAAAAATTTGGTTAGTAGTTGATTTATTCTAAAAGAAGGAACAATTTTATTAGTAATAATTAATTGCTTATTAATTAGTAGACATTTTAAAATTTATTACAATAATATTAATGTAGTCTGAAAATTTGGTTATTAATTAGTCTAAAAGAATGGACAATTTGAGTTTATAACTGTATTATTTTGTTTATAGTTTTGAAACTAATATATGTTATTTCAATAAACCAGGTAAATCACCTACCAATAGACCTGTATCTGCTGTTGTACAACGACCTGTGAACCCTTCATTTGCTCCATCTGAACCAACTGTAGGTAAGGACATATCACCATGTAGGATGGTCTTATTGAAGGTTGTTTGAAAAAAAAAAATGAAATATAGTGGATCACCTTTTTTATACCCCACTCAACATAGTTTGGGTGTATATTATATACAGTACATTTAAAAGTAAAGAAATTAAAAAAAAAAAGTTTTAAGTGAAATTGATAAATTACAGCGCAAAACTGTTTATATAAAATGTCCCAAATTTAAAATCGGATTCAGGTTTTATTATTTCTATTTTGCTTTCCAGATACCTATAATGAACAAGCAATACAGGATGCCTTACAGAGATTGGCTGTTCGTCAACAAGCTCGACAATACTCTGCATTTAATGGAAGTTGTGTCCTCAGTCAAGAAAACATAGCCACCCGTCCACCATCTGGTTACCATGGCAATAGACCAGGAACAGCAAGTTCTATCCGTTCAACGCCTGATAATAATTATAGTAATAATACTGGTGCTAATTTTAATCATCAGAACATTGTTAGTTATAATAATGACAATCAACAAAATTATGTTGCTCCTAAAATAGCCAAGGTTCGCTACACGTCTGAGGAGAATATTACCCGCCCGACAACCAGTTACAAAAGTACTACGTCATACATGTCTTCAAAACCACAATCCACTTCGCATGGTCGTCAAAATGTTCATCACCGCAATGCTAACACAACCTTTAATACCTTTATTGAAGATGCTGGTCAGGTTCGAGATATTGCTAATGCGTATGGTCAGATTACAGGAAATACTCACTATAGTACAGGCGGTTATCATAATTCACGACAGTTACAGTTCGCTCAACAACAAATGTTCAAACAACAGAGATTAATGGAGCAAAGTAAAGCTCTGTTGGAACAAAGTCGCGCAAAGCATCAAGCAATGGTTGCTCAAGCTCACGCAGCCCAGAGAACGTTAAATGGTTCAAATAACACGGATGGTAAAAATGATCATTCTAATTCACAGACTAGAGTTACAAGTGCCGAGCGTTCAAAGCAAAGATTCAGAAACGATATGGAATATTCAAAACCAAAAGTGAACAGTGCCCAACAAAGTGAACACACAAGGCCCAGGGTAATCAGTGCTCAGCAAAGTGAACACTCCAAATCAAGAGTTAGCAGTGCTCAACAGAGTGAACATTCAAAGCCTAGAGTCAATAATGTGCAACAACATGAACATTCAAAGCCAAGGTTGAACAGTGCACAGCAGCCTGAACATTCAAAGCCAGGAGTAAACAGTGCCCAGCAAAGTGAACATTCCAACCCAAGAGCTAATTTTGCACAACTAGATCGCCCTACACCAAGACCGAATGTAGACGTCAATGAACATGCACTTCCAAAAAAGACAGCTTCAGAAGGGTATGAAAGTTCGCAAACAAGGCCAGTTAGTTCAAAACAAAAAAACACTAAAACACAGCAAAATGAAAAAACGCACCGACCGACCACATCTGAAAGCCAACATAAACAAAATGATGGGTTTAACAGTGACGGTCAAATAATAGAAACAAGACAAGAACGAATACATAAAAAAACATTGGAAGCTCAACAGAAGCTAGCACAGCAAAAAACACTTGAAGCACCATCTGGGGAAAATTTAAGTGAAAATGAGAATAACAGTCAATCTTTTGCTCCTAAACCACCAGATCAACCATCCAGTTATAAAAAACTTCCTAACTCATACAGAATAGCCAGGTAAGAAATTTGATGGTTACCTTTCTATGCTTTTACCTAATGTCCCTCTGTCTCCCTCCCTGCATTTTCTTAAGGCAATTTAAATTCAATCCATCTTTTCTTATCTGGTTGGAACCTACATCAATTGTATTTTCTTTATTGAGAAGTAATCTAGTATGAAGACACTAAATATTTTATTATGTGTATTACTCGCTTGATTTATTGTCGCTCAAAACGAAGGAAGCCTTGTTTTATAGGATCCACAGATTGAGGAATATAGAATGTGGCTATACTGTACATGTACATATCTACATAAAAACATTCTACCTAATGAATTTCACCATATGTGTATGATTATGATTTATTTGTAAAATATTGGGATCAGATGAATTTATTTTTAAATTAGAAAACAGATGGACACCAACTTTTTGTTATCTTGCTGATGAAATTCTATTTGTTTGGACATATGCTTGTTTGGACATGTGCCTTAAAGCTGTGTAATCATTCGTATTTACCATTCACTCGCAACCTGTGTGTGTTTTTGTGTAGCATTTCATCATCATGTGTTATTATTATGCACTGGCAACCTATTTGTGTGACATTTCATTATGTTTTATTAATAAGCATGCACTGGCAACCTATTTGTGTGGTTTTTGTGTGACACTTCATTATGTGTTATCATTATTTTGCATGCTCTGGCAACCTATTCCTCTTTGTTTTTGTGTAGCATTTCATTCAATTCTTGCATGATTTTTTGTAGACCCATATCTATTACCCTGCATGCTCTGGCAACCTATCTTTATGTGTATTTACTAATTATGAATATATATTCCTGCTTCAGAACTAACGCAACTAACAGCAATGACGAGAAAGCTTTAAATTTTGATTTTTATAACAGTTTAAAATACGATGTCCATACCGGTCAGACAAGATCAAGAGGTGGTGATAGTAAGTATTGTGGCCATTTTATGCGCGCTATTTGAATTTGATAAAGATTGTTTATTTCAGTATGGACATATTCTACATTCCTCCATATTTCAGCTGTAATCAACGGGTCATATTTTAAACAAATTTGGTAAATATGTTGCTGTTGGTGAATTCCACAGGATGGAATGCTATATTTATAGTTCAAAAATAGATAATGAAAAAAGAATATATTGAAAATTTCATTCAAATCACGTTATTCTGAGCAAAGTCTGGCTCACACTAAGTGACAAATATCGCCATAATTGAAGTGGAGGTACATGTAGCAAAGTGAGAGTTTGGAGACAAATATCGCCGTAATTTAAGTGGAGGTACATGTACATGTAGCACACTACACGAGGACTTTGGCGATCACACAACTTTGAATATTGTCATATTTCTTTATCTATTTTAAACTATTATAGTTATAGCGAGAATGAACTGCTCTTTATCTAAATCTTACATAATCCATGATCTGGAACTGTAATTGTTCAACTACCTTACATTCACATAACCTGAATGAACTTTGCGTCAGTTGTCTATACAATATATTTTGCATGCAAATGTTTCATACTAATCACATGTTGTTAATATTCTTTGTTATCTAACTATCACCTGCATGTATGTGAAGGTTTTGTACTATTTACAAAATGAAACTGCGGGACAAAATGGCCGCTCTTTGTATGCAAATTGTGTAAAATTATGTAACACGAAGGTTGTGGACCCTCTAGAGGTCATAATTTTTTTCCAATTTTGATGAAACTTAAAACATATCTATATACCGATGGTCTCAGTCCCATTTGATATTTGCGCATTTCACACCATAACTTTATGGATTATGGCCCCTGATTGTACAAAAAATCGCTTTTGTTTCTAGCTTGCTCTCTATCCATCTCTTGCAAAATGTGGGCGTATCTTGCCTGGCAGCCCCTGGTTACCCTACTTAGACAAAACTGATCAAAAATATAGTTTGTGAAGGCAATAGTTTATAAATTATACTTTCTATCTGATTCAAAAGGGTAGAGTGAGAATGCACAGAATATTACTTCATTTAGTCTATTTATGAATGCAAATATAGTGGCTTTGCTTTGAAAAGCTAACACTCCAAACTACATGTTGTCCTTGTTAACTGCTGCCATTTCCAAAACCTTAGATGCATGTAGATCTCTACCATGTGGACATTCATTATCATTGCCTTTTTGCCTCTCTTGGAGGTTAGAAGCTTATAGCATTTGTAAGTGTACCAGTAGTTACATGTATATATGTGTAACTTACTGTTTGTGTTATATACATATTGTAAGATACAGTCAAATCCTCTGCACTCTCACAAAGAGGTATTTTGCTGGATACCTTGTAATTCTGTACATTGAAACATACTTATTACTAAAACAGTATTGTACTGTATGTGATCTTGGTTCCTTTTGATGTTGACGCATGTCTGACCGTAACATCTTGGATTATGGCCCCTTATTGTATGAAAATCGCTTTTTTAGCTGGTAGTGGTTCTCTGTCCATCTCTTGCAAAATGTGTGCGTATCTTGCATGGCAACTGCTTGTTTACATTATAGTTTTGTTTTAGAAATTTATCATACGCTTAGACCTAGATCTAGATGTTTTGATACTTTTATTTCAGATTGGTGACATAAAAGACCATGATAAACATTCCACAGATTGATCTCCACATCCAGTCATAAACCATCATTTGGATTAGATGAATTATAATAAAACTGCATAGATTTCTATTATATACATCATCGTGATAGCTTTTTATAATATTTACAGCTTTAAAAGTAGCATGGTCATATAAGTATATTTATTATGTCATTATTATTTTAATATATTTTAATGTAGACTTATATGACATTAAACTGCTGCAAAAAAAGAATCATTGCTAAAAGTAGAAGTATGAATATTGAAAGCGGATGTCCAATGGACCCAAGTCTCATATGATTCATATTTTGAGGCATTAGACCTTTGAAGATTTTAAAACTATAATTTTCAATTTTCAGTGATTTGACTACAGTTATATCAAGGGTTTTTAAATTAGATTGTATATAAAATTTGAGACAGATCTGCCTGCATGTTCTGTACAAGGTGTACTTATTATTAGCCTATGGTGTACATTTCAAAGTTCAGCAGTCACTCACCAAGTCTAGGGTGATTTTGAATATATTACATGTACATGAAATTAATTACATTTAGTTTCTTAATTAAAGTTCTAATGCCTCTTTAAACCTACTAAGTTATCAGTTTTATGTGTATTATATATGCTGGTATATTTTCATGTATACGAATGATATTTATATTATGGTTTATATACTGTAGGTAATAGTATATTTATCTGTGATGATCTCCACATGTATTAAGAGTAAAAAGCTGTCAGGGATCAGATATGTCCATTCAAGACTTTTGTCTTCATCAGTCCCTTTAATGTATTATATATATATATATATTGTCTGTGATATCAGTGACGGATCCAGGTGAGCCAGGACCCCCTAAATAACAGTATAAAAATTAACTTATTATTCTGTTTGTATGAAATGTGTAAATTCGATCTTTTTGTTGGATTGGTTGAAATTGAATGTTATATTCGGACCAGATATTCGCCAGAAGTCACAATTGACTCTCAGACTTTTTAAAATTTCCTCGGAGGACAATCAAGCAACCAGACACCCCCCCCCCCCCACCAAATATCCTGCAACCGTCACTGTGTGATATACACCAGAGTAACTTCAGCAAGTAATGATAATTATGTGATAAATAGATATATAACATTGTGTATATTATACTTGTATATTCTGTTATTTACACCTTTCCTCCATTCTGTTAAATAGATGTGACTCTGTGTTGGTATAAGTAACTGATAGTAATACACTTGGTGTGTACTTCTGGTAAATTTACTTTGGGTTAATATGTGGTAAAATCTTATTGTGAACATAACTTTCAGTCTGAGAGCTCTGTGGCTCTATGGTATACATGTATAGCCAGGTACCCCAATGTAATTATCCAATTCATGCCCCAAGTAAGTTATGTACTGGTACCAAACGGTTGGTATTGTGCATGAAACAATGGTGCTACATGCTGTCCTGTGTCAGGATTGGTAAGTGCACATACCTAATAATTAGAAAGTCAAGAAAAGAGATGAAATGAGATCAAAATTTGACTGTAGATCTGACAAAGAAAAGAAACATTGTAAGGTCTAATACACAGGAAAGGTCCCTCTTTACATCCATCCATCTAATTATTAGCCATTGACTACTGTATACTGCACACATTATTATCATTATTAACATTGTATATATGTAAATAACAATGCTAAATTGTATGAAACTATTCTCATGGGTGGATTTATACATAAATTAATTGTCTCTATTGTCTTGTCATATTCTATAAATATTAAATGTGACCAGCTCCAGCTAAATGAGATATGTTTGTACTTAAAAGATTGTTAAATTGTGTTTTATATGAAATGATTTAGATATTTGAAGTTGGTACGATACTTCATAATACTACTATTCAGATATAAGTGATTGAAATGACTAAAATATAACAAAAATAAAAAGAGAGTCAATCTTTTGCCTTTGAGCATTGTTGGAATTGAACTAAGGTAATTTTTAAAGACGACAATATTTATTAACTAAAAGATTGTTTTCTTGTTTTATGTCATATCTAAAATAAGGGAGTGTGACATGTCTTATTTAGCGGGAGCTGGTTGCAAATTGTACAATGAATATTATGTTTAAAGTATGATGTAGTTAATTTACTTTTAGCATTCTCTCCAATACAATTACACTAAAAATATGAATATTTTAGAATATGTTTTATTATTTCTCAATTCTATTTCCACACCACATCAGTTATCGTGAGTGACAAAATTAAATTACCCGTACATGTAATTGCAATTCTAAACGTTCCAGGTTCACAATCAAGAATTTCCTCTGGTCTTCCTATATAACATGGTTTTAGTTAAAGAATCCTTACTTTTTGACATTCTAAATATTGAGAAAGATGCTTTATAGAAAGTTGCGTATATTATATTTAATTTTTTTGTCTCTAAGTCTAATACTGTGATATCAACATAATTGACTTCTTGATGTTTATCTTTTAAAAACATTCATTTTGTACGTTATGTGTTTGTTTATGTTCTGTGTATAATTGCAATAATTTTATTAATTTTGATTTCTTCCGAGACGTCCATTTGGGTTTGGATTATTTTGATAGTTCAAGTGATAAAAATTTGAATCCAGACTAAATGACAATCTGAAGGAGATAAGAATTTGTGAAATTTATTGACTAATGAATGCATATTATTTTGTTAGATATTTTTAGTCATCATCGCCTTTATTTCATACCTCAGCATACTACTATCTTGTTATTTAATTGTATATATATAGCAAATAAATGAATTATATCTATATTATAATAAATTATCAAAAAACCAAACCACGTTTTATATATTTTACAGATTATTAGTTAAGTAGTAGTACTGTAAAAGGGCAAGTTACTAGTGATCGATGGTATCTCTTTCTGCATTTTCTATTCGATTATTCAGCTAACTGGTTAACTAAAGATAGAAAAGTAATGGAGTTAATGTATTGTCAATGCACTTTTTATACGTCCGGCGTCCACAATTGCTTGTGGACGCTCTATAGGCTAAAGTTAATATCCGATTGACTTTAAATTTATACACAGTGTCTAAGGTCATGAGACGAAGAAGCCTACTGATATTCAGCGATTTCCGATAATTACTGCCAGAGTTATGGCCCTTGATCACTTAGAAAAACATTGTGAACGTTCTAGAGGCTAAAATTAATATCTGATTGACTTTAATTTTATACACTGTGTTTAAGGTCATTAGACGAAGAAGCCTATTGATTTTCAGCGATTTCCGATAATTACTGCCAGAGTTATGGCCCTTGATTACTATGAAAAATCTTGTGGACGCTCTAGAGGCTAAAGTTATCATCCGATTGACTTTAGATTGATACACAGAGTTTAAGGTCTTGAGACAAACAAGTATATTGATTTTCAATGAAGCTTTATGACTTGAACAGCTAAATCCATGATGTTAAAAGTTTCATATATTAAATGTTAGCATGGGGCAGAACTTTATAAAAACCAAACAAGTTCTAATGGTTTTCTGATAATTACTTAATGAGTTGTTACTCTTAATCAGATTTTAATGTATTATAAATCTTTCATTACCGAAAAAAGTAAAAATATGCGACAACTCTGGTTTACTGCCCGGACGATATAGCTGCTGTGGGCGTATGTTTCATTGCCTGGCAACCTATCTTTGTTTCTGTGGTCATGTGTGCAATCCTAGGTATTTTGGGGGAATGCCAACCCTAACCCTTTTTAAAGAGTGAACTGGGATCCAGTTTAGCTTTTACCCCTCTTTAAAGGGTTAGGGTTAGTATTCCCCAAAATACTCATTTATTTAAAGCAGCCGTTGTGGACTCAACTTCGGTCCAAGTTACCACCAGAAATTCCTGGACCTCCCCAACCGACCTTCAATTAGCATCACACAAACACATTCGTACGTAACTAACGTACGAAAATTAAATGGTAGCTGGGTTTTTTTTTTTCGCACGTATACAGTGAATGGCCATTTTGCTCATTAATCCCAGCCAGAATTTGGCTATTTTTTTAAAATTGCGTTAAAATTTTAAATTTTTGTTTAGAACTGAAATAAATTAACTTTTAGTCAATCCCCACGCTAAAAACATTAACAGAATTGATTGTGTATATCTGAAATAGACAGGACCGAAGCACAAAATAGTGCCAATATGCCGATATCAAATCTAGAGTTGTAGACGATGTTATTTTTGTGAAAAATCATTGGAAGAAGCGATAAGACGTTCTGTACGGATTATACAGTCCTAAAGGCTGCAAGAAGGCTATTGTTTACAATGTAACATTGTGTCTTGTAATGTTGATAATGATCATAATGATGGTGTTTACATTTGTTTGTTGATGTGACCTCATGACCTGTGACGTTTAGATAACGTCATATGGATATCATGGCTATTCACTGTGTCAGAGTCACTTCTCTGCAGGAAGGGTGAGTCTGTCGTTCAGATTGAAACACATTGTGTGCTTTAGAGGCTAAGTTAATATTGACTTTAAGAATTCATGTACAGTGTTTAAGGTTACGAGACGAAGAATCTTATTGTTTTTCAGGAGCTGCAGTGGCTCAGTAAGACTCTGGCTCGCTGGGTTTGCTCCCGGTGTTGGCAAAGAAAGTTCTGTAGGATTTCCTGTGCAGTTTTCCTTTGTCAGTGGTGCAGGATGGAGACCCTAACAAAGACAGCTGTCTAGTTGTTCAGATGAGACGGTTGGAATTTGAAATAAGAGTAGCGCTGCTGTCCAGACAAAATTTTCCTCATAGTACCCTGTACATGTATGATTTCCGATAATTACTGCCTGAGTTTTGGATGCTCCCTCGAGTCCAAAGTTATCATCTGATCAATTTAAATTTATACACAGTCACAATCATTTACATTTTAAAATAACAAAAACTATATGCAATAGATAGATATAAAAGTTTTATAAGTGGTAAATAATCTATTTGGACTGAATGCCTATCCAAAATAATATTCTAATGTAATATATGTATTAAAATTCCACAATACAATAAAACATGAATAATATTTAAATCAACAAGAATGAACCCATTTAAGTTACCTGGCAATCCACTAAGCTGGAGGAAGTTACCCAGGTTGGGACAAAAAAAAACCCATGGTCCTGGGTGTTCAATATTCATGGCACATTAAAGATCCCCTGACAGTAAGAAACTGAATTAAGAGCTGGCTGTAACGCTACATTACGAGAAAAATTTCTATAGCACATTGTATGGAATATGCCTGTCTTGATTAGCCTGCTTGGTGCAGAACATAGGATGTTAAACCTCAATTCATATTCAATCAAGTCCTGGGTAAACCATTTCATACACATCACATAAATTTTCATTCCTAAGGCATAGTCTTGCCGATTTGCTAAGAAGTTATGCCAGTGTAAATCTGGCTTTTTTGGTGGGAATATGTTTTTTGTATATTTTAGAAAATGGGATCACGGATCACTACTTTAGTCTATAATAGGCGCATAACAGTAGGACGTTAAACCCCATTTCATTTTATTTCTTTAGTCTATATATTCTATGTACACCATTAAAGGCTTAATACCACTCTTGTTGTAACTGAATAATATGTCCCAATCTTTATTCTGGTCAACAAATTGTACTATTTTAGAATATTTCAATCAATTGATGATACAAATTTCATCTTAACACACCTTATTTAAAAATTTTGAAAAATTCAACATAATGCCTTTAATGGTTTGAAACGTCTAACGTAAACCTTTTCAAATGAAACTTCGATTTAAAAATATTTTCGAACCCTCTGGACAAGTAAAATAGGATGTAATGGATAATTTACACAACAGGTAGGACACTTAAACATCTAGTACTTAGAAAGAGAGATTATTTATTTTCTGGAGCTTTCAAGCCAGCAAGAGTGTTATTGTCCCTTTAATGGAACAATTCTTCTTTTCTTGAACAGAACATTTTTACTGTAAGATTACTGATTAAGCATGTTTTAATGCTTCACGAACACTGAGAGTGGCTAGCTTGGATTTGTTTTTAGAAACAAATGTTTTGATGAGATCTGGATCGGTTCGAAAATGGTTTCTCAATGCCCATCCTATAGATTTCTGTATGAAAAATTCCTTTTCGTGAGCACACTGCAAACTATATCTGTAAAAAAAAGAAAATATATAAAGAAGATATTTTTCTGTTATATTTTATGGAAAGAAAACCAAAACACACAGTTGAAATGATCTCAGGAGATACGGTGGCTCAGTGAGTAAGACATTGGCTCGCTAGCCCTGGAGATCCAGAGTTCGATTCCTGTGTTGACCGAGAAAATTCACTGGGATTTTCCGGCGTGGTTCCCTCTTGTAAGTGGTGCAGGATGAAGGGCCTGGCCAGGCACAACGTATAATTTAAATGATGGGAAGAAAAACTGAGGTCCCATGTACACATTGGCGCACACATAAAAGAACTCTGGCAGTTGCAATTTGATATAAGAGTAGACCATAGTGCCGCTGTCCAGACAAAATTTCCCTCATAGCACACTGGCGTGTTCATTAGCCCACTCGGAGCAGAACAGTAGGACCTAAAAAGTCTATTGGTATCTTACCTAAACAGTCTATCAGTATCTGTTTTATGTTTATAATTTAATTGATGTAATATAGCTGTTCTTCTAATCCACATATTATCATCAGATATCCATTCATCCATTAGTTGAGAATACTTCTCTCTATCACTTAATACTAATATTCCAACAACTACAACAAAAATTTTTTAAAAAAATAAGATTTGGACAGATTAAAGACGCATTATGTAAGATTTAGATAAAAAGCTGACAGTTCTCGCTATAATTGGCTGGGAATAGGAAAGGAGCATAGTAAGAGTACAGTGGGCAAATCCGATGAAAGCTCTGACAGCTTAACGTGGATTTTGTATTTATATTTTATGAATATATAGGGGAATCACCTTATTATCTGCCACTGATATAGACCTACATTATATAAAGCCATCATACCTTTAGATGCCAGAAGATCAACAGTATCCCACCAACTTTTATTTGTAATTAAATGTTTAAGAACTTCTAGATTTTGATCATTCCAGTCTGGGTGATTTATATGTTTAATATATTTATCACAATAATCTAATACAAAACATTGATAATCTCTTTCTTCTTCTTGCCATAATAAATAAAATAACTGATATATATCTGGATGATTCAGTACTGGATGGGCTTCAAAAATCTGAAATTATAATTGGTATTAGTTAACATGAATATTTGCCGAACCTCTTTAGTTTTGGTCAAAATAAAGCATCAATTTTAGTCACAATTCTTTTGTTGCTTTGGGGATCACGTGGCTAAGTGGGTAAGATGCTTGCTCGGTAGCCTGGAGGTCGGGTGTTCGATCCCTGCATTGGCCGAGAAAGTTCATCCAGATTTTCCGGCGTGGTTTCCCCTTGTCAGTGATGCAGGACGGAGGGCCTGACAAGGACAGCTGTCTAGTCATTCCGATGGGACAAAAACCCGAGGTCCTGTGTACAAATTGGCGTGCATGTAAAAGATCCCTTGGCAGTTGGAATTTGATATAAGAGTAGGCCGTAGCGCCGCTGGCCGGGCAAAATTTCCCTCACAGCACACTGTATGGCGTATGCCCGTCTTCATTAGCCCAGTTTTGGAGCAAAACAGTAGGACGTTAAACCCCATATCATTTCATTTCATTTCTTCTGATGCTTGTCAATTTATCTGGCACATATTTGTCATTTTCTGCTAACATCTTTTATATTGTCTGGTATAATGTTAAGAATGTAACATATACAATTTCAACTTTGCTTTACATTTTGTCAAGTACAAATAAAATTGTTATTTTTGAGCACAGGAATCCAAGAAATTAAGGTTTTAGACAAAAAAGATGAGAACATATCTTGCAGGAATCTTTTCAAATCTAAGACTACCTAAACATTTTTTTTTCTTGCCCTTATTTCAATTACACAATCATATATTCTTTGTACAGAATTTGAAATTAATTGGATTAGATCAGTAGTTCTTAACCCTTTTTTCCCAACGGCACACATTGGAACGCATGAAAAAATAGCGGCACACCTGGCTAAATATATATATGAACCAGCGGCTGTCAGGCAGGATACGCCCACCTTTTTGAGAGATGGATAGAGAACAAGCTAAAAGAAAGTGATTTTTTCTACAATCAACGGCCATAATTCATGAAGTTACAATTCGATATGCGCAAATATCGAAAGGAACCAAGATCTTTGGGTTATAAACATGCATTTCAAGTTTCATCAAAATCGGATTAAAATTGTAACCTCTACAGGGTCCACAACCTTGATATACCATATTTTTACACCTTTCTCGTACAAGCGGCGGCCACTTTGTACGGCAGTTTTGGTTTGATTTTCAGGAAATTTGAACTCAACCTTTATTATGGTGTTACGGTGATATATTCAAACGATTTTTAAAATCAGATAATAAGTGTGACCTTCAGAGGGACCACAAGCTAAAAGAGGCGATTTTTCGTATAATCAGGGGCCATAATTCATGAAGTTATGATCCGAAATGCGACAATATCGAAAGGAACCAAGATCTTTAGGTTATAAACATGCATTTCAAGTTTCATCAAAATCGAATTAAAATTGCGACCTCTTCAGGGTCCACAACCTTGACATATACCATATTTTTACACTATTCGCGTACAAGCGTCGGCCATTTTGTCCGGCAATTTGGTCCGATTTTCACGAAATTCGAACTCAACCTTCATTACGGTGTAACGGTGATATAATCAAATGTCTTTTTAAATCGGATAATAATTGTGACCTCCAGAGGGACCACACGCTAAAAAAGGCGATTTTGCATACAATCAGGGGCCATAATTCAGGAAGTTACGATCCGATATGCGACAATATCGAAAGGAACCAAAATCTTTAGGTTATAAACATGCATTTCAAGTTTCATCAAAATTGAATTAAAATTGTGACCCAGACAGGGTCCACAACCTTGATTTACCATATTTTTACACTATTCGTGTACAAACGGCGGCCATTTTGTCCGGCAATTTTAATCCGATTTTCACGAAATTCAATCTCAACCTTCCTTAGGGTGTAACGGTGATATAATAATACGTTTTTTTAAATCAGATAAAAATTATGACCTCTATAGGGTCCACAAGCTAAAAACGCGATTTTTCATACAATCAGGGGCCATAATTCAGGAAGTTATGCACAAATATCGACAGGAACTGATATCTTTGGGTTATAAACTTACATGTCAAGTTTCAACAAAATCGGATAAAAATTGTGACCTATAGGGTTCACAAGCTAAAAACGTAATTTTTTCGTACAAACAGGGGCCATAATCCATGAAGTTTTAATCCGATAGATGCCAATATCGAAAGCAGCCGAGATCTTTTGGGGATAAACATATATTTCAAGTTTCGTCAAAATCGGACAAGAATTGTGACCTGTAGAGAGTCCACAAACAAATTGTGGACGGACGGACAGGGGCGACAACAATATACGTCCACATGAAAATGTGGGCGTATAAAAATATTTGAATTTTGCAAAATAAAAACATGATAAGTCAGATCTAGATGGAATACAACCGTAGACAGAGACTAGTCATAGACACATAGAATAAATAAAGAAAAACACAACTGTGAACGCCAGTGAATACTCAATTGGGATCACATGGTTTTTCACATTTTCTTAGTGTGGCGTTCAAAATTTCACGTGGCACACTGGTTGAGAATCACTGGATTACATGATTACCTCTTTATTTATAGCTCGTCTTTCAGGAGCTTTTATTCCAATAAATTCATACTGATTCCTCATATACTGTTTGATCTTAGCTGCATATGTCTTATTCTTAGCTGCAGAATATTTAGTTTTTAATGTTTTGATCAGTTTCTGGACAGACATGGAAGGTTTTTGTGTTGGTATGGTAGATGAAACTTGGTTGTTTATTTGAGCACCATTTGATAATTTTGATGATTTTAATGTTTTTGTTTTTCTTGTTGGTGTAGATTTCTTTACTGTTTTAACTTTCGGCATTATAACAGAAAGACTTTACTAACTGAAAAAGATGTAAAATTAAACAGTTAATCAAAATAACATGGGATAAATCAAAGTAGCATAGGTTGTGTTAATGTTATTTGTGAGTGAATTAGGTGGCTTGTTAAAATATTATAATAGTCTAAATGACAATGCAGAATAACAGCACGATAAAGGGCAGTCAGTGCAATTAAAAATCCGGTAATAAATTTCAACACTTCGCTGACAATATAGGTTGCTGTAAAACAGACCATGCATGTACATGAAAGAAAACTTTCACTGGTTTGTTGAAGAAACGACTCCAAGGTTCCTTCTTCATATATATATAGTGTCTGCATATTGTGCAATTTGAAGATCCACCATTCATGTTTTCTCACAGATTATAAGTGAAAGGCTACATAGTTTCTTACAAAACAATTAACGTATGCAGTATTGTCATACTGGGAGAAATAGTTGTGGAATTTATAACCAATAAAATTATTTTAAAGATAAAAACAAATTGGCACGCGATGCCTCGCTATCTCCCTTGACACATCAGCGATCAGAAAATCTAGTATTTTAAATGAAATTCAATAGATATCTATGGTTTTACCTATTCACCAATTTCCGTAAAAAGGTAGTCTTTATAAATATTAAGATAACGATCGCTATTTAGAATATGGTTTGTATGCTTGACTAACATTTAGGCTACTCTTGCAAACTGTCGTAAATTTGATCAAAATAAACAGTTATGTCCCTTTACTTGACCTCAATTAGAGCTCCATGTAACCGCAAACTTCTCGATGCGATCAGTCGCCGATTGAATAGGATCGACTACGGACAAGTTCATAACTTTGCCGTTTTTCGGATAAATTCATCGTTAAGATAAACTGATAAAAAAAAAGGTTGTTGACTATTACCATAGTCGCCATAACATTACAATAAACTACCGCAGTATCAGTATCTTTATAAATAACAAAATCATAAGATAAATATGATATATTATTTAAAATACACTCACCCAATGTGTAACGATAATTGATCTGTCTATCCAATTCTAAAAAAGTGTCAATTGATAATATTTGAACGTCTTTGACGACAGATTTAGGCCCTTTTATAACCACACAGAGGTAAAAATTAAAAAAGCCACGTGTGTGTGAAGCAGTGTCAGCAAAATGAATAAGAAACTCACTGATCCATTTAACGGTATATTTTTGATACTTGTGCAATCGTACAGGATACCAGCTCTTTATATACATAAAGATTATTTTGAAGTCTCTCGATCTACTTCATGTCGTTATTTAAAAAAGGACATTTAAAAATTGAATGTTCTGAATTTCAGCAACATTATGTGTATATAAAATAGATAAATATAAATAAAGCCCACATTTACAGTTATTGGAATTACAAATATAAGGAACGGTTGGGGTCTATCAACTGCTGCAAAATGACTCTGTAATTCCAGAAAATCCAAATTCGCCGATTAGTGCTAAATATTAATCAAAACTTTATCTAGTAAAACTCTTTTTTAAATAGGCCGATGACCAAAACTTTATACCACTAAATACCTCTTACCAACTACTATATCCCTCACTTCAATTTTCTACCTTTTTCCTGATTAAATTTTAGATCCTCAAGAAAATAGAACCACATATTTTACCAGTTGTTCTCCAGGGCCCTGTTTCTCGAAATCTTAACTAAAAATAAAATCCAAATTTTAGTAGATATTTCAATTTTGATTGGCAAAGCAATAAAATCAATCTAATATTATCCAATCAAATTACTAAAATTTGGATTTTATCTTAGTTAAAATTTCGTGAAACAGGCCCCAGTTTATGAGCTTCCTTTTTTTTTTCTTTTTTTTGGATGTTTCGCATTTGGACTAAAGTAAATCAGATAAAAATTATGACCTCTATAGGGTCCACAAGCTAAAAACGCGATTTTTCATACAATCAGGGGCCATAATTCAGGAAGTTATGCACAAATATCGACAGGAACTGATATCTTTGGGTTATAAACTTACATGTCAAGTTTCAACAAAATCGGATAAAAATTGTGACCTATAGGGTTCACAAGCTAAAAACGTAATTTTTTCGTACAAACAGGGGCCATAATCCATGAAGTTTTAATCCGATAGATGCCAATATCGAAAGCAGCCGAGATCTTTTGGGGATAAACATATATTTCAAGTTTCGTCAAAATCGGACAAGAATTGTGACCTGTAGAGAGTCCACAAACAAATTGTGGACGGACGGACAGGGGCGACAACAATATACGTCCACATGAAAATGTGGGCGTATAAAAATATTTGAATTTTGCAAAATAAAAACATGATAAGTCAGATCTAGATGGAATACAACCGTAGACAGAGACTAGTCATAGACACATAGAATGACTCAAACTAAATAAAGAAAAACACAACTGTGAACGCCAGTGAATACTCAATTGGGATCACATGGTTTTTCACATTTTCTTAGTGTGGCGTTCAAAATTTCACGTGGCACACTGGTTGAGAATCACTGGATTACATGATTACCTCTTTATTTATAGCTCGTCTTTCAGGAGCTTTTATTCCAATAAATTCATACTGATTCCTCATATACTGTTTGATCTTAGCTGCATATGTCTTATTCTTAGCTGCAGAATATTTAGTTTTTAATGTTTTGATCAGTTTCTGGACAGACATGGAAGGTTTTTGTGTTGGTATGGTAGATGAAACTTGGTTGTTTATTTGAGCACCATTTGATAATTTTGATGATTTTAATGTTTTTGTTTTTCTTGTTGGTGTAGATTTCTTTACTGTTTTAACTTTCGGCATTATAACAGAAAGACTTTACTAACTGAAAAAGATGTAAAATTAAACAGTTAATCAAAATAACATGGGATAAATCAAAGTAGCATAGGTTGTGTTAATGTTATTTGTGAGTGAATTAGGTGGCTTGTTAAAATATTATAATAGTCTAAATGACAATGCAGAATAACAGCACGATAAAGGGCAGTCAGTGCAATTAAAAATCCGGTAATAAATTTCAACACTTCGCTGACAATATAGGTTGCTGTAAAACAGACCATGCATGTACATGAAAGAAAACTTTCACTGGTTTGTTGAAGAAACGACTCCAAGGTTCCTTCTTCATATATATATAGTGTCTGCATCGTGTGCAATTTGAAGATCCACCATTCATGTTTTCTCACAGATTATAAGTGAAAGGCTACATAGTTTCTTACAAAACAATTAACGTATGCAGTATTGTCATACTGGGAGAAATAGTTGTGGAATTTATAACCAATAAAATTATTTTAAAGATAAAAACAAATTGGCACGCGATGCCTCGCTATCTCCCTTGACACATCAGCGATCAGAAAATCTAGTATTTTAAATGAAATTCAATAGATATCTATGGTTTTACCTATTCACCAATTTCCGTAAAAAGGTAGTCTTTATAAATATTAAGATAACGATCGCTATTTAGAATATGGTTTGTATGCTTGACTAACATTTAGGCTACTCTTGCAAACTGTCGTAAATTTGATCAAAATAAACAGTTATGTCCCTTTACTTGACCTCAATTAGAGCTCCATGTAACCGCAAACTTCTCGATGCGATCAGTCGCCGATTGAATAGGATCGACTACGGACAAGTTCATAACTTTGCCGTTTTTCGGATAAATTCATCGTTAAGATAAACTGATAAAAAAAAAGGTTGTTGACTATTACCATAGTCGCCATAACATTACAATAAACTACCGCAGTATCAGTATCTTTATAAATAACAAAATCATAAGATAAATATGATATATTATTTAAAATACACTCACCCAATGTGTAACGATAATTGATCTGTCTATCCAATTATAAAAAAGTGTCAATTGATAATATTTGAACGTCTTTGACGACAGATTTAGGCCCTTTTATAACCACACAGAGGTAAAAATTAAAAAAGCCACGTGTGTGTGAAGCAGTGTCAGCAAAATGAATAAGAAACTCACTGATCCATTTAACGGTATATTTTTGATACTTGTGCAATCGTACAGGATACCAGCTCTTTATATACATAAAGATTATTTTGAAGTCTCTCGATCTACTTCATGTCGTTATTTAAAAAAGGACATTTAAAAATTGAATGTTCTGAATTTCAGCAACATTATGTGTATATAAAATAGATAAATATAAATAAAGCCCACATTTACAGTTATTGGAATTACAAATATAAGGAACGGTTGGGGTCTATCAACTGCTGCAAAATGACTCTGTAATTCCAGAAAATCCAAATTCGCCGATTAGTGCTAAATATTAATCAAAACTTTATCTAGTAAAACTCTTTTTTAAATAGGCCGATGACCAAAACTTTATACCACTAAATACCTCTTACCAACTACTATATCCCTCACTTCAATTTTCTACCTTTTTCCTGATTAAATTTTAGATCCTCAAGAAAATAGAACCACATATTTTACCAGTTGTTCTCCAGGGCCCTGTTTCTCGAAATCTTAACTAAAAATAAAATCCAAATTTTAGTAGATATTTCAATTTTGATTGGCAAAGCAATAAAATCAATCTAATATTATCCAATCAAATTACTAAAATTTGGATTTTATCTTAGTTAAAATTTCGTGAAACAGGCCCCAGTTTATGAGCTTCCTTTTTTTTTTCTTTTTTTTGGATGTTTCGCATTTGGACTAAAGTAAGGGTGGACCCAGGGTGGAGCTATGCACCCCCCTGCATTTCGTCACTGTGGGATTTTTCTTTAGTATATCCTCAGGGAATCCAAAGTATGAACAATGAAATATACATGTAGGTATAATGCCAACGATCGTTAATTATTATTGATATAATGATATGATTAACCTTCCAGTTGAAAGTATTTAATATTATAATAATACACAGTATTTTTTTAAATGACCCAACATGCCGTGTAAAAAGTTAAATTATAAAACTAAAGAAATTATTTTATTGAAAAACATTCTGGTCCAAATATTATTCAAACAGATTTATCCTACATGAAATTATGGTCATTTAAAGTTCACAAGATATGTACAGCAGCCATGGTCTCGAAATAAATATGGTCATTAACAGTAGCTTATACGAAAGGAAAACGTAGATGATGAACAAATTTGATAAGCATCTAATATACTTCAAGACCACCGTGGTGTTCACAAGCTTTTCCGACACATAATAGCATATTTGTGAACAAAAATTCCAATAATGCTGAAAACCAACAACGTGTCCCCTTCTTCGATCTCAAAGCTTTAAACCAGAATTAAAAATCATTAGGTTTAATTAAGTCTAGCATTTCACAGCACAGCCCAAGTGCTTCACTCCAAATTTGAAATAAATACGTTAAAAACGGTAGCCGCAATCGCTGAAGGATGCAACCACGGACATGGAAACGATGTATAAAATGTTTTGACATCTGATACTTGTGAGACAAAGTTTATTTTAAATATGGTATTATTATTCAAAATAAATTTTTGGTGAGAGACATGCCATTTAAATTTCACATTTCTCCGTTCTGAATTCCAGCTAGTTGGAAAATGTTCTTTATGTTAAGCATACCTTAATGCAAACCGAACACTTAGGGTGGTAAGTCTTAACTGATTTTTAGAAATAAATCTTTTGACAAGTTCTGGATCAATACGGAAATAGTTTCTCAAACCCCACCCGATAGCTTTCTGGATATAATTATTGTCTTTTTCATTTGCACATTTCAAACAATATCTGAAACAAAAATGAATAGTAATGTTTACTGATTTATGTAATTCCATGGATGGGCTATAGATAATATTTTCATAATATGCTTAACAAAAATCCTAATGATGACATGTAATGTATAGGGCCTATATATATACCACGCTATAGTGTATTTATGTGGTACACGCGTTTGTTACTGCTTTCTAAATTATTTTTTATGTTAATTTTAACCATAAGGACCTCTGAAGGCAAAAGTCCCCATGAAAACATTCTTCACGGAAGCGATATATTTATGGTAGTAACTCGAGTGGCCTTTCATTATCTTGTAGAAAAAATATCCAATCTTACCTATATATAAGCTGTCAGTATCTTACATAAACAGCATTCAATCTTACACAAATAGTCTATCAATATCTTACATAAACAGTCTACTGACCTATCTTACATAAACAGTCTACTGGTGTCTTACCAAAACAGTCTATCGAGTACCTTACCTGAACAGTCTACTTGAATCTTACATAAACAGTCTATCTTACCTAAACAGTCAATAAGTATCTTACCTAAACAGTCTACTGGTATTTTACTTAAACAGTCTATCAGTATCTTACCTAAACAGTCTATCAGTATCTTACCTAAACAGTCTATCAGTATCTTACCTAAACAGTATCTTACCTAAACAGTCTATCAGTATCTTACCTAAACAGTCTATCAGTATCTGTTTTATGTTTATAGTTTAATTGATGTAATATAGCTGTTCTTCTAATCCACATATTATCATCAGATATCCATTCATCCATTAGTTGAGAATACTTCTCTCTATCACTTAATACCAATATTCCAACAACTACAATAAAAGAAAAGTTTTTAACAGCTGCCATTAACAATTAAAAGAAACACATTAGTGAATGGGCACTACTATTTTAAGGCACAACACAATGCAACTACAGAAGGTCTGCATACACAATACAACTACTAGTAAATAGACGCTTTGAATGTACTTTATTTTTTGGGGCCGGCATATATAGTTCAAATTATCCAGTATTGTCTTGATAGAGAGAGAGAGAGAGAGGGAGAGAGAGAGAGGGAGTTGTTATAAACAGTGGAGAAAACCGGTGAAAACTCACATTTTTAAACAGGCGACCCTATTATTGGAGTAAAGAGCGTGGGACCCAAACAACAAATACGAAGACTTTAGCATCTACCCTCCACACCCTTCCTACCCAAACTATCCCCTTAACTATCAAAATAATGAGATTGTTTTTTTTTATTTTTTAACTTAGTATCAACCCAATCATTTTGTTGGTTATACGAAGAAGTACCAAGTAATTTGAACTCAATTAATCCTTGTAATAATATAAAAGGGAAGAATTGCCTAATTAAAAATCCTACAATACCTCTAGCCAACTGGTCGACCGTTTCCCACCAACTTTTATTTGCAATCAAATGTTTAAGTACTTGTAAATTTTGATCATTCCAGTCTGGGTGATTTATATGTTTAATATATTTATCACAATAATCTAATACAAAACATTGATAATCTCTTTCTTCTTCTTGCCATAATAAATAAAATAACTGATATATATCTGGATGAATCAATATTGGATGGGCTTCAAAAATCTGAAATTCACAGACACACTTAATTAATAAAACTTGAACAATAGTAGGTCTAAATTATAATCCCGGTTTGTGTATATAACCCAGAACAGCGGCGACCCGATTACCTCACAACTACACTATGCTGCCCCCACCCCTTACGGCTGCATAAAATCCGCAACTTCTTCCATATAAATCGAGTGACGGCGCAAGAGACTTTAGATTTCCGATATTATACGTAAACTACAAACAAATTGCAATCAGAAATGTTTAACTGGGTATTATACCATATTGTTGGAACTGGGAATCAATTAAAGAGGAACATTGGGGTTGGTAATTGTGGTGGAGATGATGATGATGATCGATATTTACCTTTTTATTCATGTCGCGTCTGTCAGATGATCTTATTCCCAGGAATTCAATTCCCATTAACTGTTTGAGACTTGCCGCATATTCCTTGTTAGCAGCAGTCGAATATTTCGATTTGATTAATTTAAACAATTTCTGGACAGCCAGTGAAGGTTTGGTGCCAGATGATCCGGCGATCTTTAATGGAGAAACTTGCGAACAAATTGGGCTGTATACTTCAACGAGAGGTCCAATTTGGTTGACAGGTGGAGAAACAGATCTCTTTACTTCAGCACCAGAAACGGGGCCATCTTCATCAAATAGACTCTTTTCTTTCTCTGCGTTTGGTAAATGTTTTGACTTCAATGTCGAAGAATTTCTTGTTCGTAGAGAGCCCCGAAATGTTTTTATTGATTTTACTCTAGATGTGTTCGCAGTGTCTAATTTAACATTAGAAGAAGCTTGACTACAGTTTGATTGTTTTGTTCGTGTGGATCTTCTTTTTAACGTTTTTGCTTCAGGCAAACCTGGACCGTTTAATTGAACGCTGGTTTTCTGGGAATTACTCGAGTTCGATTTCAAAGTTATTTTATTTTTTCTGGTTCGTGGTGATTTAGTGCAACGTCCAGGAGAAATGATACTGTTTACTTCATCATAAGGAGAAACGGGGCTGTTTATATTTTCTGCAAACTTTGACGAATCCTTCAACATCAATGATTTAGTTTTTCTTATTGGTGTAGATCTTTTTGACGTTTTTAATGTTTTTATTTTAGGCATGGTAAGGGAGATTCTACTACACAACCTGCTAAATAAAATAACGTAATGAAATGGAGTTTTACGCCCTACTTTTCTGTACCGACCGGGAATATGTCACGACTTCTCTCCATCAAATTTTAAACTGTCAAAGGTTATATGGCGTGACCGACAACGAGTAGGCCTTTGGGCATAGGTGTTTCTTTGAATCTGAACGAATGGACTCTTTTTTTTCCTTGCAATAACCTACATAACTACGGTGGGGGAACTGGCCATTGCACCGAGGTCAACAGGGGACATCTTGATTAGTGAACTTGTATCATACTTACTGAGTCACCGTGGCTTAATGTATAATTTCGAAATGATGACAGCTTATACGTACGTTATTGTGGTGTTTTATCAAGAAACAAACACAATTGAACATGTTTACAAGTTTTGGTGGCTAGGTAGAACTAGGTAGGCCAAATCGATCGGTGATTTATGACAGTCAAGATAGACTAAGCCTAATCACAGAAAATAGAACAATACATCTTTTAGATATAAATTATAAGGGGAAAAAATGTCATTGTGCAAGATTAAATTTTTTTTTATTTATATGGAGTTGCCTCCCTTAATATGACTTGGACCGAAAGCACATTTTCATAGTGACCTATTTACAATTAATCGTAAATTTATACACTTTATCTACTTTAATGTGTGTTAGACTATGATATCATATAATTACAACAACTTACCGATATGAACGGTAGGGCTAACGTTAACTGACAAACAAGTATTGACTATCAACGCATTGATAAGTTAAAACAGTTCTAATCGTGATAGCCCGGGCCTTCGAAAGCCATTCACTGGTTAATTCACACGTGACCATAAACAATTATAAAGGGCATTTTTTCGTAGAGTTCTTATTGGTTGAGATATTTTATATGTCGGATACATATGATTCTTATGCAATTGGAGATACTGTGTTTTCGATTAACGGTATTAAAAATCATACGCCTCAAAATTAATGACACGTATAGGCCAATCTAGCAGACTACTAGTGCTACGCGTAGTGTCTCAATCAATGATCAACACAATAAATCGAAGGTAAATAAGATAATAACCAATGGCAAATCAAGGGTCATTGCAGTACGTGCTACCGGCACTGTATTTACCGTTAAACTTTAAACACAATAGCATATGAAATGAAATGGGATTGAACAACGCTCTGTTCTGCTCCGACTGGGCTAATGAAGACGGGCATTCGCCATGCAATGCGCTATGAATGAAATTTTGCCAGGACAGCGACGCTATATATGATCTACTATTATATATGGAATTCAAACTGCCAAAGGGGTTCTTTTACGTGCACGCCAATGTACATGGGCTCTCGGTTTTTCTTCCTATTGGACGATAATAATTTGTCCCTCAGGCCCTTGTTCTGCACCATTGACAAGGCAGTAACCCGGCCGGGACCATCTTTTTAGTGAATCAGATCTTCTCACCGAGCCACCTGGTTCGCCTCCGGTGTTGTCTGAGAAATTTTCTTGGAATTTTCGGGGGTGGTTACCCCTTTTATTAGAGGGGCAGGACGGAGGGCCTAACAAGGGACAGTCTAGTCGTTCGGGTGAGACGTAAAACTGAATCCCGTGAAAGAAACATTGGAATTCGAAATAATTATTAGCCGTAGTTACAGGAGCTACATCGCTAATAGGGGGGTTGGATGGCTGAATGGTTAGCGTGCGCGCGCTGTATCATAAAGTCTGTCATTGAGTCGACTGGCGTGGTTTCGAATCCCCGGTTGTACGTGACAAGGAGTAGGGTCGCCTGTCCAACCTCGGGGGTTTTCTCCGGGTCCTCCGGTTTCCTCCCACTGCTAAAGACCCCTACGCGCAAGCGAATTATTGAAATAAAATTAAACCATATGTTAGTCCCGAAATGACCTAGTTTGTGTCGAGTGGACGTTAAACACCATTTCTCTCTCTCACATTGCTAATATTTGGGACCTAGAAATTGACACAACCGGGTCACAACGAATACAATAATGTAATATGAATGCATATAAACTGATTTACGTTCAATCGTTGCCATTTTTACTGTAATTTCAAATCAGTTATGTTCGGCGAAATACGCCAGAAGTCTCAACCGAATGGCAATCTCTGGCGTCTGGTTATTCCCGTCTACACCGATATTATTTATTGCGCATGCTCTTTGAATAAGAATATCCATGGCGTCACCGTTTGACATGACTTGTGCAATATGTCTAGTCTCGTTCTTCGAGTCTCTTAATTGTTACAAATGGCATTGAAACGCATTATGGTACACGATTCGTGTACCAATGGTAAAATGTTGATTTTGTCTTAAATATTGGATCAATGGTAAAATATTTATTTTGTCTTAAATATTGGATAAAATATTTATTTTGTTTTAAATATTGGATATCCAATATTTAATACAAAATAAACATTTTACCATTGATGCGTTACCATTTTGCCAATGGGTATCCAATATTATAGTTCTCCAGTCATTATTGTTTTTAATGAAAAATTAATGATATCGATTATACGTGACAACACGAACGCAACATATTTTTTTCTATTTAAATAAACATAACGGTATATTATCAATGTATGAGAGACACGACCTTGACCGTGGTGTCTTTGCGAACTGATAATGTGTCGGGTCAAATTTTAAAAGAAGATAAAAGTAACCTGATAACGATATATCATTACTTACCCATAGTATTGTTAAATATTTCATCATAATCAAAGTCAACATGGGATCCATTAAAGCAGATATTTTTGGGAGATTAAAAAGTGGAAAAGTTGTTGCAAGGTAGGCCTATAAAACTATTTATCGAGACCAAAATAAATATTATTTAAAGGGTATTCTCTATAATCTAAAAAAACTTCAAATTAAATAATATACAATGGCATATACAACTCTTAATTTTCACCTCGATGGAAAACCAGAGGTGAATTAAGATTGTGTAGGCTAGAGGTAAGCCTACTGCATGTATGAAGCTCCTGAAATAGAAAGACCTCTCTCTTTATTGGCTCGGTTGGTGCAGAAAACTAGGACGTTGAAAATTATTTCATTCATTCATTCATTCCTAGAAAGGCCGTTATGCCTTATGGTGGCCAGTGCAGTATAACTAACTACAGAAGCCAATGCCTTTAGCCCAATAGAGAGCTATATATAGTGTTTGGTATACTTCATAATAGATACGATGAATTGCACAAGACTCGTGAAGGGATATATAGAATATGTTTGCTATTTTTAATAGTTGCAAATTTATATGAGTGGGCGGGGCCCAATTGTTCGTTTGCTTAGGGCACTAGGTTCGCACTAACTGTTTGAATGTCCAGATCTCGCAGTTTGACCCGGTTCCCGGTTTGGCTCAGTATTTTATTTGGTTTAGTGACATTAAAAACGACATTTAACCTTGACATTTTTGAGCAAACGATATAGTCGTTTAGGCCTACATACCTAAGTAGACCTATAATGATAAAAGAAAAATATGTAAAAAGATAAATTAAAGATTTTAACTGATAATTATTAACAGTTGGTTTGAGGAACAGTTCCTCGATAGAGTGTCTTTTAAAGATAACAGTTCCCCGATAGAGCGTCTTATAAACATAATGGAACAAGGGCAGTTCCTCACGATAGGTCAAACAGGTTCCCTATGAAAACAGGACATCAAATAGATACGTAAATGATGCATTTTTACTGCAATCCCTTGCACACTAAACCCCCGTCTTCATTAGCCCAGGTTAGGAGCAGAACAGTAGGATGTTAAACCCCATTTCATTTCATTTCATTGCACACTAAACCGACAAAAATCTGGTTCGAATCCCGGATGCCGTTTTGTAATCGTTGTAAGAGATGTTATCAGTACGCAATGGGAGAGTTCGATGTAGAGGTACAGGAGACGTCAGTTATCAAGAAGTAACGGTTAGAATATATTAAAATGTATTAAAATAAAGCCTTAAAATAGATGGTATCCATAAACAGTCCTACCTTGTTAAAGAATAATCATATTAATCCTATAATTCGCTGTTGCCAGCTGAGAAATTGGCAAAAATATCATTTTTAACTTCAAATTCCAACGTTGGAAAATGGCTGTCCCATGTTGTCAATAGCAAAACAGGGGAGGTAATTGTGTTGTTATTTCCTGTGTCATAGATTTTTAAGGGTGGGAAATAAAGCCCATGATCGTATAATAGTGATTTGATAACCTATTGAGCAAAAGACATAGAATAATTATGTTTGACTTTCTTAGAAAATTTGAAATTCTCGCTTTAAGTAAATTGTTGACCTACCCTCAACCCCCTGTGGATGTGTAATAAATGAATATTTTTGTATCATATTATTCAGATATACTTTAACAAATAAAAATGGTATAACAGTTAAAATATTAGACTATGGTGGTATAATAACAGATATACATGTTCCTGATAAAAATGGAAAAGTTGATGATATTTGTCTGGGATTCAATGACATAGAAGGTAACATTTAAATTAAACAAAGAAAGATTGTTAACAAGCATTAGTATCAACCCCTTTCATTAAGTATAATGCAATAATAATATGATCATTACAAACTATTATCATTATAGTCATTATTAAACAACATGATTGTACTTTTTAAACATTACAATCATTGAAAGCCAATCAAACAATATCATTACGGTCAACAATATCCAGCGATATCATTACAATCAGTATCAAACATTATCACTGGCATTGGTATTGCAATTATCATTACAATCAGTATTATACATTATCATTACAATACCTATATATACAATACGTATATATTACAATCGGTATCAAATACTATCATTACAATCAGTATCAGACATTATCATTACAATACGTATACACAATACGTATATATTACAATCGGTATCAAATACTATCATTACAATCAGTGTCATTAGAACCATTATCATTACTTATCAGGTGGTATGCAAACCAATATTACACCAGTCTCAACGCTATTAGGATCAATGTCGTCCAAATTCGTTTCTTAAAAGAAAAGGGGAAGTTTTGGCGTAATATCTCACAAAATCGAAAAGAACCGCGAACACTGTGTGAAAATTCTAATATTTATGTTTTATTTTCACAGGTTATGAGACACGAAGTCCGTATTTTGGAGCGTTGATTGGTCGTTACGGTAATCGTATAGCGGGTGCTAAGTTTGTATTGGATGGAATAGCTTATTCACTGACAGTTAATAATGGTCCAAATAGTCTTCATGGGGGAAAAATTGGGTTTGATAAGGTAATAAATTTGTGTAATTTAATGAATTCAGATGAACGACACAATATTCCTGACTGCAAGAAAAATTTAGACATTTTGTCCCATATACTTTCAAAAGCAGTCTTATCAAAAAGCATATTATTCTAAAACTTATTAAAATCGACCAAACGTTTAGTAAAAATAGCCATCTACGGTTCAGTTTCTTCCTGTAGGTTTCAAGACAACTTTTGAAGAATCGTCCGTTTCTATCCATGTACCAAGATGGCATTTAAACTAGGTTTTATAATTTATGGTCTAGATTACAATCTAAAAAATTTACAGCGCTTATATTTGCTAATAATGAAAATGACTGTTAGTTTCTATTCGCATACCGGCTTCAAGATGTTAAAAACATTTACAACTGAGTAGAATGGTATTCTACTTCCAGCTCCATTGCACCTTGGTCACTGGTAATGATAATATTATACAACAATAAATATCAATTATTCTTTGTTAAAACATAGAATACCATGTTATATTATACTTTTTATATTACGTGTATTATATTAGGTGGTTTGGAATGCTAAAATTGATAATAACCAACTGATATTAACCCATGTCAGCCCTGATGGTGATGAGAATTATCCAGGGGCGCTAAGTGTTAAAGTTATCTATGAATTAACAGATGATGACGTATTAAAATTGGATTATACAGCTACTACAACAAAAGCTACACCAATAAATTTAACAAACCATACTTATTTTAACTTGGCAGGACATGTAAGTATAGTTAATAGCTTGTATGACGTTTTTGCGGAGCCCCGGTGGTTCAGTGAGTAAGGCGTTGACTTAGTGTTGGCAGCGTCTAGTCCTTCGGATGGGACAAAAAACCAAGGTCTTGTGTAACCTTGGTTGGTGTGTAGGTAAAAGAACCTTCGACAGATGGAATTCAGTTGCTGTGTGGACAAATTCTCCCTCATCGCACACATCATGACGTATGCCTGTCTTCATTAGCCCGGTTGGAGCCGAAAAATAGGATGTTAACCCCCATTTCATTCATTCGTGAAGTTTTTTTGTTTTGTTTTTTTGCATTGTAGTCTTGGGAACAATGTCTTAAAAGGAATAACCAATCCTTAAAAAAACAATAAAGATGTCAAGGCGATGGTAGCCCCGGTATCTTTGGCACCAGAACCCACACTTTTTCCAACTCAATTCAATTTGACCATATCTGTAGCATGTATTTAATAGTACTATCTTTAGCATATCTAATACCTGAAAATACCTGGAATGCTTTGGAGTGTGGATAAGAAAAAAGTACATAATTACAATATATATATTATATGGTTGCAACCTTTTCGCTTGTCCTAAAAGCCTAATTTTATCCTATGTGCCTAGATATAACTGCATTATAAACCAAGTATATTTCTGACCTTTAGTTTAACGTTGGGGATGCTGTCCTAGGCTATGGACAACACGTCCCCCGCATAGCCCTTATATTTTATTTGACTGTAATTTCAGGCATCTAACGATATATCCGACCATGTTGTAATGATACCAGCTGAATCATACGTAGTTTTAGATAGAAACACCATACCCACAGGTACGTCATCAAACTGGTCTCATAGACAATTTTATGGAAAGAATTTACTGCCATAAATATAGCTTCTAACTCCTTATTTTTAATTTCTACGTGTTAGATTCCCCTACATGTAGTGGCCAAACTGCAATGTGCCTACTGACTATACTTTTATAATTTGTAAAGGCTGTTGTTCTATAAGTAAATTACTACCCTATAGCCAACCATGTGGGGTCTTAGTCGTTCTTTTTGCACCGGGGACAGCCTTTTGGACCGGAATCAGCTTTTCATGACAGCAAGAGGGCGAAGTTCGTTGGCATAACCCTTCATGTTCCGCTATAGTCTATCACTTTCAGATATAATCCAACCGTAAACAAAATATTCTTGAAGTCGTTTAAATATATTGTAGTAAGTTATATTATAGCTCCATCTTTATTTCAGGTGAAATAAGGAGTGTAGAAGGATCATCGATGGATTTACGACAACCTGTTAAATTAGGAGATGTAATGCCTAATGTTAATGATGGTTTAGGTTTTGATAATAACTTTAATTTAAAACAATCGGACGAGATTAAGCTTGGTGCCAGGTAGACCTATTAAATGTTATAATTATGAAATAAAAAATGGAGTTTAATGACCTACTGTTCTGCTTCGACTGGGATAATGAAGACGGGCATACGCCATACAATGTGCTACGCGGGAAAGTTTTCCCGGACAGAGGCTCTACGGCCTTCTACATACATCGAATTCCAACGCTGGCTCATTTACCAGAGGTCCGGGGTTCCATCCTAGTGTTGACCGAGAAAGTTCCTCGAGATTTGCCAACGTGGTTTCCCCATGTCATTGGTGCAGGAAGTAGGGCCTGGTAAGGAACAATGTCTAAACGTTCTGATGGGGCGAAAACCCGAGCTCCAGTGTACACATCGGCGTATACGTAAAAGACCCATTGGCGGTTTGAATTCGAAATAATAGTAGGCGACAGCACTGCTGTCCAGGCAAATTTCCCCTCATTGCACACTGCATGGTGTATGTCCATCTTCGTTAGGTCGCTTGGGGGATGGAATGTGGGACATTAAACCACATTCCATATTTGGCTGTGGAAATGTTTACTCTAAGGCTTGACGTTTTGGTGGTATGACAAACCAGTTGGAATTCGAATACCTATATCTCATTGCACAAGTCACAGCAAAAATTAAAATGACCACATTGTGACATAAGCACTATTATGTATATTGCATTATATTACAGAATAGAACATCCGCCATCAGGTCGGTATATAGAATGTCGGACAACGGAACCAGGCATGCAGTTTTATACATGTAAAAACCTTAAAGAAACACCAGGCAAGAACGGTGCTGTTTATAAACAATTTGGTGGTTTCTGTCTAGAAGCACAACATTATCCTGACAGTGTTCATTATGTAAGTATAATTAAATCTATGTACATTATTATTATTATAGGGCGTATTATGTGTAAAACCGCTGCCCTGGCGAAATTATCCCCAACATTATACGTGTCAGATAAAATATACAACCTTTGAGTTAGTAACTTGACAATTTGCAAAAAATCCTTTGCCAACCATTCTCTTGGTTTGATAGTTCTCCGATTGCTTATTATTTTATATATGGTGTCCTTGCTCTTGTCGGCCATGTGGTTGTTTCTGCATTTACAACTAGAAAGAAAGGGTATTCAATAAGTGTTGACTGTGTCGTCAACTGGGTCATGGTATAATATTGTTGTTATCCGGCCGATCCTGCGTTGGCCGTGAAAGTTTATCCAGATTTTCAGGCGTGGTTCCCACTTGTCAGTGATGCAAGACGGCGGGCCTGACAATTGACAACGTATAGTGGTTCGGATTGGCGTTGAAATTCGATATAAGAGTAGGTCGTAGTGCCGCTGTCCGGGCATAGTTTCCCTCATAGCACACTGTATGGCGTATGCTCGTCTTCATTAGCCCAATCGGAGCAGAACAGTACTGAGTAAGGACGTTAAACCCCATTTCATTTCATTTGTTATCCCGACCAATGTTTCTTCTGACAGCTCTACACACTACAGTTCTTGTCAGGTTTTCTCCAAATTTCCAGTGATAGTTCATTCGGTGTTAAGTAAGAACCTTTGTTTTAAAACAAATTTGGCGAGATTGTTCAGTGGACCATCAGAGAAACCCCGTGAGTTTCCAAATTTAGATCAGTGGCTAAAACGTTGGCTCGCTAACTTTGTGGTCTCGTGTTCGATTCCTGCGTTGGCCGAGAAACTTCATCGGGATTTTCTCACGTCGTTCCTCCTTGTCAGTGGTGCAGGACCGAGGACCTGGGAAGGGACAACGTATAGTCGTTCGGATGGAACGACAAACCGAGACCCTTTATACACATTGCCGTGTACGTAAAAGATCCCTTGGCAGTTGGAATTCGATATAAGAGTAGGCCGTAGCGCCGCTGTCCGGGCCAAATGTCTCGCATAGCACACTGTATGGCGTATGCCCGTCTTTATTAGCCCAGTCGGAGCAGAACAGTAGGACATTAAACCCCATTTCATTTCATTTCTAAATTTAGAGATCATAATTTCGAAAGCTAATATTTTTCTTTGTATTTATTTTTCAGAAACATTTCCCTAATACAATTTTACGACCAGGAGAAATATATCGACAAACGACAACATATAAATTTGGCGTCAGCCCATAAACCACTGAAGATAATTTAAGCTTGTCATAAATCAACGATGAAGGAAAATAACACACACATTTGATACTGACCCATATCTTTTTACTTGACGTAATTTTATAATGACGTTAAAAATAAACCCTAATTTATTATAAGTAGTTGTAGTTCGATAAAATCCAAATTTTAGTAATTTGATTGGATAATATTAGACTGATTTTAGTGCTTAGCAAATCAAAATTGAAGTATCTACTAAAATTTGGATTTTATCTTTTGTTAAGATTTCGAGAAACAGGGTCCAGGTTATACTACATCACACCACTATTTTATTCCTTGGACTCATAGGGGATCTATCATTGGTCTGTCAGTGAGTCAAGTGGCGTGGTTTCGATTCTCCGCTTGAACGTGACAAACAGTAGGTTCGCCTGTCCAACTTCGTGGGTTTTCTCCGGCTTCTCCGGTTTCCTCCCACTGCTAAAGACCCCTGCGCGCAAGCGAATTAATGACATAAAATTGAACCATATGTTTATCCCAGTTTGCGTCGATTGGACGTTTAACCTCATTTCTAACCACATGTTAATCCCGAAATGACCTAGTTTGCTTCGATTCGACGTTAAACCTCATTTCATTTCATTTGAAATTGGGGCCAGGAACTGGGCACGATACCCTGGTCATCTTGTTTTTCTTGGCGACCACACCCTTCATATTCGCCATATCCGCACAATTTTAAAAGTAAGAACCGGCTTGCCAAATCCCGGGGCTTCTAACCCCGGACAGACTGACCGAGTATATCTAATTCCCGTACCGCCTGTCTATCGCGGCCCTCAATCTGATAAAATGCGTGGATAACTTATCAGCATTATAGGTCCAGTATTGAAAGTGTATTCATTCTATAGTATATAATATATACTATAGAATGAATACACTTTCAATACATGTAGTATAGAAAATTGTTTAGTCATCTTTGGACGTATGTTGATATGTAGACTGGTTTTACGAGAATTCTTATGTGAATTATAACATTGTTTACAATAATACGCTTTACTGAACCAAACATTAAACAGTATGACCGTTCTGAACGAAGACGGGGGTCAGGGGTCAGAAAGTCAACTGAAGTTGTTAAAACTTGTGATCTAAGATTTTGTTGATTTTATATTGTTTATTCATGTCAAAATGTTATAAAGGACAGATACATGAATTTTGAAAATGGCAAATTATTCATAGCTCTTCCATTATAAATAGCGATTTATTGTTATTTTTTATAACGTCCTTTAAAATTCAGCGAAACCGAAAGTCCTATTATTATTATTAGAAGTTTAAATTTCAAATAAATTTATACGCCCACTATTTATCGGTTTTTACGTTATCAATCAAATTTAAAGATTACCATTAAATTAATCAACTGCACCTCAATCGAGTTAGGACTATTCAGTGGTGTCAGTACTATTGCTTAATCGAGTGACGTAGGTGGAATACCCCAAGGGGTTCCTCCTGGTAATATAATGCCGATTGATCTTTAATAGAAATGATGAGTTTTCACCACACTCAACGCTTAAAATCCTCGTTTTTCTCTAAATTTTACAATGATTGCTTATATGCAAGATCAAATGTTACCGAGAGTGTCACTTTTCGTATTGTTAGGTGAGTAAGACATAGGCTCGCTAACCTGTAGGTCCCGTGTTTTGATCCCGGTGTTGGGCAAAAACGTTCTTCGGGATTGTCAGTGATGCAGTGGTTCGGAAAGAGTCTTCACTGCACTCAGCGCTTAAAATTCAGATATTACAAAGAAATTAGACGATTGTTTATATTTTTGAGTGTGTCACTTTTCGTACGTTTTTGATCTTACAGGTCTGCCAATAAATCGTTTCAACGCCACGTGGTAATTAATCTGGAGATCCACGTACAGGACATGGAATATAATTAGTTCATAACTGGGTCATGTTTTGACAAGGCTTTTTTACTCTTTATCAAGCAATCAAACCAGTCGGGCTCTCTAGTTTGAGGAAATTTCCAGGCCAACACCAGGATCGAACACCGGATCTTCTGATTGGTGAGTCAACACCATACTCACCGAGCCACCTTGGCCACTCCCCCAACTACCCCCAACCCAAACCCTCTACGTAGGTTAATACGTGACAAACTGTAGAGAGTCTCCTACCTCACCTTTTCACCACCTTTTTTTAAGAAATTAAAACCGGTTATGTCAGAGTTAAAAACGTATATATTATATCGTGTGAACTATTAGCCGTATGCTTAGCTGTCATTATTATTTATACCAACCGGGTCACATCGTCTATAATTTAATGAGTCAGTATTTATGCAAAAACAAAGTGCATTCGGGGCGCAGTCGCTATTTTCGAAGCACTATATGTAGCTAATGTCAGCGTAAGGTTATTCCAGTTTGACTGACAATCTGTGTCAATTTTTAAGGCAATTTAAAGGAGAAGACCCAATATTCACTAGGCGAAAATCTTCAGTCGCTGCAAATGATTTCAAGAACTGTTTATCGGGTTTACAAAATACTTATACTAAATAAAAGCCACTATTCAATACAGTTATTAAAACATAGCAATAACCTGTAAAATTATAGTACTCATTGGAAAACAATTATATAATTAGCTCGCATAATATATGTGAATTGCGCCCAGATTGAGTTATAGAATGAATGGATAAAATAGGGTTTAACGTCCTACCTTTTGCTACAACCGAAATATTGAAAACAGACATATGCCATGCAGTGTGCGATGAGGGGACTTTTGCACCACTGATAAGGGCACAAATGCTGGAAAATCATGAGGAACTTCACCGAGACCTCTTGGTTATTGAGACGGGTCCTACTCACAGAGCCAAAGTTATAAAAAAGTCGTCTATATAACTGCAACTGGTGTTTCTTTTAAAACGTTTAAAAAAATGAAATGAAACGAAATGGGGTTTAACGTCTTAAAGTTCTACTGGGTTTATGAAATGGGGTTTAACGTCATACTGTTCTGCTCTGACTGTTCTACTCCGACTGGGTTTATGAAATGGGGTTTAACGTCCTACTATTCTGCTCTGACTGGGCTAATGAAATGAAATGGGGTTTAACTTCCTACTGTTCTGCTCTGACTGGGCTATTGAAATGAAATGAAATGGGATTTAACGTCCTACTGTGCTGCTCCGACTGGGCTAATGAAAATGGGCATACGCCATATAGTGCGCTATGGGAGGGGGGGGGGGGGTGGAATTATGCCCGGACAGCTATACTACGGCCTACTCTTAATTGGAAATCCAACTGCTAAAGCTTGTTTTACGTGCACGCTAATGTGTACACTGCCAACACCTGGATCGCTAGTCAAAGTTTTACTCACTGAGCCACTGCTTCTCCCACGTACATAGAGGTTACGATAGTGGCTTGGGACTAGAATAACGGACTCTAAACTTAGCATTCCACAAAGAATGAACTAATTTTATTCACGTAAGTAATTCTGGGATTTCTAAATTAAATTAAGCAGAAGAGAAAAATTATAGAAAACTGTAGGTACATAAAGGTAATTATTTATTTTTTTTGTCTACACCTGCGCATCTCAAACATGGCTCGTGACATTTATCATAATTTTTTCCTCGTTTCTAGTCCAACTATCTGTATAATATATATAGAATCTGTTATAGAGAAGGTGTAATAGTTGAATAATAGAAGTAATAATAGGTGTAACAAAAAGGTGCGAAAGTACGTTCCGTATTTCATTACAATTGTATACACATGTACAGTCGTTAAAGACTTTAAATAAAGTTCTAGAATAGTTTAAATATATACTGTAATGATAAAGGGAACATATTGAATATTTCTGTCACATTACTCTATTCTGTGCAAAGTTATGAATGCTGGAAGTTTTGATAAGAATAGCGAAGTCTCGATTCTTCATTGTTATCAAGTAGGACGTTAAAGCCCATTTCATTTCATTTCATTGCTATCATTGTTATGATAATAAACAAAGTCTCGATTATCCATTTTTAAATTAAATTATTAAATGATAATCGTTTTTACAATCCATCAAAAATCAACACCATCCGATGATCTAGAGAGTTGATTATGGGCTTTTCATTAATAATTTATATAACATTTAAGGCCAAAAGAAAGAGATCTACAATATTAAAGATTTGGCTGTTATATAATGTATCTTTCATGGCCAAAAATAATACAAGAGGAGAAGGCTAGTATACAAAAGATTTCCATAGACCTGACCTCGGATCATTATCACTGAATTTCAATACATAAAATTCATTTAATTATTTATTTACATGTACTTCTGTATATAGGTTTACTCAAAGGCAACGTGAAACAGGCTTCTTGGCCTAATTTTCTATTCTTGTTATTATCCTTATGTCTAGCTGAACAACGCCTCAAAAATACAAAAATTAGACAGAGGGATATGAGGACAATGGGGAGACAATATATTATACAACCACGATTATATGACGTTGGTATTGGCTAATGTATGGTTTACATAACAAATTGTTTTTAACGCCAGGACTATCTATCATATCACTAATTTTACATCGATTAATTGATAGCAATAGTATGTAAACATTTACAAGGACAAGATATTCAACTACAACTTACAGATAGTAAATATGATACAGTAGGTTACAGGGGACTGGCCTAAAGGTGTTCGTACAGACACAAATTAAAATCATGTCAGTTATAAAGTCTGGTAATAATAACTTCCGGTGAAACATCCATTTGCAGTGAAGAAATATGAGCGAGAGTATCAGAATTGTCGGGCGGATTAGAGGTACCTTCTGTATCTGCTCGGAAGACCTTGGTAAAACCAAAATTGTGAACCAATGTCATTCTATATTAGAGTTAGGTCAAACAACATCGAGACAATATGGCCAAAAAAAGCGCGAGACCTCATTTTACGACAACCAGGACCAGATTGTTTTGAATATGGGCCTATACCGAATCATCCTAGATGTATTATGTAAGAGCTAAATCCGCCTGTTGCAGGTCTTTCTTTTGGCCTTATTTATTAGCAATTATTCTGACTTCAAGCCCGTACTCAACTCTCTAGATCATCTCGTACGGTTGTGATTTTGAAACACGATCGCCATTTAATAATTTAATTTAGAAAATGGATAATCAAGATTTGTTTATTATCGTAACAATTGTAACAATGAAAATCGAA